TTTATAAGTAAGTTTAGTAAAATTACTAACCTTAAGTTTAACTTATATTGCCTTATTATTATTAATTTAATTAATAGCTAACATAGTTTACCACCTCGTATCCAATATCACCTTATATCCAATTTTTATTAAGTTTGCCAACTTCAGCCAACCCTAGCACCCACCCAATATAAATAATTTAATTAAATTTAGCACCAATTAATACTAACTACAATTAAATCCTTATTTATAATTAATTTTATTAATTTAAAGGCATTAACGTAATTATAATGCTAATCTAAATTAATTAACTTTTAATAAAAAACATGCATTTAACACTATTTAATACTAACTACACCCTTAAAAAGTTAATCCGCTGCAAACCACCAACATCTATATATTTACATTAATTAATGCTAACTAAGCTAAATTTGCTATAATATAATTAAAATTTAATTAAATAAACCCTTCTTTATCTTTCTTATAAGTTTTTATATTATGCCTAGTCTTACCATAATTGCTATACCATCTTTTAATTAATTCACTGCAAACCAACTCTTTAGCATTATTATTAATTTTACTAGCTAGCCACTTCCCTTTTTATTTTTCTTAAATAAAAGCATAAAATTCCTTAATAATAAGTACTCCTCTAAGCTATACTTAAGTTCTTTTAGCCCTTTAGCATTTTACAAGCATTATATTAACCTCTTAAAGTATATAAATCTGCTTGCTTATTATAATAAGTAAATATACTATTACTTATGCACCCTTTACTAATTAATTAATAGCGTTTATAATTAATATAAAAAAGCTTCCTTAATAAGTAAAAATCCTATCCTTAATAAAACTTAATTATTAAATAATTTATTAAGCATTTAATAATATTTAAGACTCTTATTTTTAAGGGGAAATAAGGAGGAATTATATAAGAGTTTATAAATAAATATTAAGCTTAAAAATTATAAAATTAAAATTTTAAAGGGAAATTCTAGCTCCTTTAAATATAAACTTAATATTTTCTATTATAAAAATTTTATTATAAGCTGCCTTAAATATAAAAAAGAACTTAAACTTAATAATATAATTAATAAAGGCTTAAATAAAAAAGTTAATTTAATTACTATATATATGCTTTAAAAGTAAATATAATATAATATTTAATAATTAAAGTAAGTAAGATAAATATAGCAATATGCTAATAATAATAATTTTATTATTCTTATAATATTAATTAAACTTAATTAATATATAACTTTTATAATTATTTATAATTAATATTTAATAATTAGCATTTCTCTTTAATTTAATATGCTTATTAAAGTACTAAATCTATTTTAAATTAATCTTATTATTTATTTATTTATTAAAAATAGGCTTAATAACCTAATTATTTAAAAAACTTAACTCTATTACTTAATTAATAAGATGGTAAGCGCCTTAAATAATTATAAATAATAGAATTTATAACCTACTTATATTAATATATTTAATAATAATTACCTATTCTTAATTACTAAGCTAAATTAATTTAGCCTTTTTATATTTATTAATATATATAATAACCATTAATGCAATGATTATATTTATTATAAAGTCAATCTTATTAAAGTTATAAAAATTATTATTAATAATTTAATACTTAGCCATTATATTACGAAGTAATTTAAATTAATTCTTAATAATCTTTAAATCTTTATAAAAGGCCCTTTAATAATTATAAAAATAATTAAACTTAATTTTAAGGCTAAATTATTAATTTATAAAGTATTAAGCTTAATGCTTACCAATAGGTTTAGCATCTTATAATGCTAATAAAAGGTTAGCCATATTTTTTACATTAAAAAGTTATAAAGGGAATCCTTAAACATTTTAATTAATAATATATTAAATAAGCATTTGCTCTTTAATTAAGTTAAGTTTATATTATTTAATGCATAATTCTTCATTATTTTATTAATTATTTATCCTTTTACATAAAGTTTATTTAAGGATGCAATAAATTTATATAACGTAAGCAGCACTTAAGGGTTTTTTATAATTTTTTTTAAAATCTTAAATAGCTTTAATAGCTAGAAAGATTTAAGATTCATTTAATAAGGGAGATATTTATAATTATTAATTCTTAACGTATTAATTATTTAAATAGGTAAAGTAATGCAAGATTAACGTAAAAAATAGGGACGCAATTTACATTAAAAATAACCCCACCCATCAAAAGTTAACCACTTCAAACTTTAATATAACCACCTATATTACTTTAAATTAATAAAATCAATTATAAATAAGGAATTAAATGCAATTAACACCAATTAATGCCAAATTTAATTAAATTGTTTGCACTAAGTAAGTACTAAGGTTGGCTAAAGTTGGCAAACTTAATAAAAATCAGACACAAGGTGATATCAAACACAAGATGGTAAACCACGTTATTTTACTTAATATAATAATATACTTAATGTTAAGGGATAGTGCATTATCATTATCTTTATTTATAATAAGTATATTATAATAACTTTAATCTTATATATTCTTTTTATTAGTTTATATAAGGCCATTAATATTTTATAATCCTTTAACCTAAATAATAAGATTAATTGCATTTTAATTAGCTTTATCCTATATAATTTACTATGCATAAACTATAACTTTAATATAATTAAAACCCGCTATATTAATAAAGATAAAATTAATTAAGTTAACATTACTTATATTTAAAAGACTAAGTATAGTAAGTCCCTAATTACTGCTAGCTAAAACGTTATGCGCTACTATATAGCTGGCTTAGTTAATTATATTAAGATTTATAGCATGGTAAAATGCTATGCATTAATTAATAATAAAGTTAATTTAATAGCTAATGGCATTAATAATAAGGCAATGAATGCAATTTAGGAAGCTATGAGTAACTTTCGCGTTAATGGTAATGCCGCTAATATTAATTAAGCAATGCATAATATAATAGCCTTTATAGCTATATAATTGCACTTATGTTTTACTAAGAAGATATATAGGCCTTGTAAGCCTAAATAATATATATTAAATAAGGAGGAAATAGCTATAAAGTGTTTTAACCTTATTTTATTAGTTTTTTATGGATAAGAAAAGTTATTTTAAGAGTTCCCTTTAGTAATTAGCATGCTTATTATTAAATAAATTAATAATTTCATAATAATGCAAATATATTTCTGTAAAAGAAAAGGCGCGCTAATAGTAGTAATATTTATATAACCATTTAACTAGCTTATAAATATATAATTATATTAGCTATGCTATTAACTTAAGTTCTTAAGCTATGCTTTATAACTTTACGGTAAATTCATAACTATATATTAAAGTTTATAAACTTTTGCTTTTTATATGAATTAAACCTTAAACTTTGCCGCTTTTTAGTATTGCCCGCTATGCAATAGCACCCTTTGCATATATTTTAAAATAGATTAGTTTATGGTTATTTGCTCTTATGGGTCCGCTCTACGCAATCTATATTATTACTTGCTAAGCATAGCAAAAATGGATTGGGTTTCATTAATGCGTTAAGTTAAAGTATATACTGCCATTTACTTAAAAACGGCAATTAGCTTATAGCACTATTTATAGGAAAACCCTTTAGCGTTACCATTATTTTACTTTTATTATGTTAAATATGCTAGCTAAATTATAATAACGTAATTATGCATTTAATATCCTTTTAAACTAAATGCTTATAATAATAAACGTTAATGTATCGCGGTTATTATGTAATAATGCAGTTAACGCCAATTTATTTACCGTTCTTTCCCAACTTATTTACCTTTATTATTTTAAATCCCTTTAATCTATATTAACCACCTTAATGTTTAGGAAATTATGCTAAAAGCAAATTATTAGCTAAGGGGAATTTAATATAATATAAATAAATAATAATAGATTTTAAGTAAATTTATTATAAATTTATTATAAATTATAAATTTATAGTATTTTTACAGTAAATTTACTGTAAATGCTAATATTTATAGTGAATTCATGGTAAATTCATTATGAATTTACTATGTATATGTATATATAGGTAGATTCCCCGTGTATTCCCTTGAAATTCACGGGGGCATTAAATTTCAAACCTTTGTTTTCATTATTATGCTTATTAAGTTTTAATTTATTATAAAAGATAAATATTTTAGCGGTATATTATAGCTTAGAAATCTTAAAAAGGTAATAGCTTTAAAGGTTCTTATTGCGTTGCTAAGTTAGTATATATACTTACTTATTAGTTTAATTATATGCCTTAAAGGTTTTTATAATGATTTTTATTAAGTAATTAATTTAATATACTTTAATAAGAAAGCATTATATTTTATTAAGGTATATATTTAGCTTATTAAGGAGAAGATTTTTAAGCTTTTATATAGTGATAAAAGGGCGTTAGCAATGCTTAAAGGGCTTGTTATGCTAAAGAATATTATATACCTTTAAAGCCTATTACTTTAATTTAATGGCATTTAATGATAATAATAAGGGCATGCTTAATGCTATAATATTTATAATTATAATTCTTTTTTAATATTATTAAATTATTATTTTACTGCATTAAAATTTAGCTTGCAGTTACTTATTTAGCAATAATAAGTTTAAGTATAAATAAAATTGCAATATTTATAATTTTATGCTTAATAGGCAATGGCTATTCATTGTAATGACTTTTCTTTTGCTAAATTAAGTGCGTTAAGTAATGTTAATAAGGGTGTTTATGAGAATCTTGGTGCGTATTCCGCGTTTATAGCTAAATTTTGGTGCGGGGGGGGACAGCTAACCAAAACGATAGGGGGGGGGCATCACTTCGTTTAAGACAGACAGCGGATGCGTGGCAGGATGCTGCCAGCAAAACCGTAGGCTGCTCTCGGATGAGCACCTATTCCATGAATTCTGGCATCATCCTGAATTATATACTGTCTGATCGGCTATGATCTTTTTGAAGGAAATCCAGCCGACAAGTCCGCTATCAGCAGCCAGAAGCCAGAGTCGGGCGGATTGAGTGATCAGCGGGCTCACTCCCCTTGCGCCCCCCCCTCCTCGCGTCCAGCCCCCTTACGTTCAGCCTGATCACGTTCCCACTCTTCCCAATCGCGGTCATCAAGGTTGAAGGGTTCCATCCCTCGTTTCAGCGGCACCGGCACGTCCTTACTGGTGACGGTAGTCTGGCTCAGCGGCCAGCTGGCGAACCCAAACTCCACGCCCGCGGCCCGGAAGATGCTCTCGATTTCCGGCCCAAGCCCCTTGTCAAGCCTCCACTTAATTCTCGAGTCGCACCTGACCTGCCGCAGCCTGGAGAGCCTCCCCTCACCTACTGCCACGGCCCGGGCGATGCCGAGGAACTCGGCGGGCAGCAGCCGCAGCCGCCTGTCCACGTCCGGGCCGGTGATGCACAGCGACGTCGTGCTGGCAGGGAGGAGCTGGGGCAGGAGCCGGGTGCCTTGGGCCTCGTCGGCTGGGGAGGCCTGGTCCTTCCTCCACAGCGTGTTGGCGCTGAGGAACAAGTCCTCCAGCGCGGTGAAGTCCACCAGGCTGGCCGGGGCCATGGGCTGTATAAACAGTCTTTCGAAGACTGGCCTCAGATCCAGATGCAGAGTCTTGAGCGTGCGACTGTGCGGACTCAGGACCTCGATGGCTTCCCGTGGGTGGAACTGGCTGCGCCAGAAACTACTGCAGACCGAGGCAGCTTCGTATGTGAAGGAGGTGAGGCCACCGGTGCAGGACGACAGCAGGACACTGAGCTCCACGGCGCTGAGATGGCTCTGTGTCAGGCAGAGGGTCTTGAGGGATCTGAAGGTAGGTGCGTCCTCGACAGTGGACCAGAACCCGTTGCACATGTGCAGATTGAGTGTCTGCAGTGTACCCTGCGCCAGCTCGAGGGCAGCCGCCGCCTGCGAGGGCACTTTGATCATGAGCTCTGGCGAGTGGTCGTGCGTGGCGATGTCAAGAGTCTTGAGAAGGCGTGCTCCTTTGGCCGTGGTCATTGATCGTAGTACCGACAGGTAAGGAGTATCGTAGTCGACGATGGTCTGCTGAATGCTCAGGCGCTCGATACTTGGCAACATGCCTATCAGAATCGCCAGGAGCTCGAGGCCGAGCGCGTGTCTCTCCCGGAAGCTCTCGGTAGAAGTATATAAGTCGACATAATCCACCCGAGGTATATGATGAATATGTCGGAGTTCGTGTTGGTACCGCTCAATTGTCCTTTCTGGGGTTGGCGGCCGGTGTCTCCCATGACCAGGACGAGCATGATAACACGGAGGCCTGGCCTCATCTCCAGACTCCAGGCCGAGGCCATGGCCCATAATCCGGAGCTCAACGACAGCCCCGACATCACCGAGCTCCGCCGCCTCCAGCAGCCTCGGGTGCAAAGACACCCTCCTCACCGCGGCCGCGAGATCGGGCCGCCGCCCGACCGTCCGCAGGAAGGACGTGAGCCGCCTGTCCCAGGACGAGGGGCCCGACCGCCACGAGTCGCCGTACCCGAGCACGAACTCATGGTACAGGACCTGCTGGACGACGTCCCGGAAGCGCCTCGATACCAGGCATAGGGACACCAGGGGCTGGCGGTATTCAGCCAGGTACCAGGAGCGCTCGTGCGCCTGTTGCTGGTGATGATGGTCGGAGCCGCGGAAATACGAGTCTGGACCTTCTGTGTGGCCGTGACAGCAATACAGGCAGAAGTGCCTGCATATCGAGCCCAGCGTCTCTGTTGGCAAGCTGGTAATCGTTGGGTGTGTCATGCTGTGGGGTGTTGTCTTGGTTTCCTGAGTCTATGCTCTATTCGACAAACAATTAGTTACAATTGACGAGGTAAACATATGCCATCTAGGGGAGCAAAATCCGCTCAGTGATCGCAGAACGCCTCGGAGAGAAATACGTTGGGGGCTGGGGAAGGGGTGGCATGCTGTTGTCAGACCTGCATGATGAAATGGGAATAGCTCGGAGAACATGTGTGTGACTGCTTCGGAAAGTATTGATTCAATATTTCAAGATAGATATAATGCGCATTCCGTCTATAATGGCGGCAATTCCTCCCTGCAGTTCGGGCACTGCAGCCTAAATCTCAACCATCCTTCCAAGCACGCACTGTGGAAGATGTGCCTACACGGTGTGACCATGTATTTCCTCCTCTCCAGCACACCAGCAACCCCACCGCCAGCAGGCTCAACGTCCTGCCCGGCCTTGACGACCGGCACCTCCAGGGCCTCCTGGCAGATGGCGCACTCGATCGCGCGGATATGCATCCCCTTGACGGCAGTCGTGCTCTTCTCCCTGCCCTCCACGCTGCTCAGGCTGAGGGAGCGCACGCGCTCCAGGGTGGGGGATCCGGGGGTGGAGGTGGACGGCACGAGCCCGATCGGCAGGCCGCCGGCCTCGAGGTTGTCCTCGCGCAGGATGGGGTGGTAGTCCCAGGCCTCGGGCATCCAGCCCTTGGGCAAGCCGAAGCGCGGGCCGAGGACGTCCTGGAACGCCAGTACCCACAGCTGCGACCACAGCCACCCCGCCACGACGAAGAACGCCTTCCAGTCTGTCTCGGCGAAGATCACGTTGCGCTTGCGCAGGTAGAAGTACGCCACCGGTAAGACCCGCAGGACGGACTGGCCGATCATGAAACGCCATGAGAAGGCGCGGCGGCTGTTTCGGTACATGTTGCGGATGATCTGGGGGACCCAGAGAGATAGGTAAGCGAATACCATGGTATTGACGTAGAAGCTGCGGAGCGGCCGCCACCACGAGGTGGCGGCGAGTGAGAGAAAGCTTATGCAAGAGCCGGCGAGGAAGAGCCGGCCGATGATGCTCGAGAATGGGGTCACTCTCGACTGTTGTGCCCCGGTACCTGTCGTGCCTGCGGTAGGGACGGCTGCTGCCCCTGCAGCCGTGTTCTCGGCAATCTCGGCGTCGATATCTTGGTCAAACGGGACGATTATCGGCGGGCTGACAGCCGCGGCAGCGCCTGCAGTGACCGGGCGAGGTAGCGAGTCTTCTGTCGCAGCAGGCGTTGACGGCGGCCTCGGCGTGTTGTTGTTTGGAGTATGCTCGCGCTCTCGAGGCCGCCACTCCGATTCCTGGACCTTGTAGATCTCACCCAGGAAACTTCCTCCGATCATCATCGACATAAACAGGGCGAACGTCAAGACCAGCGCGCGGAGGAAGAATGGAGAGTCAAGGCTCAACGCGGCGGCAACAGTGAACATCATGCCATCCACTAGCACCATGATGGTGATCGTCCAGAAACTGACTCGGCCCATGGTGGACGGAGTGTACGATTCTCTCATCTGTGACTTGAGCAGATGCACCTGCCCGAACACGATGGCAGCCATGACCAAGAGATAGAGATTCAGGTCGTAGATCCACACCTCCTCTTTGAAACCAACCAAATGATTTCCCTGCGCTTCGGGGAAGTGCGGCGGGCCTTTAGATTCAAGGAAGTAGGCACAGTCCGGCGAGTAGACCACGGCAGACATCCTCATCTCCGGCACATGAGGCAGCGGAGCTCCAGTAGGATATCGCAGCTCATTCTCAATCTCCTTGACCACGTCGCCTATATCGTTCCCGGAGTGCTGCAAGTCATTGCCAGTTAGGGGATGGACCTGCAGGTAGACAACCCATTCGCAATGTGGCGAGGGGTTCCACGATTCCTCTACGCCCGCGACACTCGAAGTCCAGGGGTTGCTCTGGTCCGTAAAAGATGAACGTTCCTTCTTGCTAAGAACCTCGTTGATGGTCTGGTTCAGCAGTTGCTGGCTCGACTGGAAGAAACTTTCGTCAGGCGTCAGGTGCGGAAGGCCAAAGATCCCCGCGAACTTTTCGCTCGTCGTGGTGAGCAGCATGTTCCCCTGCGCCGGCCAGTGGACCCCATGCAGCCTCATCTCGTACATGCTCCCGCTCCCGTCATGGCCCGAATCCTCGATAATCAGCCCCGCGGCGACCTCGCGGACTGAGCCACCCGTGCTGAGTCGATGGTGCTCGTCGAAATCGTTGGCGTCGATGTCCTCTTCGTATTCCATGTGTCGCTTCTTATCCTCGACCCGCAGCTGCATCGTCCCCTCGGACCCCGTCACGTTTCTGTTCCACTCGCCGTGCGTCCCGCTCCAGCTCACGCCAGGCGTCATCGCCGTAAAGTTATAGTCGGACCAAGTCCTGGGGGATGACGCCTCTCGTCGAGTCCAAGAACCCCTCACCAAGCCAGTCGCATTCAACCACGTTGGGATGCCGGCCATGTCCCACATAGACTTTGTCGGCGCCCCGTCTTCCCTAGTCTCCAGGACAGGTTCACCATCCTCTGAGATCGGCTTGGACCACAGGGGGCTTGTACTCCTGCTGGTCTCCAAGCAGCGCTCCCTGAACAGACCCAGGTCATCCCAAGCGAGGCCATCATTCTGTCTGAAGCCCGTGATGTTGATATACCGCGTGTGCTCGGTCCCGTTCGCCGGGTCGCCCACCTGTCGCGGGTTGAAGTCACCCCATTTCGTCGAGTTGAGGACGGAAAACGCGTGGCGCTGGCGCGCGAGGCGCTCCTGGGTCAGGAAGGGGGTCGCAAAGTAGCCGGCCTGGCCGTCGCCCGACGACGTGGTGAGCCAGAAGATTATGAGGATGATGGCGAGGACGCGCAGGTTCTCCTGGTGCGGAGGCGGCATCTTGGGTCGATTGGGCGGAGGCTCCGGAGCCTGTGTGGAGCGGACGGTCACCGAGGGAGCATGTCAGGCTGTGTACCTAGGTAGAGTGTAGTCAAATTGCAGGCTCCTCACTCGGGCATTGCAAGACGTGGCTTATGCAGCGAGTCTGTCAACAGTGTGTCGAGCAAATAGAAGAGCTGAGTGGCAGGTGGTTATCGTGTGAGCAAAGGTTGTCCAGAAGTCTAAGTGGAATGACGCGGGTTCTCGCCCCCCTGGAGTACCTCAGCTACGGGTACCCGGGATGTCCTGGCTGGGCTTGGCAGATGCTCGGACTAGGGCACTTGCCCGCTAACAACGCAACGTCAACAGCCGGACCCAGACTCGGGCTGCATTCACATCCTCCATATGCACGCCCCTTAATACTCTCCGAACCATCGTCACATGAAGGTCAAACTACTTGAAAGCGACAGGCCAGGTCAACATTGAAGAGAACTTGTGCGACCCGATCGAAACATTCCACTCACGAAGATGGCGTCCAACAGCAGTGAGCCAAACAACCAGCCAAATGTACCGTCCTCTGCTCCCTTCCGAGTCCCAACTCGCCGGCGGTCGTATCTGGTTCCTATCTTGAGACCTGAGCTCGCGACTGACTGACAAACCCACCTCTTAGACGTCCGACGACGCTCGCGCAGAGCTCACGCAACAGTTAGATGAGCTTCTGAACACGCTCTCCAACAAGTTCGCCGGAGTGTCTAGTGAGATCTTCGCAAAGAGTGAGTGACCTCTTCGAGCTGGGCCCGTTTACATTTCACTGACACCCGTGTCCAGTGGATGAGATGTCTCGGAGAATAGACAGCTTGGAGGCAGCTTTGATGGCGAACAACGATCGGGATTCTGGCACGAAGCAAACATAGCTTAAGGCAGTTCCCTGGACTCTTGTTCACGGTGTGCATTTATGGATTATCAGCCTGAGCCAAGGATACAGTCATGTTACAGGACATAGAGATTTGCGGACGAAGGTGCATCATCAAGGATGACCATCATTTCCGTAGTACCAAGAGTCGATTCCAAGAAAGGTTTCATTCAGAGTCATTCCCATGCGGTCCGCCTGCCAGTGCTCCCAGTAAAATACAAGCAAGCAGTTATTGTTCCCATTCCCATTTTCCTCCCTCGCAGTTCATCGGCTTCGACGCTTTTACAACTCATCCTTGACCTGCTCAATCTTCTCCTCGACGAAGCGGCGCAGGATGTTGGTCTTGCTCGTAAGCTCGTCAAGCTTCGTGGGCGCCAGGCCACCCTTCTTCAGGATTCCATCCAGACGCGCGAGCTCCTTCGCCGCGTAGCCGTCGTTGCTCTTCAACTTGTCGAACACGCGGACATAGTACTCGGCGTACTTGTACTGGGCCTGCTCCTTGAGCTCCTCGGCCTGCTTCTGGGCCTCCGCGAGGGAGTCGGCCAGGATGCTCGTACCACCCGTGAACTTGTCGACCACCGCGTTGAGGACCTCGATCGTGCCCGCATAGCGGTCCAGACCGCCGCCGACAGCACGGTGCGTGCCGGCCTTCTCGTTCAGGAATGTGGTGAAGTCAAGTTCGGTGCGGCCGCCGCTGTAGAGCTCGGCCTCCTTGCTGCCGGGCGGGGAAGAACTTGATGGTCGGGTAGGACGTCACGCCCTGGGCCTTGGCGGTCGCCTTGCTGTTCTCACCCTCAGCGTCGACCTTGGCGACCAGGACGTTGGGCTCGTTCTCGTAGTCCTCGGCGACCTGCTCCCAGACAGGGGCAAGGTTCTTGCAGTCTGTATTGAGGGATAGATTAGCGACCCGAATAAGCGACTGGCGCAGTAAGTCAATGTAGGGGACTTACGCCCACACCAAGGCGCAGTGAATGCAACCAGAACGTTCTTGTCACCACCAATCTCCTTGTCAAAGGTCTGATCCGTCAGGTAAGTCACAGCCGAAGGCTTCTCCAACTTCCTCTTGGGCTTGACACCGGTCTTCTCGGTGATGAAGTTGGTCAGACTCTCCAGATCCCGTCCGCTGCTGTAGTCGGTGGGGGTGTCGCTCTTGCCATCGAAGAACTTGAGGGTAGGGAATCCTTGAACACCGAATCTACGGCCAAGTTCCTTCTCGGCATCGGCATCGACCTTTGCGATCTGGACATCCTTGGAGGATGCGAATGCGCTCGCGAGATCCTCGTAAACGGGGGCGAGGTTCTTGCAGTGGCCGCACCATGGGGCGAAGAACTCGACAAGCGTGGGCTTGCCCGACTTCAGGACGACGCTGTCGAAGTTGTCTGGGATGAGGTCGAGGACCGCGGACTTGGCAGCTACGGCGGCTGTCAGGCCGGCGAGCACGAAGCTCTTAAGGAGGACCATTATTGCTGGCGATTGGTCGTATTCTGGGAATCTTTGGGTGATGGACTGATGAGTGCAAATAGTTATCTGAGGAGTAGATCAAGTAGAAACTCAAGCAATCGAATTGCTTGGTTATAAGAAGAAAGGTTGATGGAATGCTTTGAAATCGGTCGCCGATTCAAGTAATATGGATAAGGTAGAGGACAATCTGGCACTGCTGCAGCTGTCATAAGCTGCCCGTAGCTCTTTCACTGACAGGCTGAGTGGCAACAAGGTCCCCGAGACACTAGACCACAGGGATGGAACAAGCGGGTCGGCCTGGCGGCCGCTAAGGCAGGCGTCGACAAGATAATGCGGGACGAATGCGCCACAGCTCTCCCAGCAATTTTCAGCCACGTTTTGGGGAATTGCTCGGAATAACTGTGGCGCCAGACACACCAACCCAGAAATTTCAGAAAAGGGAGCCGCGACCAAACTTTACTCCACTTCAGAACCACCTCGTCCAGCCAGATCGACCGTCACAACCGCAATCACCTACCTCACCCTCCTGAAACGACAACCGACCTTGACCGTCCTCCATCCCGTCAAGTCAAATCGTCAACCGACAACATGTCTCACGAATCCGTCTGGAACTCCCGCCCTCGTGGCTACGGCAAGGGTGCCCGCTCTTGGTACGAACACACCGACCCCATCTTGAAGGAAAAAAAACCATGTCGCTGTCGGGGCCAACCCGAACAAACATGAAGAAAAGCCTGGAGGAGGATATTTCGCAGGGATGAGAACATATGCTAACATGCGATTTATCTTCACAGCCGCGTCTGCACCCACCGTGCCGGTCTGATCCGCAAGTACGGCCTCAACATCTGCCGTCAGTGCTTCCGTGAGAAGAGCGCCGACATTGGCTTCCAAAAGGTGCGACCCGATCCAGACCCCCCGTCGCAAAGCAGCTTCGACCGAGACGAACGATAGAGACTAACATTTATTCTCCAAACAGCACCGATAAATGCGTCGCCCCGAACGGGACGGAGTAGGGATGGGCAGTTCTTTCGGTCGACACCACGATTAAAAATGCGCCAACGACGCCAACGGGGGTGGCACTCAAGTTTCTGGGAACCAACCCCCTCGCCCCTCGATATCCCCCGACGCGAACGAGATAGCATTTCATCGGCCGGCTTTGCTTCATTAGGAGTTTGATTGGTTTTGGCGATCCGGACAGTGGAAAATCATCCGTGGGGGCAAAGTTTGACGGGGAATCTGGGGGCAGAGGATCTGCGACGAGTTAGATCGAGTTTCCCATCCACGTCGGAATAGAGAAACGAGTGCAAAGACCAACACACGCGTGCCGCCACGCGGTAGAGACTTGGTGAATGAAGATGCATGGTGATTGATTGCCCACGTCCCGAGGCCACGCTCAGAAATCGGAATGACCTCCATCCACACCATGGCCGATTCCGCACCGAGGGGAACCAGTCTTGCGCATGTCTTAATGGCGACCTGGTCCAATACGAAGCGTCGCATTTGTGGCAGCACTCTTAAAAAGCAGTTACAGCCTCCATATTTCCTAACTACGTAGTTTAACCCGACTAGTTGCCCAATACTGAATCTGTGCCAGTTCCCAACCATGTCTAATCGAGTCACGCCCATTTCTCAACTCGCCAAAGAGCAGCCGAGCTCATCTCAAGGCCCAGCCTTTTGTAACTTGGGCCAACTTCATAAAGTGCCGCGAACTGTGTAAGTCGAGTACAAATCAGTACCCGGCGCATGAACAGCACCACAGGTCTTGAATGGATTGGCTGTATGTTCCAAGTGCGTGATCGTCTTGAGAGTTCTATCATTGCGGGTCTTGTCTAAACTACAGGATTATGACAGACGCGTAGACGCGTAGAGGGGAGACAATGTCCGTGGAATCCCGCAGGCTCAGACAAATGTACATAGAATCAACTCTCCATGGTATACGTACACTCATAACATGGCGCATTTTGCAAACTCCGTTTTTTTCCTGAACCTTTCCCACAAGAAAAAAGAGATTGCTGCAAATGCGAGACTCCCCTCTGGTCCCTTGACCGCGTGCAACACAGACCACTCATTCGGATCTTGCAGATTTCAGCTTTCATCATCTCTTCTCAAGTAGCTTATTTGATAATGCGAGTGACCAGGCCGGTGGCCACAGTCCTACCACCCTCACGGATGTTGATACGCTGGCCGGCCTCGACAGCGCAAGGGTTGTGCAGGGTGGCAACCATCTCGATGTTGTCACCGGGCATGACCATCTTGGAGTGGGCGTCCTCGGTGCCCTCAGGGAAGAAGAGAGCGCAGGACTCGTCGGCGGTTCGGATGTACATCTGGGGGCGGTAGTTCTCCATGAAGCCGGTGTGTCGGCCACCTTCCTCCTTGGTCAGGACGTAGAGGGAGACCAGGAACTGGGTGTGGGCCTTGACGGTGCCGGGCTTGGTGATGACCATACCACGCCTGACGTCCTCACGGCGGATACCACGGAGCAGGAGACCGGAGTTGTCACCGGCGCGGGACTCGTCGCAAGACTTCTTGAAGGTCTCGATGTCGGTGACCTTGGTCTTGATGACCTCACCTCCCTTTCCGACCAGCTCGACCTCGGAGTCCTTCTTCAGGACACCACGCTCGACACGGCCCGAGGCGACGGTTCCACGACCGGCGATGGAGAAGACATCCTCGACGGACATGAGGAAGGGCTTCTCGAGGTCACGCTGGGGGGTGGGGATCCACTCGTCGACGGCCTTCATCAGCTCGTCGATCTTCTGCTCGCCAATCTCGGGTCGCTTGCCGTCCAGGGCGCAGAGGGCGGAGCCCAGGACGACGGGGGTCTCGTCGCCCTCGAAGCCGTAGGTGCTCAGCAGCTCGCGCATCTCCATCTCGACGAGCTCCAACATCTCCGGGTCCTCCAGAGCGTCGACCTTGTTGACGAAGACGACAATCCTCTGCACGCCGACCTGGCGGGCCAGAAGCAAGTGCTCTCGGGTCTGGGGCATCTGTCCGTCTGAGGCGGCGACCACGATGATGGCGCCGTCCATGTTGGCGGCACCCGTGATCATGTTCTTGATGTAATCGGCGTGACCCGGGCAGTCGACGTGGGAGTAGTGTCGGGCGTCGGTCGAGTACTCGATGTGGGCAGTGGCGATGGTGATACCACGCTTTCGCTCCTCGGGAGCCTTGTCGATAGAGCCATAGTCAAGGAAGGAAGCGTAGCCCTTCTCGGCTTGTCGCTTTGTGATGGCAGCGGAGAGGGTGGTCTAGTCGCAAGCAAATGCTTGTCAGTCAAATGGAATCGCGAGTCGAACCGAGCTTGGGTTGGGATGAGCTTGGGCTAGAATTACCTTTCCGTGATCGACGTGACCAATGGTACCTATTCGATGTTTTGTAAGTATTTTGTTACCCTGCAATGGTGCTGGAGAAGGCACGAACCGATGTTGACGTGAGGCTTGCTCCTCTCATAGACCGCGTACCCACGGCGCAGGTTCAGGACGGGAGAAGTGGACTGTCGCTGCAGCGATACTAATGGGTGGGCGGATCTGAGAGAAGTGCGGGCTGTCCGCAGGAACGGAGCAACGGTTCTGAAAGAGGACATCTTGAAGAAAGGAAAGAGACGGCCACACAATCACAATAACAGGAGAGGAGATGGTTGAGCCCGGGATCAGGAGAGAAAAGCTGCAGCGGCCAAGAGGTCGGTCGAGGGCGAGCAAAAGTGAAGCTCTGCTTTCTGCCCGTCCTGCCGCATCGACTTTTTTGGCGGCAGGACCCACTTTGCCTCGGGCTCTAGCGCCAATCAAGCTGCAATTGATTTCCATGAGCAACTACGTCACGTGCACGCGTCAAACGGCGAGTCTCACTTGCACGGTGCGGGAAGAAGCCATCGTGGGTGTATTCATCCAGTTTCGTTCTTGCTCATCTTTCACATCCACAACAGATACCCAGCGTGACAGCTTGTCCAAAGGGAGGCAAGACCATGCACCGCCCAATTCCAGACCAGCAAAAAGAAAGAGAAAAAAAAAATAGATCGAATGCGACGGGAATTGAGCCCGACGTGGGGGTCGAACTGAGTCGGATGTTAATGAACAAGTTCCGGAACAGGTCTGGAATGTCTGAATTTTCTCTTACCCCACAACCTTGAGATTTTCTGTCAGAACGCGATGCTCGTTAAGAGTCTCACGCTCTACCGATTGAGCTAGCCGGGCGTCTCTTGGACGCTTGAGTTGAAGTCGCCAGTCGGACTGTTCACTATATCGGTGTCACCAGCGCTGAGGTTTAGGTGCTTCCCGGACGACGACCTCGTTCGCCATGTCTAGGTTCCTTGACGACGGCAATGAGTCGTTCTTCCTTTGTTCTCTTCCCATCTTCGATTTCATCTCTCCCAAAAGTCTTTTCTCTCCCCCTTCTTACAAGGTCTGAGCAGCTCTAGGGGATCTCATGACTATGGAAAGAGCATCGACATACTGAGTGGTGTGTACATGGGTCGCCAAACAGTGTTGGACATGGACTTGCCCTTGAATTCGCTGCCTGAACGCTCTTGGACACCATAATCCCTGCATAATCTGGTGGCCTCTGGTAAACTAGGCCAGGCCAGCTATGTAATGTCTCATACAGGCCAGAAGAGTAATCACACAATATTCCCGTGAAAAGTCAGTCTCACAGCTCCGGCTTCCAAGAATTCTCTGCCGTTGGTGGCTACGAGAGTCACGGAATTCCCTACTACCTTCAACACTCTCGACACGCGATACATCCAGTCCCCAAATTCTTCGAGTTGAAGCTCTTGTTTCCCAGATCCGTCGAGAGTCGACCTGAGTTCCTAATTCTTGACTATCGAGGGGTGCTCACTCCAGAAGAGGGTGCTTTCAGGGCGGTCGCTCAATTTGCCCTAGACAGAGTCTACTTCTAGTGTCGCCATTTCAGCTGATCGGAGGATATCGACCGGCACGCGACAGGAGGATCAGGAGCCCGGATTCGATGGAGTTGCCGATAGCAGTTCGCCAGGCACCTTGCGGACCGCGAAATTATCTACAGTTCGAAGAGGTTGACGTTGCTCAATTATCAAGTAGTGGCGTTTGGAAGGCTCAGTAGTGTGTATCTTATTCACTTCAACCCCCATGGTGTCTTTTGGCTGGGTTGTTCTGTAAATTGGCTAGGAGCAGCCAGAATCCTGTCAGGCTCTGAGACACCACCGGTTTCTGGGTCGCTGGGGCCGTTCATTGCTGGCCGACCGAGCACATCTGGATCAAACCGTGTATCGAAAATCATTGAACATGCCTCATGTTGCAATTACTTACTACATGTACAGTTGGGGAAAAAAAAAATGTTCTTCAAAAGGTATGAGTTTGCGGCAGCCACCGGATCCTCGCAATAAATTTGAGTCGCGTGCACCGCTGCAACCAAACTGCGGCGGTCTTGCCCACCAATCGAGTGATTGCCACCGCGCTTAGCACCTTTGACTTTTTTTTTTTGAGCCGCCCCCAGGCGCGCCTGTCAGCACAGACCATAGGATCTACTTACTGGGACCCACTTGAAATTCCTTAGCCGCAAGCGCGCCGACTCTTTCCAATCTTTCCCATCCAAAGGTCTATCCACCAGTCAAGCTCTCAACTACGTCAACGCCTTCGACTTTTTGCGCAGCCCTTTGTCGCCGACGCTCTCTCATCCAACGAGTCTCACCAAAACCTTCCACGCGCATCAACGCCTCGCCCGGCCCCTTGAACACGACTTCTCCACAGCCTTCTCCTCCCTCCGCAGCACACGATGGCCATGGATCACGGTCGGGACCCATGTCCCTGGGTCATTCTGAATGACTTCGGTGGTGCTTTCGCCATGGGAGTACGTCCTCGCCACCTCTGCGCATCGTGGATGCGGCAACTTGGCTAACGACCCTCTTAACAGGCAATCGGCGGCACGATCTGGCACGGCATCAAAGGCTTTCGCAACAGCCCCTACGGCGAGCGGCGGATAGGCGCCATCACAGCTGTCAAGATGCGCGCGCCCGTATTAGGCGGCAACTTCGGCGCCTGGGGTGGCATCTTCAGCTTGGCCGACTGCGCCGTCAAGGGCGTCCGGCAAAAAGAGGATCCGTGGAACGCCATCGGGGCGGGCTTCCTGACGGGCGGCGCGCTGGCGATACGGGGCGGGTTCAAGTCGGCGAGGAACGGCGCCATCGGGTGCGCTGTGTTATTGGCGGTGATCGAGGGTGTCGGCATTGGTTTCCAGAAGATGATGGCGGGCAGCACAAAATTGGAGGTGAGTTGCCCGACTTCGGCGCCTCTGATGGATTGAGAGTTGGCGGAATCATACTGACTGACAATTGCACAGGTCCCCATGCCGCCACCATCACCGAACGGCGAGCAAGTGCTAGCATAATCGACCTACGAGTCCTGCCTTTTCCTTTCCCTTGTTCACATTGTACAACCATCAGCCGGGTTTTCGGAGTCGGGAATCTCCACTTCAGAGGGAATATAAGATACGAATTGCGACAAGCCACCTACCTGATCTTCGGTGTTGTCACTGGCATAATTCGCATGCTCAACGACGGAGTCCAGGGGTCCTCATAGAATATAGCCGAGAGAAAGGTACGGGTTTAATTAGACCCACAGCTTCCTAACGTTTGATGGCAAGAAGTGCGTGTTGAAGTATAGCTGTTGACGGTGTCGCGGATATCCTAGTCGGACGCGACGGCACGATCCGCCAGCTGACTAGGAACTCAAGTCTGAACGATCCTCTGAGACTCGGTCGCTGGTCTTCTCTAAGTATACGGTCATTCTCCCGTATCGGTGTCCACTTCTGGCCTGGCAGTTCCTGCTAAACCAGCGGTGCTGGGGTCAGATTTAAGTTCGACCGCGTCCACGTCGACGTCATCAGACTTGGTGCGGCGAGGTCGCCGTCCACGGTCTCAAAGCCAGGTGTGCCGAGATGACTGCTCCCGCTGTCAGCAAGGCCCTCGTCGCCATGTATCAGTGACGGGATGTGTTCGTGGGATACCTCTCATTCGAATTGCAGCTGCTCGCCATGACTGGCGGCCCGGTCTTTGTCCTATTCAATCCGAAAATGTTCAACGGTCGGCAACATGGAGTTGGTATTGAACCTCTGACAGTACCGTGCGTGCAGGTCGGGCAACATCACGGCCGTATTCCAGAGTTTGTCAACCGGCAACACTGGCGAGACAGCAACAACCCAGGCCGAGGAGCTGCCGGAAGGGAAATGGGGAAGGCATTCCACCCATCCTCTATCTCGAGCTGCCGATGCCAGGGGCCTGCCAGTCTTGGGGGTCCAGCTGATATCCAGCTGCGCTAGCCCATCGCGGCGACATGAACAAGTCATGGTCAGACTGGCTCGTGGCACCTAGGCTATCATCTCAACTTCTCAACGGGCCCACATCTTCAGGCTCTCGGCTTGCCGGGCCCGTCGAGAATCTGACAGAAGCAGAGGTCGCCAATGTGGGCGCGAGCCTCTTCCAGCTGCTGAAGAGCCATGATTATTCCTAGAAAAAGGGATATAAGGTATATGTAGGCATGATGAAATGGTGTGTAGAGAAACGACCTACCGGTATTCTATTCTCGTCAAGTAAACATGGAACACAAAGGCAACATGCTACACTTAAGCGTATTCTCATTGTCTCTGAGTCGAATGCAGGGCTACGAGGACTAGATTCATCCCATATTTGACAGCAAAATATGCGGCTCATATGGCCACCGTTATGGCCTTGCCATGCATAGTTTGTGAGATGAGAGACAAGCCATGAGCCCTAGGAGCGGGCGTGTAGCACGGCGAGTCTGACACTAAAGTCGTTGCCTCGTCTTGCCCGAAATATGATTCCATCCCACACACGGCCTCGCATATTCGCATATGCCACACGACATGCTATGCAATCTTTTGGTGTTGGTTGGTTAAATATTGATTCAAACTGTGTTCGTTCCAAGTCCATTTCTTCTAGAAACTAAGCCTCGAAAGGCGACACTAATGCTCTATTGTTCTGGAAGGTTCAATTGGACCCATCAGTCTGCTTGTCGCGCGTGCGTTTTCCACTCATAGTTGCCGTGATCGTACGTTTCTCTTTGGTGGAAATTTGGCGTTCTATTCCATTGTTGATTTTACTTGAAGTATGAGTCTCCCAAGCCCTTTCCAGAACCCAGAATATATGGGCTATGGAATGCATACAGATTCGCAAGGCTTTTCGAATTGGAAGGAGAGGGGCATCGCACTCCATCTTAGGAGGGATGTTGCTGAAGGAAGGGTCTAGTTAGCAAGGCGGAACAAAAACCGAGTCCTGTGAATAGCTTGCATAGTCAACCGTGCTCATTATTACCGACATTAAACACATGAAGTCTAGATCACTGCAAGAAAACTCACCGGAAGGCTGTGTGCCGTTTGTTCTGCCAGTGGGAGACCTTTCAGATTCCAGATGCAGGAGATTACGGGCTGTCGGCCAGCCACGGTTGGAAAGCAGTAAGTATTCTGTTCCACTAGGTGCACCGCCTGGGGACACATTAGAGCCAACCCAGCAGAAGCAGTTTGTCTCTGAGATCCGGAGGAGATTTGTCTGAGAGAAATAGCTTCGGCCAGCGGCGTCAGTTGATCTGGCGCAGAAGGCGTGTGCCACCGCTGCACAATGCCATCAGCAGCTTTGCCATGCGAGGTCAAATCCTTGTTCTCTAGAGGATCCAAACTGGGACTCTCTCCTCAGACCGACACTTGCAAGGTTCAAGTAGCTACAACCAATTTCAGACCTCGCAATGTATTCTCTCGAGATCAATGCACTGGAATGGCGGATGTTTACCGTGTTTGGATTTCCTATTTCGGAGTAGGTCTCCAGTCCGGCCAATCGCGTGTTATACTGTGATGGCGAGGGAAGTGGGGTCTTGAACTCTGGGCTTCCCACCACACATAGGGTATGCCTAAAGGGGAGATGTGCATTCTACTACTCAATTTGGTGGATAAATCAGGTAAAATCCTTGCGACCTCTGATTTATACATCGAGACTCGGCTTCCTCTAGCCCGCATAAAAGTCTGTGAACCTATCTCGGCAGCCGAGGACCATTTAGGGGCACGCCGGTGGCAGGTCCATGGTACATCGTTTACCAGCCCCGTGACATTTGGGCTACTCAGCTTCAGATACGGTGTCTTGGGTGGCATGGCGCGTACGAATCAGATGATGAGGCCTAGAATTTTCATGGATACAAGATTACTAAGATATTTATCATGAGCGGAAAATGCATTTGTGGACGTCGCCGTTCAGAACAAACTCTTCAAGGTGCAGTTGGACATATTGGGATGCTGGCCTGGAAAATACACTTGCTCTCATATGATCTGATTAAGGAAATTCAATTTTTTATCATTCTATTTCAAGTTCAGATAAATCCGAAACACGATGACCTGCTCAGCCAAACAAAGACAAGAGAAAGGGAAAAGTAGGGAAAACGGGGCAACAGGGGTCAATCAACCCTGCCAGAAACAGAACAAGTCGTACTTGCCTCGAAAGACTTCCCGGGTAACTACTCTTGGGGTGGCTCACTTCGCTTGAGCGGATTCACATATGCGAAGTATAGATCGGGGAATATCATCGTGGGTAGCCTCCCATTGCGCTGTCTCTTACGGCCTCTTTCGTACCGTTCATATAACTCCTTGAGTTGTCTGAAAGTCTCCAGGATGAAGTCTCTATCCTTGTTGTCAAGACCTGGAATGGCCACGTGGCAACTGGCTTCGGCCGAGACGATAACCAGATCACTATACTTGAGGGATCCTGTTCTATCCGGATCGGAAGCTAATGCGATGATTTCATGCGGGGACTCCAGCAAAGCCGGTCTGGTGCGAAAACCGTGGACTCTGGGGGCTCTCATGAAATGAACATCCTCCATCAGGGCATGCATCGGCACAAGCCAACGCTTGGCGAGTCCCACATCACTGTTGGCTGGACCACAAAACGGGTGTTCTCTGTTTTCGTGGAAGGTGAATCCTTCCCAAAAGAAAAGGTCTGCACTCGGGCCTTGAGGTCTAAGTGTGGCGCCCAGAGAAAGCCGGTTGAGATGAGGGCTCTCAAAAGCGGGCTGGGGCCCAGGTATGCCGCAGCGCCTGTGGAAGGACTGGACTACACGGTGGCTCTCTTTGCAAACTTGGCTGAGTGTAGCTGCAGGGTCGTTCGCGAGGAGGAACGGCCTGTTGAGGACAAAGAAAGAACAGAAATTGTGCTCAAAAGCCGCATTATAAAAGTCATTGTAACCGGCCAGGTCGTTTATGTCTTTCCCGACTACAACGATCCTTGGCTCGAGGAGCCCGAACAATGATTGCTCGAAAACCATTTCCCTCAATTCGGTTGGCAACAAAGGAAACTTTGAGAAAGTGGCGGATTGGTGGTCCATGGCCATGATTGCGGTTGCGGTTGCTGTGTTAGAGTCCTCGGCAAGGTTGATTGCTGCAGGATGGTCCAGTTACTGAAGTAGGAGGGCCTGGTGCAGGGGGAATGAACTAGAGCTTGGATAGTGCAACGATACTGAGACATTATATATGCGGCATCAATACTGTTTTGATGAGATTCGACTTAGAGGACAAGGCCATTGTTGTTTGCTTTTGTCTCTGTTACTAAAGTTGTGTCCAAGACACAACCAGGACTAGAGATCCTATTGAAGAGACCTTCGGCCAATGACAGGCGCTTGGACGGCCCACTTGCAAAAGGAGTGTCTCGGCCGGTCTGAGGATCGCCATGGAACACCGATGACATAACCCTCAAGCCCCTCCGAGGCCCAGCGTGCTCTTTGTCACTGGCAGACACCCCTTCGAAGCTGGCTCCTTCGACTGGGCTACCCTCTGGTTGATTACTGTACAATCCAATACCATGCGCCATTTCCGCTCCGTGCTCTCCGATCTGCATCCTCGACTGTCAATCCGCTGATCCTCGCCTTCGTCTCGGTCGGGCCCATCGCAAACACATCATCAAAAGTTTCCTGGCCGAGCGAGCATGGGCGGCCAAGACAAGCAGGTGGCCTTCGAGGACCCTCACTCCAGCGCCAGCGACGAGGATGCCAAGGCCGTTGAGGTAACGACCAGTGCCCCTCAATGCCCCTCAATGCCCCTCCATGCCCTGCCAACGACCTGCCCTGCCCTGCGCCACTTTTATGGTCACCCTCACCCTCACCGCGACGCCTACCTCGCTGCAGCTGGACCGCTGACGAGAAATCACTAGGTGACATTCGACGCCGGCAGCGTCTACCGTCGCAAGAGCTCCCTCGTCCCCTCTGAAGCGCCAATCCCCAAGCTGCGCCAGCAGCACACCGACAAGACCCAATGTCTCGTCCACCAGTTCCTCGACTCGCAGAAGCGGGCGCGCCACGCGCAGCACGAGCACGCGCAGCACGAGAAGGGCAAGCAACAGGGGCAGCGGCACGTCGACGGCGCGTCGCTCTCCGAGAACGGCGTCTCTGACCAGCGACTCGTCGAGCCCAAGGGGAAGTGCGCCATCCTCTCTCGGGGCGGCGACGCCGACGCCGGCAGCGACGCCGGCCAGACCGACGAGCACGAGTGGGCAAAGCAGATCGCCAAGTCGACCGCGGACGTGGACAAGTCGCACGCCGAGGCCGAGCACGAGCTGCACAGCCGCCTGCTGACCAAGAAGCAGCTGAGCGAGATGGCGTGGGGCGTCAGGGAGCTGAGCCGGCGCCTGGGGAGCATGCGGCTCAAGTTCCGCGTGCGCAACATATTCATATTGACCAAGGTCTACGATCGCGACCTGATACCCAAGACGCGGGAGCTGGCCCGGTGGCTGCTGGACAAGGAGCGGGACGTGAGATATACGGTATACCTGGAGCGGGATCTCAAGACCAACAAGCAGTTCAACGCGGAGGGGCTGATTGAGGAGCTGAAGAAGGATTACATACAGGCCGGCGAGCTCGAGGAGGAGAATGCAAACGCCATAACGAGGCGTCTGAGGTGGTGGGACGAGCACATGTGCCGCACGAGGCCACACACCTTCGACTTCGCAATAACTCTCGGCGGCGACGGGACGGTGCTCTACGCCAGCTGGCTATTCCAGCGCATTGTGCCGCCTGTGCTGAGCTTTGCATTAGGGAGCCTGGGGTTCCTGACCAAGTTTGATTTCGAGGACTACCAAAACACACTCAGCGGGGCCTTCAAGGAGGGCGTAACTGTTAGTCTCAGGTTACGGTTCGAGGGGACCATCATGAGGAGCCAGCGGCGGAAGAGGGACCCAGGCCTGATAACGGACGGCACCGCCGGCAGTTCAAACTCTTCAAGTGAGGAAGACGAGGAGAGCATACGGCGAGACCGGGACCTAGTAGAAGAGCTGATTGGTGAAGAAAAAGAGGACGAACACACACACAAGCCGGACGGGACCTACGAGATATTAAACGAGATCGTCGTGGACCGTGGGCCGAATCCAAGTAAGTCTGCATCACTCGTTTTCGAAAGCTGCTCGCTGTGATAATGATATTGGTAATTATGGGGGGCTGACACAACCCCAGCAATGTCCTACCTCGAAATATTCGGCGACGACGAACACTTCACCTCAGTCCTGGCCGACGGCATCTGCGTTTCGACGCCAACGGGCTCGACAGCCTACAACCTCGCGGCAGGCGGCTCGCTCTGCCACCCGGAGAACCCGGTGATGTTGGTGACGGCCATCTGCGCTCACACGCTGTCCTTCCGGCCCATCATCCTGCCCGACACCATCGTGCTGCGGGTGGGCGTCCCCTTCTCGGCGCGCACGAGCTCCTGGGCCAGCTTTGACGGCCGCGAGAGGCTCGAGCTGCTGCCCGGGGACTACGTCACCATCTCGGCCAGCCGCTTCCCCTTCGCCAGCGTCCAGGCCGAGGGCCGCCGCTCCGAGGACTGGGTGAACAGCATCAGCGGCAAGCTCGGGTGGAACACGCGACAGAAGCAGAAGGCCTACAAGGAGTGGGAGCACTGAGGGGGCGCCACCGCGGCGCAACGAGGGTTGTAAGATCATTTGGCAGGCGGGTATATATTGTGCAGGCGTTAGGTTAACTACTACATAAGGGCGTTGTCCCATAACCTGGAGCGTGTTGCTTACCATCTAGACAAAGCGGGAAGAATTAAATCCGCCCAAAGAGCCGGCCGGGTGTCTGCCCCTGCGAAGATCGCGGATGGGCATGTCAGAACTAAAACCCGACAATAGGCCATACATAGCGAAGCATCATCACGATCTAGGAGGACGTCAAATCCTACCATAAAGAAACCCACCGGTCCAACCCGGCCTGCTCCGACGCCACCGCAGCGTAGTAGAAACTACAATCACACAGTAACGTGCTGTTGCCCCCCCCCCCTCTTCCTGTGACGAGCACCCCTGCCAGGCGCCAGTTCCCGGCCGACCGCCACACGAGATAGATCAGATGAAGGGCGATCCCCCAAAATAGGGCCAGCATGAAGACAGGAGTCGATCATCAATGCCACTCGAAACGTTCACACTGGCGTGCTAGCCTGGGGCGCGCTGCACTGCAAGCGATGACGAGCTCCCCAGGCAGACTAGCACGAACGGATGGCGGAGCCTGTCAGAGGGGTCGCTCCCGTCTACTTTACCTAGTTGCTGCTCCTTCTCACAGGGGTCCTCGCAGAGGTGTCCCTACTATCGTGCACAACACCACCCTTGTCTCTGTAACCACCCCTCATTGGACTGCGCGCCTGAGTCTGGAACAAGTGCAGGACCCTGCTCTGAGGACCAGTGACGGGTGGGTGAGTTTATTGAAGTGATCGACGACTGACCTGCGTGCCCCTGGACTAGACTTGCCGCCATGCAGCTACAGCTTATATCACAACGATGTTGGCGATAGCAATCTCACCACTACGCCAAGGCTATATACGGCACAGCAAGCCATACGGGCATTTGGATATCGACTTCCCAAGGACCAAGCTTCAGTCAGCCTTACGCCTCTCCCTTACGACCAGCAATATATGGATTGCCTCTAGAGCCTGTCTTCATCGTGAACTTGCCGGCCTCGACCGCAGCCGAGGAGGCTAGGTGGGTCTACTGGATCTACACAGTCAGCGGCACCTACACGAGCCTCCAGAGGAACCTCGGGCCTCTAGTAACGATATTCTTGGTGGCGGGTAAAGCTCTCGTTTTGCAAGTAGCCGCACAAGACGAAAATAATCAGAGATAGTTCCCGCGATCCTTATAGTACGGTTCCTGCAGCTCCACTGGTTCATGCTCTAATTCTTTCCCATTCTCACTGTCATCGACTTCCCGTTACCAATGGCTGCGCGTGCGCTGTTCCGGCGCTTTGAAATCCACCGGTTGAGGCCCCAAGATATGTCATTCCTAGGACCCCAGCTATCCTAAAGGAGATACCAGGCCGCCAAACACGCCGCCCTGTCGTTCTATATCCTGACAATGCTGGGTTATATGTCATAGATATCGGCTGTCAGGTCATTCGCCACAGGCGGGCCCTCGCGCCTGGCGGATATCCCAGAGTCGGAGACCTTTCGGGCAGTTGGTTGATGGTTATCCTGGCTCACCGTTGTCCCTGGCAATAGTCGCAACACTGGCCAGCCCGCCTGTTGGGCACAGACCGTGTGGAAACGATGGATTCATGAGTGCGGCAACATCGATTCGGGTTCCCCTACAATCAGGTTCGAGATTGGCTTGCTGTCGAGTGGGGAGACGCGAGGGAGTGGCGGATGCATCCGGAGAAGCAGGCCATCGCCACCCTGCGGGCTGCAGAGCGGGACGATGACAATGACGACAGGCTCACCAGCAAGATGATTCAAGCGCTGGAAGCATTCAGCACAGATCGGACCTGCTTTATTCTCCCTCTCCCTGTACCGAGGCAGCCGGGCGAGCGGCTTCGAGGACAATACGGCCTGCCTGTCTATGGCATCAATGTAGTAGAGTCTACCACTCCAAGAAACATAGCCAGGAATGGCAAGGGGAAAGAGAGACAGACAGGCATATGATATTTGAGACTGGTACGTGTATTGCACAGGTGACCATCCAGCAACCACCTGCGCCAGCCCCCTACATCCCTGCCTGGATGGTTCCCAACGGCTACAACCGAGCCAGCCCACCCACCGCTCCCCTATGGCTGGGATACCCTGGGACGGAGCCGCGGTGGCGGGCTCCAGAAGTCTAAAACCGGGACTGGGATATTCTCTTGCACCTTGGCGCGCCGTCCTGAGACAGACATCTGGTGTGAGTCGTCATCGGAACACTCAATTGGAGCTGCGACGATCCCCCTCTTGACTCGAACGGACTATCTCTCATGCTCGTTCGGATTAACGAGAGCGAGCAGGAGGCGTACACCGAGAAACCCCGGATTACATGGGGCCTTGCGGCAGACATGATGGGACGGATGGGTTTTTTGACTTCGCTTGTCAGAAGCTTCTCAAGACTTGGGATCATTTGTGTTATTGACTGTCTCCGTCCGGTCGTAGTAAAATGCTGTTCCAATGTCCAAGCCGTGTTGCCCCATTAGTGGCGCTGCTTCGACGATCTATATCTCTCTGTCCAGCTTAGAAACCGTCCCTCAAACGCCCCTCTTCGCACGCAAAAATGAGAAAGGTATATAACGCAGGTTCTGGAGATCAAATTATAGCCTACACGCAGATATTATAGGCAAATCGCACCATATTCACAGTTTCGGTCGTCTTTTAAACAGGTGGTAAAGTAGTAGTCGTAACAATGAGTCGCTGGTGATGTGATGGCGTAAAATTTATGGAACAGATGACGGGGAAGAGTTTGTTCACTCTCCATCCTCGTTGGCGTCCTCAACGGTCTCAACGAAGGTCATCGTGATGCCTTGCTCACCATCGACGTTCAGGTTGACAGCGTCAATGCCGTTGGGGCTGGGACTGGGGCTTGCGTCCCTCTTGTTCGGTGCGATCTGGATTGTCTGGACTCGAGGCTCGATTGGGACATCGCGGGCGCTCATCTTGTTACCGCCGTTCTGAAGGGCTTTTTCATTGCACAGGAAAATTAGTCGACGTCGATTATGAAGTTGCGCCTGCGCCGTAGGAATACCGAGTTAGAATGTGTGGGAAAGAAAACGCGCAAACTCACAGGGAGGAACGCCGGAGCGGACGTACATGGTGGTGACCTTGACCTTTTGGCTGGCAGCCAGGTCACGCCTCTTGAGCCCGGCGACGGCGGCACCCTGAGCGGGGGCAGGGGCAGCGACAGCAGCGCCCTCGGAGGCTCCAGTGCCTGGACGGGCGGCGGCCTGAGGGTTGTTGTCGATAATCATACCGACACCAGCACCGCCCTCACCAGTTCCGAGTTGCACCTTGGGTCCCTTGACCAGGGCAGCCTCAGCGTACTGCAGGGCGCGGTCGAAGCCGGTCTGACGCTTGGCGATGCTCGGTGTCTCTCCTTCATCTCGGGGGGCGATCTCCTTGCCCATGCCCTGGAGCGCGGCGATTTGCTGAGCCTGGATGAGTTGATATATTTGTTAGCTGCCTTGTACCTTATATGACGTGCCTCTTGCATTCTCTGGTTGACTGCTCACCTGCTGCTGAAGGGTAGGATCCACCGAGGCGGTTGAGGCAGACCCAGTTGCGGCAGTTGCAGGCACAGCTGCGGGCTGAGCAGCCGCGGGCTGTGCTTGTGCGGGTTGGGCAGCAGGAGCTTGAGCCTGGCCTTCAGCGGCACCTTGAGCGGCACCATTAGTCGCTGCTCCATTTGCTGCGTTGACTGCTGCGCCCTCAAGGACATTCATCAGGCCGGACACGTCTTGATTACCTCCGAAGCTAATTTCACCATCACCTGTTGGCGTAAAATGTGATTAGCAAAAGATCATACACTGTGAGTGGAAAGCACAGGTGACCATCTTACCCACTACCAACGCCGGGGAGTATGCTCCGAGGTTGATGTTCAAAGGCAGAGCGGCGGCGGCGCCGGCCAGGAACAGGATACGGTATGCAACCATTATTGTGACTGATGTAGCACTTTGTCTTGGAATGGTCTTCTCTCGAGTGTGGTGAGACGAGGTACGGGAATATGATCCGTGTGTGTATGTGTAATCAAGATGTATGAATGAACGACCAGCGACGGCGACCAGCGGTGAACGGCAAGGAGCCGGGAAGAAGAGATTATACGTGTGAAGTTGGATCGAGCGCAGCTGACAGAGGAAGATAGGTTCATCAAGAGCCTGCGAAGATGGGAGACGAGTCGATATATAGTCTATGAGTCGTGAATATGCATCCAGACCCTCCTCTGCCTTCGTCTGGTCCCTGCCCTAACAAGCCTCAAGGACATGAAGCTGCCAAGAGCCCAGAGCTGTCCTATGCCGGGGATTGTGGAGCCTGGGTAGTGTCGTCCCCGGACATGGGGATGATGCTTGTCCGGAGGACGTATGCTTGTTCGCCTGGCGAATGCGCTTGGGCAACGGAGCGGACGAGGCATGCAGTCGGTCAGGACGAGGGTCGTGATTGGCCAACGAGCCGCCAAGAGGTCGACTACGATGCTCTGGGAGGTTGAAACGCAGGTGACACTAGCCACAGCTATCCAATAATAGAGGGACTGGTGCGTGTAGGAAGGGCGTGTGGGCACGGGCGGGAGCAGCGAGGGATCTGGATCTGGAAGGGTAGTGCCTGATCACCCAGCGGCGGACTGGGTCGCGTTTGAGGGTCTCGAGGTGATTCTGCTTGGCTGTAGTAGCCAAGAAAGGGCCCAGGCACGTCCGGCATTCAGACGATGGAGACCCAGGTTGTCGGCTGAGTGGATCATGCACACTTGATACCTGCCAAGAGCAGCCCTAGCCGAGTTGGAAGGAGGAGGGACCCGAGCGCAGGCAAATCGCGAGGAAACACGGTAAGGCGTCACTCGCTCCAGCGACTCTTCTGCGGCAGACTGGCACAGCACTGCAAACCGGACGGGAGCAAATATAGAAATCAACGCCGGCGTCGCGATGTCCACCTCCACGCTCATGCCCTCCCTGCCCATGCCCACTTCGGCTGCTTGCTGCTGGGGGTGCAGTCTTGGCAATGTTTGGTTAAGCTTCCCTCGAAGAACACGAACATAGCGACCGATCGGAGGGGATCCACCTAGGCGCGCATGCTTGAGAAATCCAGGGCCAAACAGGACATGGAATGTTTAGCAGCGAGCCTCAGTCTATGGTTGAATTGAGTCGCATCCTTCCGGAAATTGCGCGTGTGCGCTGCAGCATGACTGGTGGCTGGCGGACACGCGCTCGAGCGCTGCCGTGCGTGCATCGAGCATCGAGCATCGAACACTGAGGAACGAACACTGAGTGTTGGGCACCAAGCACTGGCTGCACTGACGTGCGGTAGCATTTCCATAGGCCTGGGAATGCGACGAAGGGAGAAGCTTTTTCGCGGGCTAAGACGAGAACAGCCCCAAGCATTGGCGCAGATTATTGTGGAGGCCTGGCCGCATGAACAGACCGAGCATCGTACATCAAGCTCTCTGGGCGATTTGGCCCTCTCGGCGCAGATGGGGCGGATCCCCAGAATCTCTTGTCCTCGTCCCAGGCTGCGCGGAGAAAGGATTGTGCCGGAGGAACTGGCCCACGGCCTTTCTGCGCGCTTTCAGTGCATTCCTTGGCCTGCCGATGACCGATGGCCCAGTGCTCTGGGACGGCATTTCGAATGAAACAGCGAAGGTTGGCTCGTCGGATTTGTGCATGTTGGTTGACAGTTTGCAGCCGAAAGCTTCTGCGCGCTGCGGTGGGCGGAGAATTTGACCTCGAGCCTCATGTCACTGCAGCCATCGAGATGCAAACTGAATATTGACTCCTTCAGAGCTTGTAGGCAGGTGGCGGTGGCAGCTGGCATGTGGCAGGTGGTAGGTGTGTACTCCGTACCTGCCTCAAGTCTGGTGCCGACAATTGAGCTTGGCCCGACTCAGGAAAAACACTAGCGCTCCCCTGCCGATTACAGGAAACGAAACAGACACGGGCCCCCTTACCTAGATTTTCCCAGCGTGAAACACGGTGCGATGCGACATCATAGCAACCGAGCCAGGACTCCAACCAGGTATTATCTGAAGTTATTTCGAGAGGATTGCAATACATATCCGTCAGAGGATTGAACGTTGAGAATGGTTTTGCAGATCATCAGGTCGGTACATGTGAGCTAAGAATGTGATAATCTTGAGGCAGCCGCAAGGTACCATCAGAACAAGAGAAGGAAGTGGTACGTACTCCATGTGCTCCACTCTGATTCGCTCGGTGCTTTCTTCCCGTCGCCCCCGCTACGGGTGCAACCCCCAGGTTGACATTTCCAACCTCATCACTCACTCTCAACCACCGACCGTTCAACCTGATGAGCTCCACTACCGCCAACTTCTCGTCAGCATCCAGCAGCCCGTGCAGACGCGCAGCAATGATTGTCACGCGATCCCTGTGTACTGGGGACACATGTTCGCCTCTGATTTCAAATAAGCGGGTCCAGATGTGTATTTCCTGGGCATGGTGAGGCATCGCCAAGGTGATCGGCCTCGACTCATCCGCTGGCCAAGCAAGTTCTGTGGTTCACAACCCAGGACGACAAGCCGGATGGCCTGGGTGCTTCCTAGCCCGAGCCGTAAAGCCAACGCCTGCCTCACAGAGACACGTTTTCTTCATGGCCGATCGTTTCATTGCCATGCTGCTGCCGTGAACAAGACGAACTGGCGGCCCTTCCCCTTTTCCAGTCATACTAAGGTAGCTGCAACTGCCTGCCGTTCCTGGAGCTTTGACTTGCCTGGAACCTGCATGCCACGAGGATCTGCCATGAGGGGTCTGCCAGCACACAGTACAGCAGTATCCTCCAGCCAAGGCGTAACCAGTGACTCGGCTTCCTCGCCACCAACACGCAGGTGACTCGACTCGCAGTGGGCGAACATCTGCGCCTTGAGCTTCTGGAAACGCATTACCTGACATATTACATGCCAGCACCAGTGAAAGCAGGAGTTCCCTATTTGGTGGCATTGGCATCCCAGACAGCACTTTGTCGCACAATCACCCGCTCCTCGGCCAACAGGATCCTGTCGCGCCCGCGCCAGTGAATCAGGATTAGCGCCCCAAAGTCCGAATCAATCCTAGCCAGCGGCGCGCACCGCATGAAAACCTTATAATAACCTTGATTTCTAGGGGAAAACTAATCGAATGTTCCATATCTCAAAATATCAGGACGGCATTGGCAGCTATCGAGGCTAGCAGAATCAAGCTGACTGGAAACCTCCCTGTGCCGGCCCTGTCGTCCAGCAAGCGCCGGCTATCTGACAAGCTGTCACTGGTATTTGCGGACGAAGGGCGCCTTGGATCGGTCGAGACCCTGAGCCTGGCGATATTTCCATCTCGGTCTAGGAGATAGCGCAACTAATATTGGTCCACGAACACAAAGCATCCGCACCACTTCGTTCGGCGTTGTTACGCATCTCGTGATGCCTCACCCACGCCGGCCAAGCGCTCTACAGATCTGACACCTTCCAGGCCCGTCTGGACTTGTTCGACTGGTTTGACTAGGGTTCCGGTCAGCACCACAACCACCCTGACGACAAGTCTGGCTGGGATTCGCGGCCGCGATTCAGTCACACACCTGGCATTTCACCTTCACGCCCCAGCTTAGAGTTCGGTGCCAACGCAGGAGCCAGCGCTTCGACTGCCATCACGACTTCTCTCTTTCCTCTTGGCCCACAACCAATGCACGCGACTGGCTGATCGGATAATTCCTGTCAAGGCCCACGCTGAACTTAAATCCAATCACTTGCTGGGGGATCTACGTTATCGTCCATTTGGTCGGGATGAGCCGGTCCTACGCGGATCTTGAGAGTTCAGGATGACTGCATTGTGGTCTGGCGCAAGTGGTACTTGGCTTTTGTGACAAGGGCATAGACTTTGGGCGTTCATCTTGGCGACAACCTCCACAACCATGAGGGCCAAGCACGTCGTCGTCAACCTGCTTGAGAATATCTCGCAGACCGTGTGGTGTTCGCCTCGTGCATCATGGGCATCCCATCTCGAGAACGGTAGCCCCGCCAAACCTCCGTAATTCAACCTTCCTGAACAGGCAGCTGAGCATCGGCTCGAAGTCCGATTTGAGGGGCTCGATATTGACACGAAGGGCAAGCTCCAGCTGAGCTACCACTCCCGACGATCATCGATGAGCACGATGTCCTTCTGCTTGTGTCGCAGACACTGCTGACCTTGGAAATCTAGACGAGGCAGCGGACCGACCGCAAGGTTTCGAGATGATTAGACTGATGGCGAGTGCACAGGGCGGAGTGAGAACACTTTCAAGCGTCTGCTGTCTGCTGTGCATGCCCAGGAACAAAGCCACTGCTTGAAGTAGCCCATCGCAGCCATGTCTGCCATTGCTCGGTGGCTTGTGTTCGAGACCTGGGTTTGTATCTCTCGGCCCCACGACGCGCCTTATAGCACGTTACGAGGGTATGATACACTCGAGTAACTTTTGAGGTTTGATACGAAAGGACAGTCGACGCGCTGCCTAAGCGAAGCCCGTCGAAGCATGATTCGAGCACATATTTCTAGTCACCATCGCGAGCGCGGGATAGAGTGATGGATGCCTTTGATGCAGTCGTCAGGCGGTTTCTGTTTTCTTGAGTGCAGACTTCGTCGAACTACGAGACTTGGGAACTCGGTCCTTGTCCAGAGAGTCTAGTCACATTGCACTCCGTGGCAAAAGGTCCCGATGATGCTGTACTAGAATTGTACAGTGGTGTGGCGATCTGTCTCAACGGAGCACTCTGCAGTGTCCCAGCTGGCTTTTTTGCGCAGGGTAATGGGAACACTGTAAGTCTCCACAAGCGAGGAGCTTGGACCAGACGATGCTCTGTGGACGATTTGTCTCTTTCTTTTTGCCATACTGCATTTACTTGCGCTGAAAGGCTCGTGTGAGTACGCAACTGTTCTACAGCTCGAGTTGATGAAGTCTCAGCTGGTTACTGTCCACCTGCTGTAAGGCACTTGCTGGAGCCAAAGGTGCAAGGGGGCTGATTGGCTTATCGCGCACCTCGTTCTTCGGCGAAAGCCCCCATATAAAGTAATCATGTCTCCAGTCTACTAGGGACCTTGAAGTTCCGAATCATACTTATCTAGCACATCTTACACCTGATATTCACCCTCTTAGTATGAATCGCTCTTTTTTTCTCACAATGTAGGAGGGCGTGGATCCTATTCCCAGAAATACTGCTCCCAGCCCATATGACAGTTTGCTTAATTAGTCTCTTGCTTTATCGCGGTCTCCCGTGGGGATCCGTCTATGACTGTTATTCATAACCACGTCCGGGAACTGAGCAACACATTCATCGCCAGTGGCTAGCCGTTGAGGTAATTCAACTAAGCCTGTCATATAACAGCGAGTTGCACTATGCACTGTTGCTCAGGCTCTGCAGCACAACACCAACGAAAAACATCAGTACCGCTGCATACGCCAGCGTCGCCGCAAAGACCGCCTCAAGAGTACCGACGGCCACAACCATAATCTCGGAGCGTCGGCCCCAGTTGAGTGATTACACCCGCGCTATCACCGTAGTCCTTGTCGAATCCGGCTGACAGTGCAAGCCATGTGAGGCGCCCCTGTAGCAGACGCAGTTGCATTCGCTGAACGTCTGCCAGGTTGACACAAAGAGCATATTCCAGAGAATCTCTGCCGTGGCGCAAGCGATGAAGCCAGCGAGGCTCGATAGGGCGGCGGTTTGTGACGAGGTCAATGAAACTAGGAATAGGATGGTTTTGATCCGCATTTTCATCGGCCCTTGACTCGTCTCCTGTGGCGGCCTCTTGTTGTTCTTGGGGCTCTTTTTGGGGGGCTCGTAAGTAGTAGTCCTTGACAGTTCGATTCCATATCTCCTTGTCAAATGGGAAACCCGGGCCTGGCTCTGCGCAGGAGCAGTGCAAGGGCGGCATGTTCTGATCGGTTAAAGGCATAACTTTGTCATTCACGGCTCTACTCTCAAGCTAGCTTGCAAGTCGAAGTCGAGAAAATCAATGACCCTACCGCTTCTGAAGAGTTTCGCATAGGAACGAAATTTTCATTAAGCTGATTGTAAGTGCCCGACATCTCCTGTCGAGGTCCCATGCAGCCGCCGTGACAAACCAACCTGCAGCTTTTCAGACATCAGCGAGCAATGTGGCGTGCATCCGTCCACTCACGCGGCAGGGCAGATGCAGGTGACCGTATTCTTCAGACCCCTAACCAGTGAAAATACGCCGCTCAGTAATCATCGCAACCACACGAGAAGCGGCATGCATGCTTACCGCCAAGCTTGCGGTAAGGCTCTCGTTTCCGGTCCACAGACTGTGCCACTGCATATATACGTAACACCAATATTTCCTGCTCAAGACTCGCACCCCAGGTCTTCTTGTCTTTTTCGTCGCTTTCAAAACACTGTTCTCTCAGCAGAGGGGTCCGGAGCATTTGTCTCCCAAGCTTTACCCGTTGCCCCATTTCTCAGACGAGACATGTCCCACTCCGATATTTGGAATCCGGCGCCATGTATCACGATGAAGTTGTCGCAATATCCCCCCGAAAAAAGAGACGTACTCCTTACATACTCGACTGACACGGAGAAGGTGGATCCCGAGAGAGCCAGAGAGCAAGCCAGCATCCTGGCTGAACAGCACTTCGACAATATCCCGAAAGCCCTGCGTGTTGTGAGGGAAAGGTTTTATGCGAAGCCCAAGAACCCAATTGCTCGCTGCGCCTTAATCGATGAGCACAGCATCTTGGTCAGCGGCATTGGCATCGTTGCGGCTAAAGAGCAAGGAGATGAAACCGATTTGCAATGCCTGGCGACTGCATATGCCAGCAACGGTCGAAAACTGATGTTCCAAGCGCTTCGCATTCCCAAAAGTAGCCTTGAAAAAACTCAAGTTAAGAAAGAAGGGCTGCAATTTCGAATCCGGACGCGGGTCAGCTTTGCTGAATGGCAGGCGACTGTTGGGAATCCTGGGTACAGGGGGATGGCGCGAACTAGCGATGATTAGACGAGAGGTCCATATATGGTTTTTGACTCCGTGATTTTCCGACTTAATGCCAGGGTGGTTTGAATCCGCGTAAAGCATACAGTGGGTGTGACCAAGGCAGAGTTGTAGTATGCCATTCTCCAAGAATGCATGTGGTCTTCAACTCTATAGGTCTCCTATTGCTACAGACCTGATCACAGATTCATTTTGTGATCCTTTGCAGAGATATCTTCGTTCCCAGACTAGAAGAGAAGCTATCCTGATTTCGTTAATGAATCAACCTCAATCCGAAATGACGATAAAAAACATTTGTTGGTCGATTGAGAAGATTCGTGATCTCACGTAGGCAACACACGGGAAGAGGTGGGAAAGATAAATGCTACAGCACACAAATTTTAGTATCTATGAAATATGCCCGCAATGCTTAGTTTTCCTCCAGGAAGAGGAAGCGAAAGCGGCGATGCCTACGACTATCACCTTCTGCGGCATGCCCCTAGGAATCATCATCAGCCCCTTGTGTGGTTGTCAACAAGGACTTGGGCGAGCTGCCAATAGCTACTGACCAGCAACTCCAGGAAACTCGCAAAGTTGACGACTTTCCCGTGAACGACTGCAAGGCCAGTAGTCCCTTCAGATGGTAGCGGTCTTGAACTAGTCGATTCTCCCTATCTTCCATTTCTTTTCGCTTTCAATCGACTCGTTGCGAGACTGTCTCCCCACTACAAGATCAGAGTGGCCTCGTGGAGCGGACGCCTAGGTCGACACGTCGGCATCGACTTGCACAGCCAGCATCTACTTGGAAATTCGCCTATTATCCCAGAAATGGATCTGCGGCGACGGAGAAAGTCCTGGGTCTCAATGTGGGCTGGCATGATGATGGCAGAGTGGGGGAATAAAGACGGGCCGACCGCTACAAGAAGCAGCGGATTACTATCATGGGAGAGTATTGGGTTGGCGAACTCCACGCTCCAGGTCAGTACAGCTTCCAAGGGGTCAGGGTATAATGGGAGAGGGCGTTGGCTGTGAGCCGCACAGGGCGACAGTTGCGGACAACTCCAGTGCTCGAGTGACCGAGACCAGCGCGCCTTGTGGGATACGGGGTGCCCAACGTCGCGTGTTGCTAATGTCTCTTGCGACCAACAAGCCTTGAAGGGCCATCACAACCACTTTGTGAAGTGGGTCGATTGGCTCTCTTCAAGTACCATCGCCTACCTCGCCGGGCTGCGACAATCGTCTGCATCTCACACCAACACGCAGAACCTGGGTTCTTTGTTCTGTCGACGACATGGCATCACCAACGGTACATACTGGCCCGTTCTCAGCCAACCCGACGGCGCAGACAAAGGATGGTCCAAGAGGTAAAAGCGACAAGATCGATGGCTGGTTGTTTGGTCCTCCTGCAGCACACAGGCGTAAGTTTCGATCAGTCGTGCTCCAAAAAATTGCCATCACTTCCCGGACCGGCCACTCACCACACCTGACGACACGACGGACGGTCAGATATGGGTGAGCAAGTGCGAGAAGGGCTCCGGACGGCGGGGGCCGTGGCGTTGATAATCGGGTTCATTATTCTGTGCGCCGTGGCCGGGAGGCTGTGCGTCAAGCGGAATCGTACAGACGCGCCGTTGCTGTAAGGAGGTTCCGTCGTCTTCGTCTTCCCATTTCCCACCTTTGCCGCCTTGGAATGGCTTCTCCGTGGCCTGGAAACTTCCGTCGGGGAGATCACAAAAATTGAAGGCTTCTCAAGGCAGAGCTAACCCAATTTCGCATGCAGGACGCCGAAATATCCAACGGATCCGCCGCGTGAGGTAGTCTAGTCGAGTTGATCATGATGAGATGAGGGAGATGGATGGGATGAGATGAGATGAGAAAGAGATGAGGCTGTGGAAGACTGGGCAGAGATGATCGTCAATCTCGGTCCCGCAGTGCATTCGAAGGCACTTGGATGCATAGTGGCTGTGAGGCTTAAGTGATCGGCAGCTATAGGCAGCCAAGCATTCGAGTCTGGGCTGTCAGCCAGTCGGTATCCAAGGACAGCCGAATTGCACAAAGAGGCAAGCGCCGGGTTCGAGTGACGAGGTTAGCAGCGTCATGCCGAATGTGACACTGCTTTGTGCGCCCCTGAGTCAAGGGACCCTCTAATCTCAGCGAATCTCGTGTTTCTCGGGCCACTCGAGCACCAGTCCCATAGCAGACGCAGGCGCCGGCCGAAGCGAGAACGAGGGCGCGCGACAGGACAAAACGGGACATAGGGCCATTGTCAACCACCCGTCAGCCGGTTCCTGGTCATTGCAATCTGCCATTGTCGGTTGACGGGGAGCGGTTAAAGCAGGCGAGCCAAGAAAGAGGCCTGCACACGCTCTTTTGTCCCTGTCCAACCAAGGCGCTGCCGTCCGGGACTCACCCCTTTAGAGTGACTTGACCATCCCTGCCGAGCCCACAAATATCTGCTTGATTCCCTGCCCCTACCACCCCTGCCCTCAATCCTCGCATCCCGTTCATTGTTTCGTTTCGAGGTCGTCTTGAATCTCGTGGTTGATCATTCCTTGACCTTAAACATCACCAATTCTGAACCGCCACCAGCGATACTAACCGAAACATACCGCATCACATCGTACCCGTCGCATCTGTCTCTCGCACCAGCCTCGACCGTTCTCTCTTGCCGCCCTCAAGCCCCACCGTCTGTCTCGCCACGCCTGCCGCACTCCTTTCGGGCCAAACTCATTCATTTACCCCCGCAGCCAACGGCGACCATGACCAACTCCAGCAAGCTCTTCTCCTTCTCGGACGAGTTCACCGAGTGGGCCAAGCAGGAAGACATGGTCAACAACCAGATGAACAGCAACTGGATCCCCGCCTACGTCATCATCACCCTCATCCCCATCGGCTTCATCATCAGCGCCGCGCTGGCGAGCCGCAAGGAGACCAAGAGGCAGGCCAGCGAGCGCGCCGCCAGGGCCGCAAGGATAGGTGAGCTGCTGCCCCTGTGGCTGCGCGACATGGTGGCGACACGGAGTGCTAACAACGACTCGCAGGTGGCAACTGGGACTGAGCGTGATGGGACCGCGAATGGGAACAGGATCGAACTGACGGATCTGGAGGCAGGGGTCGCTAAGGGGCCCGGCACAGTAACAATGCCGAACACAGCAGCAACAGCAGCAGGCACGGAAGGGACAGCTCCCCCCACCGATCCGAGGGCGAGGGCGGACAGCATTGCGTCCGACACGGGCGCAATCATTGATGGCGGCGCGACACACGGCGCCGGCGATGCCACACTGCCTCGGAGGCAGCGGAGGGGCCCCTCAATCGGGCAGCGCCAGCGGCAGGAGCGCGCCGTCGCAGGGCCGTCCAGGAGCGCCCAGAGGAGGGCCAGGAGGCGGACCCTCTGGCCGAGCTTCGCCTAGTAAAATGGCAGGACAGGGCACGGTGACACAAGACGTCGAGGCAGACGAGGGCCCGGTCGGGGTGGCTTTTCAGTCAAGTCTCGATTGAGGGGAAAGCATCTCCCCTCCGGGCCATGCCGGCGTCTTGGGGCTCTGCACCCGGTGGCCGCGCGCCGAGGGTCGTTGTCTGGATAGATAAACCAGGTAATAATTTTAATGAAGCAGAGGTTCAGGAAAAGACTGAGAAGTCCAAATTGCTGACAAAGTGAATAACGAATGAGCCGCGATTTAGATTACTGACCGTTGTAGGTTTAATTTCTGTTGGTTGGTTGTTAGCGCTTACCTCGTGCAGCCCAACGGGTGTGGGTGTTCGCCCACAGATCCAGATCTACGAATCCTCCCAGGCACGCCTGCGGCACAGGCTCTACCAAGCTCTACCAAGCCCCGGGCCGCCCTGCAGCCAAGATGGGGCCCGGCGCCCCGTTGACACATCAGCCAGCGCACTCTGTCCACCGACACGAGACCTGGCTTTGATCAGAAGTTCCCGCTCACCGTTTCGTTGTGAGACTCGACAGCAACTTCGCACCAACTGATGATGTTTGCATCAAGGGTCTCTCCTGCTAGCCGAGGCGGATGCGTGGCGCGATCAACTCCAACAAGGGCCTCAGTCGGCCAAGCCTCCCAATGCAACACACGCACAAAGGCCTTCTGAAAGAATGTCATTTGGGATCATACTGTCTCTCATCGACGAAAATCACAATTCCGAGTCGACCTGGCCCTCCCACGCCGAGGCGTTCAGTTCACTTCGATAGCTAGCTCCCGCGACCGTCTAATCCAGAGTATGTACAACAGCTTGCACAAGCTGGTCTTCAATCCAGCAAGTGCCTGAAATATACGTACACAAATGGACCGGAACACGCACCACGTCCGGATTCTGCGCCAAACCGAGGAACCGAACCACTAAGTCTCAGCAAAAAGACGGTGTTGCTTACCGCACCCTGCAAAGGCGTGCGGCTGACTGGTGGTCCGTCAGCGTCCGTCCACATCGCATCGTGGGCTCGCGCGATCCTGCAGGATCTAGCATCTGAAGTCTTGCACGTTATCCTCTCGCACGGCCGGAGCATTCGGGGCCTACTGGAGTGTTGGCTGCTGCAGGTGACTGGCCGACCCCACGGTGAGGAACAGATGCTGTGCCTCACTCCCACGTCCTTTCGGGTGTGACTCGGGTGGGGCTCAAGAGCTTATTCTGATGTCCTGTCGATACCTCGTGTCATTTAGCCTGCCAGTCGGACCAGGCACATGCTGGCTTTCCCTGGCTTTTCAGGTCGCGGCTGGGACAGCTCCAGAGAACACTATTATCAGTCCGAGGTCATCTCGAAACACAGCTTTGAGAATCAAAGGTGTGCGATGAGTCATTCGTGGCGATGTGTTACTCAGACTGCTTCGTGAAAGCTAGATGACAGTGACAAACACACGTTATGGTTAGGGCTGTTTCTACAGTAATCGGTCGAAACATCAACGAATTGTACGGCAATACGCGATTCAAGAGTCACATTAACCAGGAAGGCCTTCATCTACCTCAGTCGGTTGTCGTGAAAACCAATCAGACAGGACCAAAGCCTCCAGGGTTGGCAGAGACTCGCATTCCAAAGGCAACACAGACGGATCACAAGGAAGGCATTAGAGAAACCAAAGGCTAGGTAGTCATGGGCCCAAATCATGCGTGTGTCGTTTGCCGCAAGGCTCCAGTTCAAAGCTATAAGAGACGAACCGCTACTGGATTTGCACTAGTCAACCAAAGCACATGTGCACACTACGCGGGGCGATGGCGGCTCAACGACCGGCTATGTACGCTTAGCTACTCTGCCCCGTGCTTACACCGTCTGCTAGCTCGTACCTCAAAGGTCAAGCAGATGCATGTGTGAGCTTCGTGACATTGGACCAAACCTGGACCTAAGCTGAGGCAAGACGAATTATTCTTCTTCGTGTTTCTTGCTATTCTTAATGAATGTCTGCGCTCCGTCCCTGTTACGCACCGGCGGTTTCTGAAGAGGAATTTTCGACGTGTGCCGCATATATTGCAAGTGAGCGAAGGGGGTTTATGATAGCCGGACGGCTGTGCTCTTGAATCATTGCATGATGATTACTGCTTGTGCTGGGTTCCTAGCCGTGCCAGTCGGCGTGCTGGTACTGTTGATGTAATGTTGATGTTGTGAAATGCTCAGGCACCTTACCCTCTCCGTGCAGGCGTGAGACCGCTCCCATGCTAAGCGTATGCCCAGGTGGTGGACTATTGGCACACCACCTAGTCACGCCACGAGGGTCGAACAGGACACCCACTCAGGACAGATCAGTCTCTTTTTAAATAGGAAGGGAACTGCCTGACGCGGTCAGACAATTGATTGAAGTCGCGAACTGATGTAGTAAGCACGCACAGGCGGACGGAATAGCAGCGCGTGGGAGACACGACATTGCCTCGGCAACTACAGACACCCGTGGCGAGCGACAATACGAACCTAACACAAACACGATGGCCCGCAAATCTATTAGGAACTGCTTCACAATGACTACATGGATGGGGCAGCTCAAGCTGGGAGCAGCTGAAATCCAGCAGCGGCTTGAACTTCGGAACAGTGCAGAAGGGGAAAGAAATAGAGCGAGGGCCAGGGAAGGGCGCCATGCGCTTCGGCATGTATACGAGCCCATACGGATTTGAAGTGTTTACCTATCCTAGTATGGAAAGGCTTCACTCCTAAAATCTAGAGCTGTTGTGGAAAAGAAGGAGATTGGCTCATATCTTTCTTCCTCTGAAACCTTCCCCCTCCTGTATAGTTCCCGGCCTTTTATAAAGCAGCTCTGACAGGTAGTAAACAGTTCTGCGGTGGTGGCAATGGACACCATTTCTATGTTCGGTGACTACAGTTCGGTGACTACACGAGTTACTATTTTCCCTCACTTATCAGCATCATTCCCAAGATGGCGTCAGTCAGCAACCTACCGGCCCTTTGGCCATTCCCGACCTCTCAACAGACAGAGGACCAAGTCGATAACTCTCTGTCTGTCGTTGACAACCGGACTGGTCTCTCATACAACATTCCCATCAAGCAAAACTCCATTCATGCCACAGACTTCCACCATATCAAGTCTCCGCACAATGCAAAGAATCGTGTCGAGCAAAACAACGCGGGAATCCGCATCTTCGATCCCGGGTTCCAGAACACGGCATGCATGGAATCCGAAATCACATATGTTGATGGGGATGCAGGCGAGATCGCCTACCGGGGCATTCCCGTCGCCGACTTGTTCCGCTCCGGAAGGCCGTTCGAGCACGTCGCCTTCCTCCTGATCTTCGGCCATCTCCCCAGTGACTCGGAGGCGGAGGCGTTCAATACGTCTATTGCCACTTCTGAGATGCCACCTCAGGCTATATTCGATACGATCAACAACCTACCGTACGTGACCCCCCAATGCTAAAAGCACAAACCTCGTGACACTGAGCTGACTGTCCAAGCCTGGACACACACGCCCCGACAGCCATTGGTGCCACCCTCGCACTTCACGCGTCTCTACGCCCCGAGAAGATCCCGGCATACCGCGGTGAGAACCTCTACAAGGGCAACATGGCCGCCATAGATAAGGAGGTCCCGCAGCAGATATTCACCGTCTCTGTCATCTCAACAGCGATATTCTGTCGCCTCCACGGCCGCGAATTCACGCCACCCAAACCCACTTACTCGTACATAGAGAACATGCTACACATGATGGGATTCGTAGAAAAGGAAACCGGTCGGCCGGATCCTCGAGTACGTGGCCTCCGCAGTCTTTCCCCTCTCAACTCCCGAGTCTGCTTCATAAATTCACAAGGCGTGTCACTTGATCTGACTCGCCCTGTAGGTTGTCAAGTTGCTGAACAGCACCATGATACTCATGGCAGACCATGAAATCACCAACTCCGCCTCGGTCGTCCTCAGCACGGCGTCCACGCTGGCAGACCCTTACTCGTGCTGCGCCGCTGCGACCCTTGCTGGCATCGGTATTCTTCACGGCGGTGCCATCGAGGTCGCGTATAAGCAGCTCGAAGCTGTGCGCGACTTGAAGGAGGTCCCAATGTTGATCGAGGCTGTCAAGGCAGGCAAGATGCGACTGTCTGGGTATGGTCACAGGAAGTGGAAGGTAAGCCGTCCTACTGGTCCTTGAGCTCCTGTGATTTTAAGCTTGTTCCACTCCTTGCCCCCAAGGAGCTTCACAGCCCTCAGCGAAAAAGGGGATGGCAAGAAGCCGAAAACAACGCAGAGAAGCTCGGCACTGACAAACACACAGCTCCCGGACCCGCGGTCGGTCCTCTTCCGCGAGCTGATTACCGAGGCCATGAAAGACATGCAGTCCCTAAGGGAGGACCATCACCTCGCCGTCGCTCTCGAGATCGACCGCGTCGCATCCCAGGATCCCTACTTCCAGTCGCGCCACCTGTGCGCGAACGCAGACCTTTTCCTAAGCTTTGCGTACAAGGCCATGTAGGTGGTCAACCCTCCAACCCCCTTCCTTCGCACCCAAAGTACCGACTCCAGTCGCACGTCTTTTTTGTCCATGCTGATGAGGAATCGTGACGACATAGGGGCATTCCCGTCGACTTCATCCTGCCCATGACGCTCCTGAACAGGAACCCGGGATACGTGGCGCATTGGCGCGAAGCTATGGGTGGGTAAACACCAGTCCGCGGTAGAGTGCTGGGTTACTGATCTGAGCTTCGGTAAACGCAGCCGATCCCAAGCCTCGCATGTGGCGGCCACTGCAGATCTATGTTGGGAATATCCCGAAGGAGCAGGGTGATGACTTGAAGCAGAACCCGGTGGCTCTCAGCAGTCTGTGAAAGTCTACATGTTGCTTTGTGCGAGACTGTTCTCGTCAACAGCGGCGTTTGCTACCTCGGTAGGTTGGAAGCTGTCCGGACTAACCATGTTTTACTTAGCATGATGTTGGGAGTTACCAAAACCTCACTAAACACAAGTCATGCACCACTGGCATGACTGTGCGGGTGTTGCAGGGTCCATAATTGTTGTTGGATGTACAGATCGGTCTTCAGTATTCAATCAATGTTGAATTCGTGATACCAGGTGTCATTTAAGCCATGAAAATGATACATGGGAAGAAGCTCTCAGTGATGCGTCAGTGAGACCAAGGCAATGCGTGAGTGTAATGACAGGAGCCGTGTCTGACAGACTGCCTTTTCTATTAGGCGGTGGCCGGGAGGCATTCATGCTCGACGCCACGTATTAGTAGTAATGGACGTTGAGTGTTCCGTATCTTGTTTCCAGCTGATATCAGGAAAGTCAACTGTTAGTATTCGGCAGCCCACTGAGAAAAGCGTTACGGCCTGAAGCATTTTCCGCCCCGAATCCCGTTTAGCACAAGAGTTCTGGCCTTGGTGCTCACCAAATAGACTCAACTTGTTAAGAATATGATGTTCTACGAATGGTCAAGATGCATGAAGTGTCACTGGCTCTGAGTCTTCTGACGGTGGGCACTTATTCGAGAGGAGGTGATCCTCGGACACATTCCAAGATGATCATCCCAGAGGAGCAAGATAACCCCTGCTCAAAGGAGATACAACATATGCATATCATTTTGGACGGCGAGTTGGAGTTACCAGACATGTCTGGCCAGTGGTCGCAACAGCAAGTTGGGAAGCATGAGACTATCGAAACTTATTGGGGGAATACGCAGCTTTGGATGGCTTCGTAACGTTGTTATACAGGGCAATCCAGATTGACTGGCCGTCTCGACACTCTCGCGTGTCAGCTTACACTGATACACATGCAGTGCTTGGTTTCATTAACAGAAACAGCTAATACTGACCACCTCATCGCTTGCTCCAATCCACAGGCCGTGACATCGATACCACAGCGAACGCAGGCCCAAAAGCGGACAGTTCCCCTGGGTTGCATCCGCCAGCCACCTCGCTCATGATCCCTATCCGTGGACCTATTCTACAAGGACACAAAAACCAGCAACAGTAGGGAGAGACGCCAGAGACTCTCTCGTCTGTCTAACCGAGGCTGCGAGAGAGGGCCGGAAAAGAGGACCGTGCCGGTCGACCACACGTTTGTTTACTGCTCGTTTGTCTCCTTCACATGGACATATGTCACGAACGGTCCAGCGCGCCGCCAACAAAGATACGTAAAAGAGCCGGCCACCAGCCGCCGCTCCGCACGGACGTCAACCTCACTGTGGACAAGACTTGCGCATACCTCCAATGCATACCCACAACGCCATCGCCCAGCCTCTGGGCCAGGTCATCAGTCGTCATCGAGACACAACTCAAAATGCACCGCAAAAGCAAAAAAAGCACAGCTCTTCTGCTAATAAACGCTGCGCACGGTAGTCCCACGCGGCAGATCGTCCCATCAGCCCCGGCCCCAGCCCCCGGGCGCTGACACACGCCCATTAGGCTTTTCTTGGCTGCCGCCGGTCGGAAGCTAATAAATTCCACTCGTGTCAGGACGACACAAGCAAAAAAAAAAAAAAAAAAAAAGGCTGAGCCGCGTCATTTTTGGGCCAAGCTTGCTTGGGGGGCGGAGGTTGGACGGCGGGGAGGGACGAGCGCCCAAGCACGAGTCGGTGACAAGCTTCGATAAGGATGATGAGCCGTGGCCGAGCTGTGGCCTTGTTCTCGTGTGCGTTTTCGTGTACGCGTATGTGTGAGAAACCAGACCTCTCTTGATTGGGCTTTTACGATGCAATTCCGTACATTGCGAGGTTTGGACGAGTGCTGTGTCCGGCTGGAGACGATCCCGAGGAGCTTCAGAATGGGAGGGAGCCTTCCGGGGAGCCCAGCCTCCCTCTCGGTCTCTGCACATCAACCATCTCGGTCAGCCAGCCAGCTTTTGGGGGACGTTGACACGGCAGGCAGGCGTGCCTTAACAGGTCCTCACATATATAAGCTTATGATAAACGTTGACCGAGTTTTCATGCACAAGCTCGGTCAATATCAAGCCGAAACATGTCAAAGACACACATAGCGTATGGCTGCTAAGAGATCCGCAACATGAAAATAAACATCACCATGTCACCAGAAAAGCCTGAAAATTGGGGACTGATTTTGACGGGCACCGGAATTTGCTGTATTCCTATCCAGGTCTCGGTGGGACGGCCTCCCATTCCCTGTGGCTCCTCGAGCCCGTCTGTGATCGATACCGCGCGGTGAAATAACGACTGCAACTGAATCTGACCCCTCGAGCCCTTCGCAGGTCAGTCGTATCGTAAGAGACAGCCCCTCTCCTGTAGTCTATCCCACTCTCCATGGTTCTCTTGATAAGACAACAATTAAAAAGAGAAAAACAACAACAGCTGGAGGGGTTTCATAAAAGAGAAAATTGTTCCGCGCTCCAGAAAGCCGTATCCCTTTTTTTCCTATCCGGGCTGCGTTCATGCAGATCCAATACAGAATGCCAAGCTAATAAAAAAAGAAAAAAGAACTGGGGGAAAAAGAGGAGACCTGAAGATCATGCTTCTCCTGGCACCGAAAACGCCTGTATCGTGTTACTGAAAGGACTCCAAACTCCGGCATCTGAGTTGCTCCTGTGCGTCTAGTGCTTTAGCAGATGCATGCTATTGAGGTCGTTTCTCGGTTCCATATTCGTCCTCGCACCGCGGACGGTGGGGAAATCATGTACAGAGAAGCGGGCGGCTCTGATCGTTCGATGTCGGGTGTTGTGTGTCGTCTGGCAGAGTGCGACGGTAATGCTGACGATCGAGTGCGGGAAGAGGTGAGGCCGCTGTATGTCCAGGGTGGCGTCATGTGTGGCATGTTGAACGTTTCGGCTGGGTGAACTGTGGGTGGTGCGATCCGATTGTGATGCGTGGGTGACCAAGGAAATATCTCTCTAGCCGCGGCGATCCTCTCAATTGCCATTGGGCTTCCAGATTCCGGCACCGAGTGGTTTGCTGATGCCGAATCCCACTCCCACTGCCGTCAGTACCACCAGTACGATGATGGCGACCTTGACGAGGATCCTGTTCCGCTTGCTCATCTTGGCGAGGCACTGGCACGAGCGCTGGTTCAGCTTGTTCGCCTTGGCCTTCTTCTTCCAGTGGGCCTGGCCTGGCCACACCTGGCCGTCTGCGCTGCCCTTCAGCTGGCCCTTGCTCGTGGACTTCATGCCACAGCTGTCGTCCTCGCGCGTGGTTCGAGTCGAGATCATGGCCTCGATGTCGGTGTCGAAAGGGTTCAGTTCACGGGAAGACGCGGGCGTTGAGACCTCGGAGGGACGGCGGTAGTCTGGTTCGGGGCAGACGAGGGCCTCGCTGGTTGTGACGATTGTAGTGGGCTTCCCGCTGGGGGTATCTTGTGGGGTGGTTGCGACTGTAGCAACAGGCGTAGTCGCCTTTTCGTTGACGGTCTCTGAGGCCATCTTGACGGGTTGCAGAGGCTTGCCTCTGCGCTGCTCCCTGGCTCGATATGGGTTGCAGGAGTAAATGTCCAGTCGTGGTGATCTAGTCGGTGGTTGAATGTTACGCTCGCCGGCTTCACAGAACGACGTCGCTGTTAGGCCAGAATGGAAGCTGGGACCGGTTAGAATTTTGTAATGGCAGGAAAAGTGTAAGGTGCAGTGGCGCAAGAAGTGCGGGTGGACTGGTCAAAAGGTGGTAGGAGCTACACGCACGCAGGGACCTTGAGGAGACCAAGGACCATGACGAAGGCGTGAGACCTCGAAGAGGCGGCGGATTGGCTAAGCGGAGCTTGTGACTTAGGGGCAAACAAACAGTGGTGCGTACGTACCAGCTTCGAAGGTGATCGATGGAGTGATGCCAACCTAGATGTAGCTACACGGCTCGGCGACCTCGTACGTCAGAGTTGTCTGACACGGAGGAGGGCGAGGCAGTTGATGAAGATGGCGCGGCCCCAAATTGCTGGGCTATTAGAGGGAGATTGGGAGAGACTGGGCCCAACAGGCACGATCAACAGCAGCACAGCACCAGACAAGAGCTGCTGAGGATTGGGAGAGGTGTGCCAAGTGATATGATCAGTGGCGCAATGAAGTAAAAGACGGGAGCACAAGTTGTCTCGTGTGTCTCTCGCCGGCAGGAAAAAGAAGCAGGGACGAAAAACGTTGGTCTGTTGTGCGCTTGGGGGATGTATGTCGATGGAGCTAGCAGACGACTTGGCCAGCAAACAAAGCAGCAGCAAATATTATCTATCCCCCACGGGAGGCAGCTGAGCAGCTCTTGGGAGGGAGCGAGAATGAGAAAACTGTGGGAAAGGACCGAGCTCTGGGGGTCGGCCGTCGATAATAATAACCAAAGATCGACCGAAACAAGAAGAGAAGCGGGTAGAGGCAAACGAAAAGATGGGATGATGATGAATGTGGTATGAATGGTCTGGTGGACGGGCAATGCGTGTGCTCTGGCCTGCTCCTGGCCTGCTGTGGCCTGCCGTGGTCTGCTTGCCTGTCAGCCTATCTCCCTCCCTGTCTCGCTCTCTGTCTTTCTCTCTCTCCTCTCTCTCTCTGTCTGTGCTAGCTCTACCTAGCTCTGGGGGTAGTATCAGATGCAGACGGGAAATGAGCAGAAGGTGGAACCCTGCCACCTGCTGCCAAGGAACAGTGTGGTCTTCTCGCAGGGGTGGCATGGTTGCATTGATGTGCCTGATTCGGTTTAGATTCGGTAAGGCCATGGGGTTCTCAGGGGCTGGCCCGTCGCCTACACGCATGCAGCAAGAGCCAGCCAGCCGTCTGTCTATTCTGCTGCAGTCAAGCCCTTGCTGGCTGTTGGGGACAAATTGGAGCGCTGCTGCGAATCAGTGGCGCACCCGTTTTCCCCATCGCAGGCGGATATTCCCACTCTGCAGCAGCTTAGTGTACGAGGGGGGCCCAGGAGGCCCAGGAAGCCCAGGAGGCCCTGTCTGGCAGTGCCTGCTAATGCAGCTCTACTGCGTACCTGAGTCCCCGCCCCACCCAGCACATGTCGTGTCTGTTGCCCTTTCCGGCAAGCCATATCTGCTGTCCGCCCGGTCTATTGGTCCATCTCAGTCCTGAACCGCTGCAGGTGCTAAAAGTGTCGGATGGCACATCCACACCCCCCACCGGAAAAGCCTCCAGGGGTGCAGGCGATTTCCCTCTCGCTCCCCACGACACCAACGGCCAGGCATCTGGAAATGGCCACTGCCCACGGGACGTTTCCCTTCCTTTTTGGCGGCTGTTGCACAATTGCCCCTCAGGTCACGTTGCCGTGCCCGAGTCAACCATCGCCAGCTGGCCGGCGGTCAGAGTTGGGGCAGATGGGGGAGAGAGGGGGGACCCTGTCCTCTCTCTTTCCCTCTCGGTCAGGGACCGCTCGAGAGCGAGAGTACAAGGTCAGCGAGATGTGCAGGACTGTGACGAGCGAAAACAAGCAGGTGGCGAGTGAGAGCGCGATGAGCAGCCGTCAATCAACTTGAGCTTGTTTGAGATCAGCAAGGACCATTGAAACCGAAAATTGGCCCAAATGCTACCGGGCCTGCCCAGGACCTTGCAACGGCCCCAGCTGTCAACTAACCGCCTTCGAGTCGCAGCCCGCTCTTGTTTTACAGTTTGGTGATCGCCAGGGATGCACCGAACAAAGCGGAGCTGCGAACAGGGCCTGCATAAAGTACTGCCGCCCGTCATCCTGTTGGGTTCGCTACTGCCGCTGCTGCTGCCACCACCTGCTGCACCGCCGCCGCTGCGGACCCTGGTCGTCCTCACGCAGCGAGCGGTGAGCGATCCAACCCTCTGACATTGTACGCGTGGTCAGACTGATGTGCGTATACGATATGATACGAGCGAATACGTCAAGGTGACTCTGAATTTGGCTAATTTTTTTTTTTTTTTTTTCGTTTCCAAATACGCCCGGAGGAGGATTGTCGTCCCACAAATAAGACTCAAATTGATGTCACGAAATTATCGACGGTATGACGGTGACATTAGGCGAGTCGAGATGGCAATTTGCCGCTCGATTGAGGACCGCCGAGTCATCGAAATAACACAAGTGCCAGATTTATTACTGATTATTGAGATGCCATCGCCGGCGGCTCTTCAATTTCCACGTCGCTACTGTGCATCCAGTCCAGATCATGGCTTGGTGCCACCGTGAACCATGTACCATAGCACCGTGGTATTGGCGTGGGTCGCTCTCTGCTACGACTAGCGTTTGTTGAGTCCAAGTTATTAGTGAAGCACTTCAGCCCAGCCAGAACGTTCCCTCAACCTCGACAATGTCATCGTCATTCAGCCTCTGCACCTCGATGATCGTTCTGGGTGGAAACAGCACTTTGCCGGTTGTGTTCAGCTCGGCCCATAGCTCAATTTGGACTTGGTTGACGAGGGGGCGATAGCGATACATGTCCGATACGTAGACTACCAGACGGGCGCATGATGTCTGGAAAACAGGTTAACAAGGGCTATTCTTGGCTTCAGTGGGGGCCGTGTCCTGACCAGGTCACTCCCCGCCGACCGCGCCAGATAAGCCATATTCTCATACGCTACACGTATCCTGGGATAGCCAATCTCTGCGAGAGAGTTATTTGAAGGATATATCCCACGAACACCGGCGACATAGAGCGTTGGGCCTGCGATGGAGAGCAGACTGTATGGTCCTGTGACATCGTAGCTAGTAGAAGGGCTGATGTACTGCACACCTAGCGGGGACGTGTAGTTTGGTTCCAGAGCAGCCTCTGAGGGCTGTGAAGACGTATTCGCAGCTGTGAACACGAACAAGGCAGATTCTATTACGCTGAGGAACTTCATTGTAAATTGGATAAATCGCATAGAACCTGCTGACCTCCCTGGCCTTCAATCGCCAGATATTTAGACACGTCGACATGCATCCGCTTCGTCAGCTGAATGCAGATAAACCAGAGACGAGAGATCACGTAGCCTACCAGCCCTCAACGACAGCCGGCAACTGCAATCGCCGCCACCAACCCACCCTCCTACCAATCCCATCTATCTGCCAAGGCTGTTGGGATTTCCGGTGCATCAGAAGGCCACAACTTTCTGGAAGCGACTTGCATGTGCGACGTACCACCAGGGCGGGACATCCGACCCCGCTTTTGTCGTCCTCTCGTTTCCCCCTCGATGCTGAAACTGCGAACATTTGGTCTACCGAGCACGCTACTGTACACAGTATCTGTGTGCAGCAGTCCCTCCCAGATTGCGCAAGATCCAGATCCCAGATCCCAGGTCCCAGGTGCCAGTTCCAAGGGGAAAAGGAAAACTGTGGGCGGGCGCTCCTGCCTTCCCCACTTCCTTCCCTTTTCGTCCACGCGAGCCGCCATCATTGGTTGAGGCTGTGGGGCGTTCCAGACCCTCGGACCATCCTCGCCCACTATTCGCGATAACACGGACAGGACGCCAAAAAGAACAATCGAGTTCCTTTCACTCTAACCAACAACTTCCAAGGTCCTTCTTGCATCGTCGGTCCAGACCATTGAGTCCCCCGACTAGTGCCACAAGAGGAGAACAGGGCCCCGGCCGCAGATGCGACCTCCCGTACGAAAAAGACCAAGCTACATGCAAGCTTTCAGCCGCCACGTGGGCAGGGAAGGACCGACAGCCTAGGGGCGGCCTAGGGCCAATGCATGCAACCCCGCGGTCGGGACCACACCAGGCCACTCCGGTGAGGCCTATCCCACCGTGGCCCACGGGCCCCAACCAGAGGGGGGAACTCGCCGGCCGAACGGCTGAGAGGATGGACGCACACAGACGCCAGAACCAGACCTGGGGCCGGAAGCTACTGTCTAATAGACCGTTCGTTCTCGCCACAGCGTGACCTTACTACCCTTGCCCCTGGCCTTTGACCGATCCGAATGGAGCCTCACGCCGCCTCCTGCAGATAACCTTGCAGCAGCTGTGCTGTAGGAACTCGGCCCTGCCTACCAGCAGACAGGCAAGACTAGCAGAACCGACTGCTATAGATCGCCCGCCGGCTGGCATCATCGAAACCATGCCGCATTCGAGACAAGTCCCTGCCGAATGCGCTCATTTCTCGCCGTTTGCTCGGATTCATCATGGCAACAATTAATTGACCAATGGGCGGCTTGTGGTCGGGGCAGTGCTGCATTGGGAACAAAACGCCTTGACCACTGGGGAAAGCTACAGCGTACCATGGCATAACTCGCGATGGCGCCTTGCGGCCCCAAGTCGGCGCGATGGGGCAAACGTGCTGTCAAGTGCGGCATTTTGTCACTGTTCTCCAACGCCCTCGAGGCCTCGAATGAAGGAAGCGTCGCCAAGCTCGCAAGGGTGCGCAAGCCTTGGGGGAGCTCCTTTGCGGTAGCCGAGGATGAGACAGGAGAAGCAGCTCTCTCGATTTTCTCTTTCCCCCTCACGTGCCCTTTTCCCCAGGATTTGTCGGTCGGTTGCCGTTGGCGGTCAAAGGGGCTGAGTCCCTTGAGGCCCCAAACTTCTCGAATCAGGATTGCGCATTTGCAAAAGCACCCCATCCTCGCTTGACATGGAGACGGTCTGCCGGCTGGGCTGCCGGCGTAGCGAGGTCAAAAGATAGCGAGGCTTTTGACATTGACAGCGCAACGCTTCTCCTCCCGGCACTCAATGCGCCGAGCCGGGCGCAAACGGGAGCTGCTTGATTCAGGGTCCTGGTTGGCACTGCTACAGTGGGAGAGTATCCGGCATAGCATGACACCTACCCAGTGTATAGCGCTGGTCCGGCGGCATCTTTTTGCTTGTTATTATTTTATTGCAAGGTAGATGAAGTCATCACCAGGAAGGGGGGAAACCTGCGACGGCGATCAGCAGATTTGAAGGAGATGCCTGCGGAATATAGTGCTGAGAACGTGAGTATCCCCGGCAGAGATTGGCAGACGGTGTCAGCGTAGGGGAGGCAGACGTCGCAGGCGCCGGCGCCGTGATGAGCAAGGAGGGCATAACCTCGGGAGGCAGAATGGTCGACTGCTGCCCAATGACAACCGGCGCGGGAGTGATGGGCGGCGTCCCACGCAGCCAGTCGGCATTGCCAGTCGGCATAATCGTTTCGCGCCTTGGACGTTCCCAGCTGGGGTTCATGCGCAGATCGCCGAGGCTACCAATAGCGGCGACGTCATTGGAGAATGACCCTCCATGCATACAGAGCAGGAATTCTACTAATGGCCCAGGTAGAGGACCGTATGTGCATGATGCGGTGGTGACTTTGTGTGGTGGTCGTTGTCACGCGCGGCGTCAGTCCTCAAGTTCGGTGGCATTCACGAAATCACTGCGTTCAACAGTATCAATTTGCAAAAATGGTAGACTAATGGGCGCATGGTCACCGTACCGTTCGTGCAGTGCCTCACGGGACGAAGAACCGTTAGTTCTGTCATCGAGAGGAAAAAAGGATGATTGGCAAAAGAGTTCGGGATCATGCCTTATGTCTCTCTTCGTTCTGTCAGTGCCAACGTACTTGAGGGGAGGTTTCCTGCCACATTGAGCGTACTCACTCCCCTTCTTTTTTCCGTGGAGACAGCCTGAGTTGAACGGACGACTGTTGGGTCGAATTGGTTTTTTTATGATAATAATATTTTGTTGTTTGTGTTGTCAGACGCTATGGCGGTTGTGCCAGGGAGCGCTGGGAATCAAGGGCAACTAGGCCACTGAAGTAGTCGTATCAAGCTGCAAACACCAGGCGTTGTAGATGACATGAAGGCGTATGGTGAATGACAGCATCCGCAGTAGGGTGAAGCTTTGAGAGGCCCTCCACCTGAGGGCATGTAGTGATGCGCTCACGAACGTGCTGCCTCCAGCGAGGCCACGAGAGGATGTTACACTTGGTCTCTCATCTCCACCATGCGAATCGATGGGATGGACGCCACCAGGCAGCTTGCTGCGAGACGTGTCTCGAGATTCTCCCCAGCGATCTTGGGTGCTTATGCCTTCATATCTGGTTCCATGTGTTGCTGCCATCACTGCGTCGTACACCCAGCTACCAACCTTGAGGGATTCTTGTCTTCTCGGAGAAGATTATTACCAGCGCTACTTCCGATAAAGCTATGGGCTTTCGCAGTATTCTCCTTAATAGAGGCCCTCCTTGTTCTCGACGAGTGGGCACTTGCCCCAAAACATTATCATGGGTCATATATCATCAGCTCGAGAGGCCAAGTAGATCCACCACGAGGTCTCATTCGTAAACAGACTCAACCATCGCCATGGTGTGGTGAGATGGCATTGGTGAGATACCTTGTCCAGCAACCGTGGCACATTTCTCCTTCCCACAAATGCCGTGGCGATTTATGTGGCACTAAAAGGCTGCCTTGCCAACCTCGTGGAATCGAGGCAGCACAGCCCCTTGCCTTTCTGTCCATCCAAAGCGGCCACTTCCCCTGCTCCAGTCGTCCTTGATGTGCTGCAACCGAAGCAGCTTCATGGAGACAATGCATATCCCTCGGGAAGCCCTCGTCTTCGTAGCACGTATCCAAGTGCTCTCGCACCGTGGCCATCCGGCTGTTTCTACTCAGGTAGCTTTGTAGGTTCGTTTTTCCGGGTCGCAGATCACCCGAAGAGTCGGGCCAGACGTATTCCAACCTCGTATCGGGGCCGTGTATGCAAATCCTGTTCTTTCCTCGCATCCTCCTGGCATGGCGACCTCTCATCATCTCCACACGCCGGCCCTCCTCATGACATGGTCAAACTCGGACTTCCTGACGCCCTTGCCCACCCCGGCGCCACCGTTCGCCTCGAGGATCATGTCCCGCAGTAGGGCGTCGTCGACCTCCTCCTTGAGGACCGCGGCGACCCTCTTCAGGTGGGCCACGGTTATGACACCGCCCTCGCCGGCTGCGCCCGTGAACAGCGCAAAGGCCTCGTCGACCTCGTGGGCGTGAGCGTCGGAGGTCTGGTCGCGCGCGTGGAGCTTCAGGGCGCAGATGGCGACGAAGGAGGGGTAGTTCGCGTAGCCCTCGTCGTCCGGGTCGAGGATCTCGGTGAACTCGGCCAGCTCGTCCTTGTCCTTTGGCGGGATGTCGAGGGCTCTGTCCGGAAGGATTTGTCGTCAGCGAGCAGCACTTCTCCGCAGGCGCGACAACATGGTTCGGAAAGGTGGTTACGCCGGGAGAGCGCGTGAATGTGAACGGGCAAAGGGGGGGGGTCTAAGGAAACATCGGGGAAACTCACATCATGGCCCTGCGGACGTCATCGATGGGGATGACGCCCTCCTTCTCGCCATCCATGGGCTCCGCGAAGAGCGAGAAGGCCTCTTTGATCTCGGCCTCCTCCTGCGCCGTGATGTCGTGCTCCTTGGCGAGCTTGGACTGCCTCGCGCCAGCCCTTCCCGGTGCGCCTGACTCGGCCGCTCCCCCGGATTTCCGTTTCGGAGGCTGTGTTGGTCGGGTGTCAGATAGATGGACGGGCTGGGGACGTGCGAGACGGATTTTCTTTTGGGCGGGATAGCCTGGTACTCACCATGGTGGGCTTCGCGAGGCGCGGAGGCGCGTGTTCGATGTCGCGAGGTTGTCGAGATGTGATCTACTGGAATGGATGCCTTTGGATGATGTCAAAGTGGGGACTGCTGGAGACGGACCCCGGGGTCGATTAAGCTGGACGGCCCCCACTTGCTGCAGCCGGCTCTGCCAGCTGGGTGCGGCTGCTGTTAGCGCTGCCGGGCCGCTGGGAAAGAGAACATCTCGCTTAAAATTTCTTCGCCAAAACTTCTGCTGTCTACACTCCCACATACTCTCTCAACAACAGCCCAATTCACCAATACTCGGCTACTCGACATAATGACTCGAGATTTTCGCCGCAGGAGGACGACGCGAAGATGCACGCCCAGTTGACTGCATCTCGACAGCGCCTACCCTGAGATGGAATGCCTGCCCGTCGCAACACGATGGCCACGATGCAGCTTTGGAGCAGCCATTCATCCGAGACGTTCATGAGCCCAGACAGCTGTGAGCATTCATGCCCATACACGTCAGCCCGAAAGGTGGCCAGAGGCAGCCGTCAACGACGGTGGCGAAGGATGACAAAGGACCTCGGTGACCAGCGTCTACGTCTCTGTCAGCACCAGGAGGGCACCCATTGCGGCAGAGTCCATACTCCCTCACATACTACCAAGATGCCTCGACCTTGCGAGCAGGCACTATTTGGCCAGTTATATCTCCTGCCAATGGCCAGCAATGGCGGGAGACAATAGCCTCAAGCGAGCAGGAGGGCCAAATCTTGGTCTAGGGACGTCTCGAAGGATTTGTCGCCCTGAGTGCAGGGCGGGCAGAGATGGGATGGGCGTGGTACCAGGTTGGTGACAGCCACACCAGCTGAGCCGACTGCGGCGATGCTCAAGCGACATCGACTCGAGACCTTGTCAAGTGCTCATTAAGCCGCCGTCGCAAGGCAGCAAGGTGAGGACATGCAGTCTCAGCCTCGGCGAGACGATGCCTGGACCGAACCAGTCCGTCGCGTCCCCGTGAAAACATCGCTTCTTCAATAGCTAGAGCTTGCCGTCTCCAATCATTATAACTCCAGGGCGGACAAGTGTGGACACTGAAGCAAGATCAAATCTTTCCATCACTCGGTCGATGTTGCCCATTCTCACCCCAGAGATTGGCGACTGCTCTGACATGGGAACACCCCTCATCACCAGCTAGAATTTCCATAGCAGGCAAATCATGAATATCAATTCTCACCGCTCGGCTCTCAAGACTTTTTGTGATTACATGATCCAATGTGTGCCCGGTCATCAGAGCCTTGAGTTGCTCGGCTCTCTGCCGTGGCTTCTTAGCCAGGCCTCTGGCGTTAACTCATTCCCAGCTCAGACTTACTTGAAGTTGTTCTTGCCCTCGCGCAGCGCCGCCATCACCTCGACGGGATCTGTCTTGCCGGTAACCTTTTGCATCTCGGGAGCCTGTGACTCAAATCAGCGACTGTACGTCCTTAAGACACATACGAGGGGCCATCACTTACGCTTGTCCTCATGAATGGATTGTGTTGCTGTAGAAAGAAAGCCTGTTAATAGATTCCTGACATTCCGGAGCTGCCGCTTGCCACATACCTTCTCATCCCCGATCGTAAACTTGCCCTGCGTCTCCCGGTTCGCCTCAGCAAAAGCCTGCAGCTTCTTGATGGCCTCGTTCTGCAGCACCGACACGGCGAACTTGACGTTGCTCTTGGTGTACTCGTGGCCGGGGAAGACCTTGGTGTCGTCCGGGAGAGCCGCGAGCGTCTTGTTGAGCGCCGTGTTCATCTCCTCGGCGTTGCCCTCGAAGAACTTGCCGCACCCGGCGTGGAACAGCGTGTCGCCTGTGAACACGGCCCGCTCGCTGCCGCCGTCCTCCATGAACCAGCAGATGCTGTCCTGCGTGTGGCACGGCGTGTACAGGCCCTTGACGGCGATGCTGCCGATCGTCCAGCCCTCGCCGTCGGCCGGGGTCTTGGTCACGCCCTCGGCGCCCTTGCCGGCGATGATGGGCAGGTCAGGCAGGCCTAGCTCCTCGCGGAGCTTTTTGTTGCCGCCTGCGTGGTCCCAGTGGCTGGGTCGGAGGTGGTTAGCGGGCGAGCTCGTGTGTGTGCAGACTGGGGCAAGGGTAGCTCACTGGTGTGTGTTCACTATGGCTTTGAGGTTGATCTGGCCGCTCTCAATCGCCTTCTTCAAGACGGGAGTGACTCTATAGCTCAAGTGTGAGTAAGGTCTCTGAAGTCCGTGGTCATCCGGATACTCACTCAGGAGGGTTGGCAGGGTCGATGATGACGGCATCTTTGCTCTTGTCGTCGGTGACCAGGTAGGCGTAGTTGTTGCTACTGCCCACCCCTTTCCAGACCTCTCGTCAGCAACTTGATCAGATTCATCCGAGAGGGTATCAACATACACATGGGAATCGACTGGATATGCATGGCGCGGATTGGTGTGAACTGGGGCGCCGGCGATGTCAGTTAATCTGGAAGCACAGATTGGTCGCAACTTGAAGTCGTCGCGCAGACGAGCTGGAGGGCTTCCTACTTACAGCTCGTGCTAGTGGACTGACTTTCTTCAAGAGAACAGGTCTGCGAAAGATTGCGGAATGCATCACTCGTTCGGAAATACTAATTCTAAAACCGTGAAGCTTCTCCTCTTTGCCTGCGACGGAACATGCATCTACAGTGGGATGACCAATACAAATCAGGATGACGTTATTGGATCCCATCCCGGCCGAGTACGGCTCCGGCATTCACCTCCACCTTCTGCTTTGGACCCCTGCCCACGATAACGCCGGATGCTGGATTTTTGTGAAAGTGACCGTGTGAATTGGCATTGAGCAACATTAGCAGCTGTAGCGGCTGTCTTAGCTACTGCCCGAGACCGTGCATGACTGGCTATCGGAGAGTGGCGGAGAAGAAAGAGGTGTTTTCGAGGGTAGATGGCCCGCCGAGACACGTCTGGTGAGACAACAGCCAAATTCGAGTATTGGATTCCAAGTTACGACACGGCTGAGGAACCAAGGCCATCACTCTCAACGTCTGTCTACTCAAAGGATCCCTATGGGCCTTGACGCCCATGGGCCTTTCCATCTCTTCCAGCCGGGGCCATCATCATCGGTACCATCCCGTTTCCTCTTACCGCCCTCATCCCCATCTACCAAGCCCTCTGCCTCCTCTCTGGCCTCACGTAACTCTCTCCTCATCTCCTCAATATCCGTCGGTATCTCCTTGTCGTCGCCTTGCTGTGCCTCATCCCCAGTAGCTCGGAGAAGAACCTCCCTGGAGAGCTTCACCGACCGGGACAATACCCCCCCGTCCCTCGCGGTCTGTCCGATCTCCTCCAGCGTCCTCAACACGAGCGCGTCATCCCACTGCCCAAGTTGCCTCGTCAGAGCCTGCTTCGCCGCATCGCTGCCCACCTCCCCCTCCTGCCTCTGCAGGTACCCCATCAGCGCGGCCCGGCACATCCGCCCCTTGATCGTAGACGTAGCAGAAGCCACCACCACAGGCTGCCTCTTCTTCTCAGCGGTGCCGCTCAACCCATCAGCAGGAGCAGGACTCCGAGTCCCCCGGGAAGGCCCTCCCCTCGTCGTCTCCCCCAACAACCCAACGCCCTCGTCCTGCCCGGGCCCGTGGTCCGCCTCCGGCAGGTTCCTCCAGTAGTACTCCCAGATCCAGACGAGCGCCCTGCCCGCGGCGGGCCTCAGCTGCGCCAGCCCGGGCATGGGCTCGTGCGTGCCCTGGTGCCGCAGCTCGACGAAGCCCGCGGGGAGCCCCACCGTCTTGGCCACCCCGTACATGCTCAGCTTGCGCGCCCTGTCCTGGTGCCCGTCCAGCAGGCCCGTCACGAACCGCGTGAAGGCCGTGAGGTACGCCGCGCGCACGCCGTACTCGCTCGCCGCGTCGTCGTCGCCGTCATACGTGCCGTCGTCCTCGCTGCCGCCTTGGTGCCCCGGCCGTGTGTGCCGCCGGTCCAGCAGAACCGCCGACATGAGCATCGCCGTCGACTCCACCACGTGCGGGCAGTTGCCGCGGTGCACCCACATGAACACGCGCGCGATCGCCCTCTGGATGCCCTGCAGCTCGGCCGCCGTCCATTTCTGGTGCGGGGTCGGCGTCGGCGGCGTGGCCTGTGATGAGGATGGGAAGAGCTGGCTGCGGACTTTGAGGAGCTCGGCGCGGTTGCGCCAGGGCGTAAAGACGAACTGGACCATCCCTGGTGAAAGCGTAAAAACAAAGATCGATCAGGAATTATTCCTTTTGCGATGCTCGATTTCTCTCCCTCAGTTTTGAGGCCCTTGCTGAGCAGATGAATGGTGTAGATATAGATATGTGAGGTTTACTTCCTTGCTGGTGGTGTTGGGAGCCGCACGGCTGAGAACGTTCAAGTGAAAATCTCACTTCTCAACGGTGCACCCGTTCGCTGCTTCTCACCACTGCCGCACTAATCCTTCACCTACATTCACATCAAGACACTCGACGAACGAATACACCCTCAATATGTTCATGATTAATATCAAGCCCGTCATTCACGCACTTCCCACTATGAGGCACGCATACGAATTTGCAGTACCGCTGAACTGCAGCATTTCAACAATGCATCTTGAGAGGCTACCACATATCACACGACCACCGTCTGTTCAATCTCGAGAATTGTCTATTTGTTGTATTTTCTCTACCTGGTTCTACACCAATTTTGAGGGTATTTTGAGACAGGGTGGCCACAATTCCGGCCCCCTTACAGCCATTCCGGTCATTCCGACACTCTGAGCTGGATCCAGAACTTTACTGGATGGTCTTCTCCTCCATGTTGATGCCGTAATTGTTCTTGAGCTCGTTCAGGATGGGCTCGCACAAGCTCCACTTCATGGGGGCCAGGACGCCCTTCTCGGTGATGGTGCCGTCGAGGACCTGCTTGACGGCGACGGCGCAGGGCACGCCGACCAGCTTGGCCATGGCCGAGTAGCCCTTGGGGTCGCCGTACTCGACGAGGGTCGAGGTGCGCGTCTCCTTGCGGCCGTCGGCGTGCTCGATGCCGAACTTGTGCTGCAGCAGGACCATGTCGCGCTCCTCGCCCTCGTACTGCATCTTCTTCTCGAGCGTCGCGCACAGCGTGTCGAGCGGGTTGCCGCGGGGCGTGATCTGCTCGTCCGAGAAGATGCCGACCCACGCCAGCCCGGACAGGATGCGGCTCTCCTCCTCGGGCGAGTTGAAGGTCGCCTTGGACAGGATCGCCTTCTTGAGGTCCTCCTCGCTGGACGACGAGGCGCCCACGATGGCCTTGGTGGCCTCCCTCCAGGTCGTCGGCTTGGAGAGCACGTCCGAGGGCGTCTCGGTCAGGAAGCCGGTCTGGACCAGCGTGCGGATGAACTCGGGGAAGCCCTGGTAGCGGAGCGTGCCGCGGACGATGGTCTGGGCCTCGGGGATGCTGTATCGCTCGTTGTAGGGCGTCGAGTCACGGTTGGGGTAGGCGACGAAGGCGTAGCCCGGGTAGATGAAGTACGGCTTGGCGGCGCCCATGAGCTCCTTGCCCGCGATCTCGACCTCCTTGCCGTCCTGCCAGTACTTGGCCGTGTTGCCCAGGGCGAGCAGCACACCACGCGACGACCAGCTGAACTTGTATCCCAGGGGGTTGTCGGACGCCTCAGGGGCGGGGAGACCACCGCAGTATGACAGGAAGGAGGTGATCTTGCCTCCGGCCTGGTGGACCTCCTCGATGGTCTTGACGGCCCACAGGTGGTCGACTGCGCTGGGGTCAGCTATCCGAGCACCAGAAACGATATTCCGTACGCATGAGATTTGAGTGGGACATGTTCGGCCCATTGGACACCCTCATAAGTGGATGCCTGGCATAGTCCACGGGCAGACGCTGGTGGGCTTCACATGATATCGGGGTGCTGCTTACTACCGGGGTCGAGACCGATCTCGTTCATGACGGTAATGCCAGCCTCCTTGGCGGCGGCGTCCAGCTCCAGCATGGCCGGGCTGACATAGCTGGTGGTGACGACATGCTTCTTCTGGCGGATGGCGGACTGGATGACCTTGGCGTGGAAGGTGTAGGGGATCAGGGAGATGACAAGGTCGTGCTGGGCGACGGCGGCGTCGAGGGCCTGTGCGTCGTTGACATCGAGGGCGGTAGGCCGGGCGCTCTTGACGCCGGCGGAGAGCTGCTGGGCGGTCAGGAGGGTCCTGCAGGCTGTGTCGAGGCGGGCGAGGCCGTCAAGGTTAGCCTGGGGGCAATGGAAGGCGAGCAGACATACGAGCCTGGCATGGGATTTGGGGGAGTGCGGCGGCCAGGGTATGGTGGGAGTGGTCCAGGTGACCAGATGGGGCTGCGCAGGCAGAGACGAGGGGAGGGGACCGGAGGAGGATTTGCGTACCGACAGTAACCTGAACGCCAGATTCACTCAGAATGTCCAGAGTCGGCTTTGTGACGAAGCCGGCGCCGAGCATAAGCACCTTGCTGTGAGAGGTAGGCCGTGGGTTAGCCGACTGCCCCGCCTCATTCTCAAACCACCGCACGACACGGCACAGCACGACACATCATCACAAACCCGCCACGATGATCACGATCACGAGCAAGAAGGGGAACAAGCGAGGTCTGCAATCAGACAAGCAGGGATGAGTGAGAGGTGGCTGCTTGCGCGTTCCTGCGACACGAGATTACACGTACTGTTGGGATGCCATCTTTGCTGGAGAAATTCGTCTGAGGGGTGGAACAGGTTACGGGGACGGAGGGGAAGATCTGGGCTCTGGACAAGAGATCGTGTTTGTCGTCACACCAAGGAAGATTGGGTTGGTCGGTTGAATCGATTGACTTGACTGAGTAACTGATGTGAAAGCAGCGACCGGCAGTTTGGTTTCCACGTCCAAGCAAGGCCTCTGACCGCCACTGTAACTGCCACAGTACTTTGCCGTATGCCACGCGAGGGAAAACTTTGTGGTGACTCTTTTTTTCACTGTGACGACAACCCCACGATGCCGATAACGGCGGGTTTGCCTCAGTTAGCATCACCGATTGGCGACCCCTCATTTGGGCAGACGTTTGGTACGTACTGAGCCGGTGACTGGTCTCGTAGTGTGTGGGTGCGGGTGTGTGTACCTAGGTACCGCCGCTCAATCAGTCATCATTCTTGCACGCCCGCTCACTGATCCCTAGCCGAGCCAACCACCAGTCCATATTCATGCTTGCTTGCATCACAGATGTGGGCAGCGGAAAGCTACGTATGCATACGTACCGAACGGGCGCGCAGGGGCCACCTGGTCACCGAGCTGGAAACGACCTCAACCTCCACCGCTAGCGGGAGCGACGTCAAGAGAAAATTTTCGAACCAAGACCGCAGTAGCGAGCCCAGCGAGCCAGTGCAGTAGGCAGGGAGCCGACGGGGTTGCTCACAGGTACTCGCGCACGCACGCCTCGCCGGCGGGAGACTTCCGCACTACCGCCGCCCCTCTTGGCGCGGGCTCGCCCTCTCTGTGTCCTGTCCCTCATCATCAGTCAAGGCCCCTCCCTCTCCTCCATGCAAGAGAGCAGATCCCCACCTCCACCTCCATCGGCCACGCCACACCATGCCCAGCGGCGGGGCCCAGGGTCCCGGCCGCCTTCGAGGCACAGCACAGCGCAGCACAACAGCGCCGCAGAGCCAAAAAAGTATCCTTCCTGCGCCAGCTGAACAAGCAGCTCCTGGTCCCCCCCAAAGCCCCACCCCGACACATGGAAAAACCGGGGCGCACAGATACACACACCCAACGCCCAACCCACACACGCGCACAACAGCAACAACAACCCAGGGCCACCATCCCTGACGCAGCGCCTGGCCGGGGCATAGGGGTCGTTCAAACGGCAACCTTTCTCCCTCCTTCCTGGCCCCACACCCCTCCGCTCGCTCGCAGGGTTGGAGTCTGTTGTTGTTATTGTGTGAGCGGCTCTTTTCTGGGTGGTGCTAGCGGAGGGTACGGTACGTACCTTTCCCACACCATCCCACCCCACCCCCTTCACCCCTCCTGTTGCTCTCTTGCATTTCGCATGCATCATAGCATGGCATGGTAAGGGGAGGCCCGTCCGTGATCAACAAAAGGGAACGGGGAGCTAGGGCAGGAAAAAAACAAAAAAACGAAAGAAGAAACCCACACGCTGCCTTTATGCCCAATCAGCCACCACCACCACCACCACCACCACCCCACCCTACCACCCCACCCCTTTTGCCGTATCGAGCGACGTCTTTCTCTCTCACTCTCCTTGTGTGTCTGTGTCAGTGTGATGCGGGCGGTCGGTGCCGTCGTCAAGATTGATGGATAGAAAAAGACGCTGAGAAAGTTTCGACCGGGTTCTAGGTTTCTTGCCTTGCTTGCTGGGGCCTCAGGGAAAAAAAGAGACAGCCGCCATTCATCGCTTCTTTGGCGCCTCTCACTCTCTCTTGGACGACTCTGTGACATCAAGATTACCACCCACCCTGCCCCCGGTGCTTTGTTTTTTTTTTTTGGATCCGGCGGACTTGACTCGCCTGGACCGGCACTGCATTGCCGGTAATTCCATCAGGGCCAGACGTGTCTTTGGTATGGTTTGCAATCACCGTAGCTTTGGTGGGCTTTTCACAATGCAGAGCTTGTCACGATTCAGAAAGGCCGGCTAGCATGTTCAAGTGCCGTGGAAGCGCCAGCGGAAATATGAGTATGTAGCTTTGGAACTTTGTTTTACATTGGCGTGCCTTTTATAGCAGCGGGCTAGATGGGCTGGTCTTCTTTCGACTCGTACAATGAATTCCTCCCCTGCTGAACCACCCCCTTGCCCCCCTTCACCAGGTTTTCCATCCAGGTGGTAGTAAATCTTACAAATTCAGCAGTGTTGCTGGTTTGGTCTCTATATCGTAAAACCCGGGGTATCGAATCCGTTCCTTTGTAAAACCTGTAGCCTGTTGGTCCGTTGATCAGAACAAAAAGCCGCCCCAGTGTAAACTCCGTTGGCTTTCCCCGGAAAAACCGAAAAAAAAAAGAAGGAAAAAAAAAAAAAAACTAAAACAGTGAAGAACTCCAGTAAAATGCGGCTCATAATCGTATAATGCGTGATGGTTCAGGCTCGACTAGTCGTCGTCGGCTGTTTCGGCCTCGCCCTCACCATCTTCCTCCTCGTCGTCATCATCACTGACCGGTGGCTCCCAGGCATCTTCCAACTTGAGGCCCTTTCCAGTTGGTTGGTAGTCGAAGGATGCACCCAGGAGACCGCCCTCGCTGTGGAATGGTAGCTTCTCTGGGGGGTCGTATAGCCCCAAGCCAATGAGGATGTCTCCTTCCTCTTCCTCGTCGTTCTCGTCCAGCGATTGGAACGGGATGGACTCATCATCACCCTGGAGGGCTGGCTCTGGCTGCTGGGACTTGGGCGGGTCCTCGGGCGTAGGGGGAGCCCTGGGCTGCGAGGCTCGCCCAGTTTGCTGGAGAGTGCGACGTCGCCACATAGCTAGGCAAAGGCGGCGCACAGGAGGGTCCAGGCGTGAAGGAGTACTGGGCCTGTCCTAGAGTCGACGGCGGCATGTTGGCTGCCGCATCTGCGGCAGAGACGTCCCAACTAGGCGAGGAATACGTCTGGGGCATCTCATAGGTCGAGTACGGGAGGTTCAAGGGCGAGAAGGCCGACGCTGGGGAGCTGTATGCCGAGTAGGCGGCGGGTGTGGGTGGGAACTGGACGGGGGCGGGCGCCGCCGCAGGTGCGGCAGTACAGCAGTCCACCTCGCAGTACGACGGGAAGGGGTACTGGGTCGGTTGTGTTGATACAGGCGGCATATATGGTTGGGTCTGCGCCATGGTTGATGGGTGCCAGCTGACTGGCCGTGGAGCCTTCTTCACAGGCTCGTAGTAGCAGTTGCCGCAAGTAGTATCAGGACCAGGCGTGGGAAGGTACGGCTGGTCAACCACTTGCTGTGCTCGTTGGATGAAGGCCGGGTCGTTCATCATCGTCCGTCGACGTTGCTGCATGAGCGAGTTGCGAGGGCTGTTGCTGGCGCTGGATGGTTTGGCGACTCTCATAGTGTTTCCAGTGTGAGCACCGTTCGACCCCCTCGAATATCTCCTGCTGGCTGATACTGCCATTTGCCTGGAGAGGTCTTCGAGGAACGCATCGTGGGTGTACTGTGCAGGATAGGAAGGCACACCAGGGAGACTGGCTCCGACGAAGGAGTGCATCATCTTGATAGTTGTGTGTTTGTTGGCGAGGTTGTGCTTGATGTGTGTAGTGTTGACGAGAAAGGTAGGTTGGGAGGCATGGAGCGCCGTAGTCTATTAGTATATGGCATCGTGGTGGCTGTCAAGGCAGATCGAGGTCTCTGACTGCTTATTATGGAATGGGTCGGTCATAAAGGAGAGGGCGAGCGTTGAGACAGGGACAGGGAAGCAAAGGGGCCATGTGGAATGGTTCGAAGGATACATCGAAGCTAGTTTGGGCAGGAGTGACATTGCCGTATTGGCACGGAGAACAAAAGTAGTGAGATGGGGACGGGGCCATTTGGCATGTGGATGTCTAGGTGGGAGGTATCATGGGGTCAAGGGTGGAAGCGTCGGTTCGGGTCAAAGAGAGCTTGCATGCTGTGAAGGATTGGCCGCCTGCGTCATATCGACTTGCAGGGATGGTTGTTTTATGCTGCTTGTGTCCTAGCAGCATGGGGGACGGTAGGGCGACTGCCACATTCGGCACAAGGCCGATGGAAGCAGGAGGGAACAAGCGGACAAGCAGTAGCCCTGTCAAGCGTGGTGTGAGGTGAAAGCGGGCCAAGCTGAGGTGAACGATGTACCATAGCACACCCCGTACAACTTTACGTACCTTCTGCATCGGACAAAGCCATTAGGTTTGGCCTGTGTGTGCTGCGGTACCGAAGCCTGAATGTTGCTTGGAGACAGTTGAGTTTGGGCGGCCCAAAGCTGCGTACGCAAGCAGGAGGCAGGCCAGAAGCATACACAGGTACACCGAGATACCTGCGAGGCATCTCAGCCGCCCGTGCTGGTTGCAAAGAGCCGGCTGCCTGTGCAGCGAGCGTACATGGTAGCCCACAATCCGCGGTACGAAACAGAACACCTCTAGGTCGGTGTAAGACAAGTCTCGAGGGGGGCAAGCACGACGCGAGATTGCCTGAGCGAAAAGGCGGTAGGGTACTCTGGCGCGTGAGCAGTTTGGCGTATCCCTGAGGCTCACGATGTACACGGTACCGGTATTTCGTGGTTGGAGGAGCGACCCCAGTCGACGGTTGGATCTGGGAATGTTTTGATTGGAACCGGCCCCTGGGGATGGAGGAAACCCACATGCAGCGTGGTATGGGCCACCGGCTAGCCAGAGCAAGGGCTGCCGGGGCCAGGCCTGGCGCACCGTCCGTTCGGCACCATCAATTTGGCAGAGACCGTGTGAGGTGTGTCTGTCTGTGGGGTTCAGTCAGGCGGGCTGGGGGGGTACGGCGGTACAAGGCAAGGACGGCACTGGGCCGGGATGTCTAACGACCAAGGCGAAGAATGAAGCCGCTGGGCCTGAGAGCATTCTCGCGGCTTGGAGTCCGTCCTGAGGTGGCCCCACGTATCAGAACTCGAGACCGGCCCTGAGGAAGGTAGCCTTTGCCCAGTGGTGACACCGCCCTGCGAGCAAGGACAGGTGCGCCAGGCTGCAGAACTTCGAGACTTTTGAGCGCAGTGATCCATCCAAAAACGGCTGCTTGCAAGGATGCTGGCATGTGGGATGGCGGACAAGGGGAAAGACCCAGAAGCCCTTGCCCAGGCCCCAGGGGGGTTGCATCTGGGTCGGATGGAGTTGAGATGCAGATGCAGATGGGGACACGACAGTGAGGACTGGGACCTCGGGAATGGGAACGATGGGTTGGTAGGGGGGTGGGGCGTGCATGAGGAAGACGTCCGGGGGGGTGTGCGCTTTGCAACCTGACACCTCGAAGTCAGCGCGCCAGGGAATCGTCAGGCAAAGACAAGGAAATGAAACCCGTGCCAACTGGCCGCCCCGGCGTGAGACTTGTCGACGAACAGGGGGTCGGTGCAGTCATAGTGCCGTCGCATGGGTGTGCTCCTGGCGAATTCGATACTTTGCAAGGTTGGACGGAAGATCCCTTCGATCGTGGAAAAAGATCACCGGTTTCTGTTTTTACCACGTCAATGGTCGTGATGACTGGGGCCCCTGGGACTTGGGCCAAACCATAGCCCTGCGCCCTGACACCCAAACCCAGACCGACGACAACAACGCCTCGATGAGACTCTCCAGGAACAGGACTGTGGGCCACTGCACTGCACCGCAAAAGGCCGCAAGCCCGCAAGCAAGCCTCCGACGGTGAGCTGAGCTCATGAGGCAGGCCCCTCGCCGACATTGAGCCAGGACAAGGTCCAGGAGGGCAGGTTTTTCTTCCCTTCCCACGGTCGTATTGTAGTCCGTGACAGGTCGCTCGCGTCTTCATTTGCGAGGTGTGTTTCTCGGGGAGTCGGGAATTGCATAGTACAAAACGACACATCACCAGAGGAGCAATGTTGTCTAGGTGATGTCTGAGAGCACAATAGTGACCATCCTTGGAATATGCAACCTAAGCAAGTGCTGGTTGCGGGCTGGCGCCGTCGATGGGCTGGGTGGCCAGGATGATGATGACGGGCCGAGGGTCAGTCAGAGATGCAAGCCAGGAGATTCTCCTGGGCCCGCCTGCACCATGCACTGGCGCGCTGCGCAAGTGTGTACAAAAGTACGTACCCCCTTACTACGCAGTAGCTTTACGGGCCCTGCGACGTCGTAAGTTACGGGGCACGCCCCCCTCAGCCATCCTTGGGTGGCAACCTCAGCAACCTCGACGCTGTAGGATCGATGGGACCGGGTCAAAAATGCTGGCTGCAGGTGCGGTGCCGCTGCGGTGTCAGAGTGTGTGGGCTCGCTCTCGTGCTGGTCCCTTGGTCCTGCAGTCCTGGAGGAGCTGGCACGATGCACATCCCATCGGAGCACCTGACGCCCCAGGGCCTGACACACCACTAAGCGAGACGAATCTCCTCCGCCTGTAGGGGGGCCACCTAGTGGCGGGGCGTCACCTTGGTTCGGACTCAGTTGCCCACGCCTGCATGCGTCCATGATTGTCGCTCGTGTCCCTGGCCACAATTTATTACGCGTCGTGGGCAGGGCAGCCCAGGCCGCCTTTGCCGAGTCCAGTCTCCCATGTTGTGCGGCCGCCGCATGATGGAATGGTCAGAGGAGGAGCCCTTCCACAGTGGTGATGAGCTGGCCGTCTCGTGCTATCGTATTAGCCTGACAGGTCAGATCTCCCTCCTGCGCGTACCGTCCAGAACGGAGAAGAGAGCAGTTGCACCACAGCAAGGCGTACATCGTGCATTGCGCATTGGCACATAGTCCAGCAGACATGGACTAGCAGACACGCCGCCTTCCAGACGTGGAAGGCTGATGGCCGCCAAAGGCTTGCGTCGGGAGGCAGCATCGTCTCTGGGTGGGCCGGTGCGTAACAAACCACAGCGCAGGAAGTAGATTGGATTACCAGTGCGACCTACGGGGCCGACGTGCTCGTGATGCTTTTCGCCTCGCATCCCCCCGCTCGGTCGCAAAGCACGGGTCAGGCCAGGACGGGGCGGCTCAAGTGCAACGCTGGGTGTGCTTTTTCTCAGGGTGGATGGTCTCGGCTTGGGGGCTTGGGAGGGCTTCACAGACCCCGTCTCATTTAGGGGCAGGCGCGAATTGTTTCTCATAGACTTTCGCGATCCCGCAGAAATTACTGCGTAGTGTGATCATCGGCGCGAGGATTGTGGACTCGGCGGCTGAGGGAACAGAGGACCTGCCGGCAGGTGCGTACTGTGTGTACTGGGGCACGTACGGGGGCCACTGGACGTAGCGTGCTTGGTAGTGCGAGCCTGGTTGACTGGCCAGATTGGCGGACTGGGTGCGAATGCGGTGACAGAGGATCGTGCTGTGGGTGTGTCGGTGTGTGTGTTTGGTACGGTCCGGTATGGTTTGGGCGCGGAGGGCAGGGTAGGCAAGTCGCTGATCTGTCCGTGGTGCATGCCAATCCAGGCAGGTAGGCCCGAAGATGAGTCGACCAGGGGTCCGAGAGACACAGACCAAGCCACCAGAGTCGAGCCTGAAGTGAAGGTTGGAAAGTCAGGACGACAATCATCAGAGTCAGGCGCCGTCACACACCCGCCCGCCCTGGCCGCAGCATCAGCAAGGAGCAGCAATTCCGCCTAGGGTAGGTCCTGGCAGGGCAGGTATGAGCCGTATGGGATGCAGGAAGGGAGGGGGTGGGTGAGCGCGTTTCGCTGGCTGGGTTGCTACCCGAGGCGGAAATGGAATGGACCTGCACCTAAAAATGAAGTTCCAGGCGACTGGCCGCCTTCGTTTTTAGCGCTGCGAGGACTTGGCCGTGGCCGCCTTGCCCCTGCCAGCCTTGAAAGTTGAAGGCCCTGGAAACCTGCCCTGGGCGAGGGGCCGGCCAGCCAGGCGACGGACGAGGCGAGGCGTGCGTGCCCATGTCCGAGTTACTGCACCCACCAACCTACCTACCTACCTTGGTCATGTACCACTGCACCCCAGCCTGCCAGGTAGCAGCCGACAATGCATGTAGTGCTCCATACAACTGGCCTAGAGCATCCTGGGCAGTGACTGACATTTTGCCTGCTACGGACGGTGTGCCACCATTTTGTTTTTGAGTTCCAGTCTTTTCCGGGTCCGGCTTCCAAGCCACCGACGCTTACGCAGCACACACCTGCTGTACCGGACTGCATGTGCCACTGTCGCACGTGCTGCACTGAACACACTCACCCAACTCACCCACAGTCACCTAGGTAGCATGCACTATGGACTGTAGGACCCCAGGAAGCGGAGAGACATTCGCTTTGAGTGTATACACACACGCCGGGCGTGCTGCACAAGAAGTGTTCCAAGGTATTTTCCACGTCCCGCATGCCTTCCTCATTCGTCGGCTACCCAGGGATTGCTCGGCCCTTGACACACTGACCCCCCCTTTCCTTTTGTTACTGGAGCTGCCCCTTCCCACTTGCACTTGCACTTGCATTCGCGCCTACTACAGTACAGCAGGCCTGCCACCCTGCGCCTGCCGCACCGGCTGACCGGCCATTCCATTCCCGTCCCAGACGACCTGCTCTAACGAAACTTTCCTCAATCCTACGCATGAGCGACCCGACTACGTAAGATTGGGCCGGCTCAGGACCAGGATTGCCGCAATCGTTCAACACATTGTACGCAGTAGTGTCCCGTACCGCACCGCACCCTCCTGCTGCTCCTCCCTTCCTTTCCCCCTTCCCTCCCTTCCCAGGATGATGATTCCGCTGCCCCACCCCGGATAGCGACTTCCCTCCACCCTGGCGCCTGGCTTGGCCTGGATCACCACCCAGAGGCCAAGGAGGACCAATCAATATCGAGGGTACGTACCTCACGGCGTCGAGGTACATTGGATGTGCCGTCGCCAAATCCGTGAAGAGACATGACCATGACCTCCACACCTGGCTCCCCGCCCGATGCACCCACCTGCCGTAGCTTGCTGCCGTTGTCGATGCCATGTCGATGGCGATATTGATGGCGCTGGTGCAGTTGCAGTGTGCTGTAGCGGCTGCAGTCATTCCTTTTACCTCACGATCAGCGATGGGCCTGCCATCGTGCACAAAAGTACGTACATGTCGCGTCCGAGGCTCGAGCATGACAAGCACACCGGATGTGCTCCCTACCTGCGAGCCAGCCTGCACGTACGGCGCCTGTGCATCGACTGGTCTGTTTCCCTTGTGGGCTTGGTGCATCCATCAGCCATCCAACAGCACAAGACACGAGACCGGACCCGTCCCATCACCGCCTGGCCTATCCTGTCCTCCAGGCGTGTCCCTGTGGGCCAGGTCGCCGCCCTGCTGTCGCGCCTCCATCCGACGATTACTTGGTCTTGGTCCTGGGTTGGTCGCACACTTCAAACGGCAGTCTAAACTACTACTTAGTTTTTCGGAACACCACAGCCTGTTTCCGGTCCCTCCGTCCTGGGCCGTTTGCGAAAGGGGACGCCGCCAATCCTGGCACCGGCTCCAATATTCAGCACCTCCTCGCAAACCAGCAACCCAGCAGAGACCCGGGCCCGTTCTTTGAAACGGCAGCTGTTGGCTGGCTCACGAGTTGGACGGTCCCATCTTGCTTTTGCCTTTCCGGCGGCCTGAAACTGGTCGGCGGATGACAACCTTCGATTTGGTGCCCCTCCACCTCTGGCCCCTCCTCCGGGGTGCAACAATGCCCTGCGTGCAGTGTGCTGCGAGTCAAAGCTGACGGGCCGCATGATTACTCAGACGCTGTCGAGATCGCCCTCGCTGCTCGCCCCTGTCTGCTTTGGCCGCCTGGCCCTCAGCCCCCCAACCACCGGCCCAACCCAGCCAGGTTGCACCTGCTGGGGCTGTTGCAGGAGCGATGTCTCCGCGAGTATGCGCGGCAGCACTAAGATTCCGGGTCTTTCGCAGTTGTGTCAACTCTACACCATCCACGGATACTTTCGGACTCAGACCTGCATTGCCCACCGTCCAGGGTGGTCGACATGCCTTCCTTAGTTGAAAATGACTTGCGCCTCGAAACTCAAGCTGGCCCCGTTCTACACTGGCCTCTCGAGATCGATCCGATGCATTTCCACCTTGGCGGCCACCTGCCTTCTGCGAGACTAGTCAAGAGCAGACGATGGACGGGCCCATCATCGCTGTCGATTCTCATTAACCTGGTGACCAGTACAAGGGTAATGCCCTTGGCCCTCCGCGCGCTCGGCAGGCCATCGTGAGGTACTGTGAGTGTGTGAGTCGCACGGTTGGGCTTCCCATAGCGTCGATCCCCGGCGCAGCCTAGAAACCAAGGCTCCACCTTCGTCAACAAAGGCCCTCGATGCCTAGCGAGACGAGCGGGGAGTCTGACTTCGACCTCAAGTCACACTAATCAAATGCTCGACTCCCGGCTCTGCAACTACAGTACAGGCTTTATTAGTTTGCGGAGCACCAAGTTGTCGACTCTGTGCACGCCTCTCAGCCCCCGGCAAAACCGCAATCAAGGTCGGTAAGACCGGGGCCGGCCGGCGCTAGAAATCTTCAAGTGTCCAGGATCCTCGCGTGCGGTGGTTGTGTGTCCGGGACTCCTGGATTCGCGGCCCACTGGAAATTTCCCCAAATTGTTGGCTTATACCCAAGCACAAAGTCGGTCAGCAGCAACTCGGTGTCATCGCTCGCCCCAGCTGGCAAATTCGTCTCCCACAACAAATTAGACCTACAAAGTGGAAATACTGCATCACGGCGTCGACCATCCTGCCTCGGTAGCGGAGCCTTGTCCCAACCTTCCTCTCATTGGGCGAGCCAATCTACGGCCACTTTATACCCCTGTACAGTGGCCCACCCCCCCAGTACATGACGACAGGGGTTGATGCGGAAAGAACTCATCTGGAAAGATTGGAAGGTCGATCTCGAGGCTCGTCAGCCATACATCCCTGTCAAGCGCACCCTGAAACAAGGTACATAGGCTCCAGTACTACGGTTCCTCTTTCGATGCTTCACTTTTAGCATTCTGGTACCTCGGCCCATGCCCAGAGATGCCACCAGCTTCCGCGTCGCGGCTTCAGCCACAGAGTGCAGTCACGGCTGGGTGAAGCTAATGCGTGCCTGCTTGGATGCGCATCGGTCACCTTCGCTGCTCGATGGACTGTGATACCATACGATAGACTTTGACGTTCAAGGTCCCTGTCGGATGTCCTCCAGCAACCGATTCATCATGCTCGAAAGCTAGCCAAAAGAGACCAATCATAAACGTGTGCTGCGTACGATGCAGCCGCCCTAAAATGTCCTTCCGGCCGGTGCCATCGTCATGGGTTCACCTGGGCTGTGCCACGGGCCGCAGGATGGCTGGAGACTAGGAGGCGGGCCCCGGCCCCTGTCCCAGCTTTGACTGTTGAGTGACCAGGCCGCCGTTCGAAGGTGGCGTCTCGTGGTCCCGGCCAGATCTGATATCCCGTGTTATTGGGCAACGCCCGGTACCTCGCGTCGAATGCCTAGTGCCCTCGACAGTGACAAGCGACAGGGGGCTTGCTGCCAGAGGATCGAAATGCAGGGTATCGATTACCTTGCCGTCCTGATGGGACCTTGCCACCTTGGCAGACAGCCTGCCTGCACGCACTGCATGATTTTCTCGCGATACCATGTACTCATAATTTTGGTCGATTCCACGGCCACCGGGCCACGGTTCGACAGAGGCAATGTGATATGACTCTGACAAAGTTTCGACCCAGGTCTGCTGGACCACGGACGTCAACGTCAGATCGAAAACCAGAGTTGCCTCGGATACACATCTTGAATGAGTACCGCAAACTCCCCGGAATGAATTCAAATACCGACCGTTGCAAGGGAATTTGTACACCTCGGGAAGAGATCTGCAGCAATTTGTGCCTCATCTCGTCTTCGCTGTTCTTCGCAGAATTCATTACTGGAACGTCCCCCTTGCGTCCCTCACGCTGTCACAGATTTCTAGACCTAGCGGGTTGTCGGAGGATGTACTGACTCGCAGGACACGTCGTTCTGACTGGCAGTGATCTGACTGCCGCCCTCAGGCCAGGACCAGCGCACGCTGCCAGTATCCACAGAACAGACCAGCCTTAACACGGGTGCGTTCTCCAATATCACCGGCTCGCTCGGCGTGCGCTCAGAATCGCCGTCTCTGGGGCGCCGTGGACCCTATGCATGTTGCGCCTTGTGTTGCGGGCCCCCACACTGCACAGGCTGTAATTTTCAACCCTGTCGCATCCACTCACCAATGTGTACACCTGTACCTTAGAGTACGGGTTCTGCGGTCTATGGTTGTGGAAAATTACCGGATATTTCCCTGCGGATGCGCCGTGAATCGTACTGCCTCGAAGGTCCTCGCTCGGATCGTCACATCCCTCGCGCTGCTGATGGGCGGCTACGGCTGATGGCCTGGCCATTTCGGCGATCACACACCCATCTCCCATCGGTGGTTGGGCGAAAGCGTCACTGTGCCCTGCCTCGCTCCTCGCGGCAGTACTGCGGTGTCCAGAGACCTGGACACGAATGTGGGAAGGCTATTTAGAACCGGCCCAATTTCGCTCGCCTCCACGGGCAGCCAGCTACCCCACGGCGCAGTGGTCCAGGCTCCAGTTACGTACCGACCTGGTATGTCAGCCTGCCAGCCTCCTGGCCTATCGCGGCCGATGTCCGGGATGACTTCACTGACGTCTCACCAAAATGCACGCACGTCAATCGCCGCTGCGGCCCACCGCAAGCCAGGACGTTATCATGCAACTTAACCGACCCAGCGCTATGATCGGCGTTTTCGAATGTAGTTTGTAGCGCAGCGACGGCCGAGACGACACCCTGACAAACCGAGGGCTTCGTGCCGCATGCCCGCTCGACTTGATTGACACGACCGACCGCAGACGTGGAGGACGCCGGGAGGCTCCGTTGATACACCGAAGGCAATACACGGTAGAACCAAAATGTGCCCAAACACGCGTAATCGACCTACGGTACCCACGGTACCCAGGGACAGGCAAACATCATCCGGTGTCCAGCCACGCTGATCCGCCAACAACTCGGGTCTCGAACTTCCACCACTGGGAAACCACAAGCAAGCGACCTTGTGTTGATCCGGTGCCAGCCCAACCTCGCACCTCCATATTTGGCAAACCCTGGCTGGTACAGACTGTTTCAAAGCTTCGGCATCCATGAGGAATGCCTGGGCGTGTGCTCAACAGCCAAAGCGTGGGCTTGTGCGTGGTCTAATGTGAAGTGAGATCCCAACCGAGCAACCGAGCAGCACACTGGCGCTCATTGGGTTACCTAGACCGCCTTGGCCAACCAAAGGACTTAAGGGCGGAGCCCTGGTGATAGCAATCACTTCTCATCAGCGGCGACACATGATTCGTGCTAGAGCCGTCGTATGCAACATGGGCTGCGGAGCGCCGCAGCCTTGACTTTGGGGGACCAGGACTGCTGGCTCCCATGCTGTCTGTGGCTGAGAATATCGGACGACGTCCGCGGCGCAAAACTATCTTGGTCGAACCCTGTCATATCTCCGATGCCAGCGAGGCAAGCGGTCTGATCCTGCTGGATTGTCCATACCCCCCGATGCAGCTCATCTGCAATGCACATGGTGCACCTCACAAACCTTTCTCCGCCTTAAAGTAGCCTTGACTCCTCCGTCGCCAAGTTGTGGATGCGTGCGTAATCCGAAGACTGCCCAGAAAGGATACTTCGCCGCGGGGACTGAGCTTCCAAGCTGACCCTAGCTCGAACTCGAAACGACGCTCGACATTCCAGCATGACACGACAGTTGGCTGATGTCGTCAAGTGCGGCGTACTGTGAGGGCAGCCTAACGATAAATGAGAAACCCTACCTCTTTCGGTGCCGGGCTCCATACGTCTGCAAGGCATCAGCGTGATAATGGAACTGACCTGGCCATCCTGGCCGAATGAGAGCCTGTGAGTTTGCGATCAGATTCTGCTGCGTGCAAGCCATAGACACTAGGGCCAGCAGTGTCATCTGTGAATTCTACGCCTCGGTGACGCCTTTCAGCGTTGCAGCGGATTGTTAGGTATCGGGGTCGCGCTGGCTGGCTGACTGCCTGATGTTTTGACCCACGGAAGCAAAGGGATCGTCAGCCGTTCGGTACGACTGTCCAATCCTAGCCCAGGAGTACCTTGAGCATCACTCACGGCGACTCGCCCCTGACCCGCTCCGACCAAGTCGGCATGTCTCGACGCGGGTTTGCTGCAGCGGCATGGGTGGTGAGGCACATTTTTTAATCTATCATACCCCCTTTCTGCAGCGTCATCGAAACGGATGCCAGTTCTCGGAGCGTGAGGGGCATGGCTCATTAGATTTGAACGCTATTTCCGGCATACACGGAGTTTCGACGGCGCTCAGCGGGGAGCCACAAGAAGCCGCCTTGGGAGAGGCCGGTGGCCACCCACAGTTCGGATCAACTCCCATCCACAGCTCCTAGCCTCGAATGCACAAACTACGGTACACCGCTTGTTCCGTGGTTGCATGTTGGTCTTCCGTCGACCTTTGTTGTGACCCTCGTAATTGTGACATCCTGAGGGATGAGTTGGGTACTTTTGGCTGACGATCTCGCAGCAACCCTCGCCAACCTCAACACCAGTCGACTTATTAGGCCGAGACTTAGCCAGGCTGCCAGGTAGCTGCACGCTGTGACGCAAACCTCCTGAGCGGATTTTGTGCTCCATGTTCAACCAGTCGGTCAGGCTGCGGGCTAAAGAGCAAAGCCCACATACTTGGCTTTCTGATCATCAGTCTAGCCCTCCGCCTTCATGCAATCACACGACAGATCCATCTGCCTCCGGTTTCTTTCCCCCCAACCGGTTGTCCTGACTCAAACTCGAGTCCGATCAATCTGCAGGCAACATTTTGGACGCCAATCCTCTAAACCCATCCTGTTGGATCTTGGTTGTAGCAAGGTTTACGGCGAACCTGATTATCCTTTGGTCGTTCCAGTCGTCCCTCCGACAAAGCAGACCGTACAGGGTCCCCGCCACGAACGTGTCCCCGGCACCTATGGCGCTGTAAAACGCGCTCTGTCAGCTTTCATGCCCTCGTTCCTGATTGTGGACACTGAGCGGTGGGCCTTTCGCAAGTGGCAAGGAAAGGGAAAGGGGAGGGGCGTCCATACTCGACGACTTGAACAGTCGCACTGGGCTCTGGCGTGACGTTGAAGATTTGCTGAGTCGGGAGCGATTTGGCGGTGGCTCCCAAAGCTCCCCAAGTGCAACAGAGGATTGACCTATCAATACTTCAGTCTTGGTGTGACATGCGGACACTGGGAGGCGAGAAGGCTACTGTCAGAGACTACAGTTGAACTTACGCCCTAGGTGTCCGCGCGCATTCGCCTGTCAGACATGCCTCAGCGCTTGCGTATCCCTCGCCCTAGCCCTCCTAATCAGCTTTGGTGACCTCTGTCGTTACCGGCTGGCCTGGCCACGAGACACCCGTCCGACTCACCTCAGCCCAACTCTTCGAATAAAACACAACATCAGCCTCAGCGGCCAGCTCCCGCAAGCCCTGCCTCGCGGGCTTCTCGACCTCGACGCTGATGCGAGACCGTGGATAAGAGTGGCGCAGGTGTCGGATGCACTGGAGGCTCGTTTCTGGGATGCGACCCTGCCACTCCCATCTTCAGCCATGGCTTTTCGGCTGCCGAAGCGCGAGATATAAGCAGATCCTGCCTGCGCCCGACGCCTTCATCTTGATCCTACTGTCAGGCTTGGGAACCCGTCACGGACGTACCTCAAAGTGCCACCACATATTTGCAGCATCTTCGTCACGGAACGCGTCCGCAACGTTGACGAACTCGTCTGCCGTCATTTCGTCCAGACCGTTGTGATTCACGATAGTTCGCGTACCCGTCGCCTGGCTAGACATTATCCAACAGCTGGCCGCCTCTGACTGATCGTCTCGGTAGACACAGTGGCTCAGATCGATCAGCGAGTCTGGCCCGAATGATGACACCACTTTCGCGGTGGCTGATGCGTGGCGGTTGGGAAGCGTTGTGACGAGGTGGAGGGCGAGATCTGGTGGCGTTGAGAGGAACTGCTCCAGTACCTCGAGTGAGTTGCCGCCATTCCCACCTCGTCGGACTTTCAGGTTTGTGGCGCGTAGTTTGGCATCCTCTTCGGGATAATGGGGGACGCTGAAAATTGATCACAGGTGAGTGAGCGGGCGTTCGGTCACGTTGACCAACACGAGCGAGAGTCCCTCACCTGAGAATGGTGTCGATGTAGCACGCACCGACCATGACCAGGTGCTTCATCGTGGCTCTCTTAGCTGCAGCTAGGACTTTCCTTGACGTGTTCTTCTCGCTTTACTCTTTACGTGTTGCCTCGAGGTCTCGCTCAGCACCTGGCCCAGTTGTAGTGGATTCTTGCAAGTGCACGAGTTACGTCACAGACCGTTTATCTGCGGTTCTTACTACGGTGCATGTCAACTGTATGTAATTGGAGTGAGTCAGAGGAAACAAACGATATGCCCTATTCTCCGCGGCTCATTTGCATTTTCGCAGTTGTAAGTGAGCAGTCGCAAGGTCTCGATGGTCCCTGAGCATGGCGATTCGCGAGGTAGGGTAGTTCGGATGAGCGGCGAGCCTGAACTCCGCATTGCCTGGGATCGCTCTGATTGGCGAGTCTCGGACTGTTGGCACCCAAGTCTTGGGTAGTGTGCTACCTACCTAGACATGCCGTACGCTTGAGCTTGAGCTCGAGACAGCCTCGCGTGCAGCACGGCAACTGGGCGCCGTCGAAAGAAGCCGGTCTGGGGGCCAAGCAACGTCAATCGGCGAACTCGATGCCGTGGCTCTCCTCGCGAGCGTGGGCTGCAGCCGTTGGGAACACACATTCCCACGCGGCCTCCCCAGCTGGGCGATCCACGCGGCAGTAGGCAACGGCTGCCTCTTGTGTGTCTTAGTTATCAGGCCGCCGGCGGCTTGCTGCACCGGAGAAACCCTCTCTCGGAGGTGGTACATGTCGCGGCTGGATGAGACAGGCCGGTCTCAGAAGGAAAGAGCCAATTCGAAACAGCGCTGTTGGCACGGTCCGTCCCACGGAGGAAGGCGGCAGCGGTCGCTGAGGCAGCCAGGCAGGGGGAGTCTTTCCTGCTGCCCTGCATTGTCTCTTCTTGCCATTATCCGAGGGCGAGTCGACGTCTCCGTCTGTGTCATTGCCTACAACATGCCCGGCGATTGGTCTCTTTGGTTTTCAAGAGTCTCGGTGAACCGGACACGGCTTCCCGACACCGTCGGTGAAAGGGTGTATAGCCCGCTGCATTGCTTTAGTATTAGACCACGCCGTAAATAACATCCATTTCATAACCTTTGCTAAACTGCGACACTTCGTGGCCTGGATGGTAAAGCCTAAGTCATGCTAATTAGTGAATAACCGCCTGTCTACGGCTTTGGCAGTCGATGTTGTCTCCCCAACGTTTTGGATTGGACGAGATTCATTCTGCTCCATCAATGGCAAAGTTCAGGTCCCAGTGCTGCATGGTCGGCGCCCGTACAGTCCTCACCAAGTGTGCTTGGGGGTTGGCCAGCAAGTTTCTGTGCCAAGGGATGGGCGAGCATGTGTCGCCCTGTTGTGAGGTCTTCGTACGGAGTATCGTTTACGAACCGAGCAAGACACAGCCATGCCGAGTTCTCCGCCACGCTATGCTTCGTGTTATGCTCTTTCCTGTCTGTCTTTGCAGTGTGTGTGCCCGAGCAATTCGGATATCGACGTTCTCGGGTCTTCCGAGGCATGCTCGGACATAGTGTTGCTGGGGGAAGTGAGGCCGACAAGCACTTGACATGATTACATTGCCAGCCAAGAATCATTGCCTGCGAACAGACACTGGGGATTGCCGAAGTTTTCCCTGGAATGCCACACCGCCGAGGAAAACAAATGTTGCTGGATCGCGAGCAACGAGCCGGCTGTACGGCCCGTCGCTTTACCCCAGATCGACGACACTTCTCCATTGGCGGTCACCGCTTAGCCGAGGTTTCTCCGCCCAGACCGTCAACGTCACTTCTCCTTTTCCTGCTGAGAAGACATGTTCATTCTGCGCGGCTTGTTTGACGATAATCATTCTGTGGCTTCACTGACTCCAAGGAGAACATTTACATGAATCATCGTGACAAGCCGGAGGAGGTGGGTTGACAAGTCAAGCACGGCACTATCTGACCAGACGACGGACGGACGATGGCCACGTCCACGCAGACAATCACGCTCGAGAGCGCCCCTGGTAGTGAGGGTATCGAACACCATGAGCTCCGGCAAATCCGAAAGCCTGCGGGTTTCACCAGCACTCCGGTGACTGATGCGGAACGAGGCGCCTCGTCCTCGGGGACAGCAGGAGGCTCGACGTTGGGAGCGTACGAACAAGAGCACAACCCAACGGCAGAAGAGCCACCGCAGCCATGGCTGAAGATCTTCAGCGTGGGCTTTTCGTTCTTCTGTGCCGGTATCAACGACAGCACCCTGGGTCCGTTGATTCCCTACCTGCTGGTCTCATTCTCCATCGGCACTGGTATGGTGGCTGTCCTGTAAGTCATCGCCGCCTGCGTCCACCCGCCCCCCCCCCCCCCCCCCCCCCCAACACGTTTCGGGGACAAAATCGTGTGCATGATACAAGAGCCTGACGGAGACGTTCTCCCTCTCTCAGGTACGCGTGCAATTTCACGGGCTGGATGGTTGGCGCCTTCAGCAACCCCGCCCTCGCGCCGCACTTGAAGCTGGGCCAGCTCCTCTGCCTCGGCGCCCTCCTCCAGCTGGCCGCGCAGGTGCTGCGGCCGTTCGGGTGGTCCGGCCTGCCCGCGTTCGCTGTGTCGTTCTTCCTGCAGAGCCTGGGGACCGCGTATCAGGACGCGCTGGGCAACACCTTTGTCAGCGGCGTCCGGGTTGCGCACAGGTGGCTGGGGTTCATCCACGCCATGTACGCGCTTGCAACGCTCGTGGGGCCGCTCCTGGCCACGGCTATTGCGTCGAATGCAACCCCCGGCAACGGCAGCGGGTTTGTCGGGGGCGAGGAGTCGTGGAAGAGGACGTATTTTGTCACTGTTGGCCTCGGGGTCGTCAACGTGATGTGGGTGATGCTCGCGTTTAGGGATACGCTGTGGGTGCCCCGGCGGGCTGACGGTGTGTCGAGAGGTGGTGATGAGGAGAGGCATGGGAGGACTGTAGCCGAAGAGCAGGATGAGCAGACTGCGTTGTCTGCTCTGCGCGACATGGGCACCATGTTGAAGGTGAAGGACGTCTGGCTCATTAGCCTCTTCTTCTTCTTTGCCCTCGGGGCTGCCCAGACTGCGGGTGGTAAGTGGACATCCCCTAATGGTCTGCCACGGTGTTTCCGTGACTCACCTCTATGGTACTGCCCACCTTTGATATCTCCACGACGGCTGACTGAATGCGCCAGGCTGGGTCGTCAGCTACCTCGTCGAGGTGAGAGGGGGAGATGTCGCCAAAGTAGGCTATGTGCCCTCCGGCCAAGCCGCCGGCATGCTGCTGGGCCGTCTCCTGCTCCCGGAGCCAACCCATCGCTTTGGAGAGAAGCCGATGTTGCTCTTGTATTTTGTCATCAGCATTGGTCTCCAGCTTGTGTTCTGGCTGGTGCCCAACATAATTGCTGGTGCCACGGCCTTGAGTATCATGGGCTTCTTCCAGGGCCCTTTCTTCGCGACTGTAAGTGTGATGGATTCTGTTCACGGTGGTCTACACAGTATCAGGAATCTAAATCTAGTGATCGTTCGGCACAGGGAGTCTCAGTTGCATCGAAGCTGTTCCCACGGAAGATCCAAGCGGCAGCTCTTAGTAAGTCTACTCCTCACTCCCGACTTCTGTTTATCTATACCAGACACCAGCATGGCTCACCGATAAACCTCACCAGGCTTCATATTTGTGGTTGCTCAGGCAGGCGCTGCTCTCTTCCCTTCATTGACGGGCCTGATTGCTGGGAAGGCTGGTGTGCAGGTACTCCAGCCTATTGTGCTTGCTCAACTCGTGGTGGCAACCATCTTCTGGGCATTTGTGCCTAAGGTCCAGCAGCGGAGGGAATAAGATTCACATTATATATGAGACTATGTATCTGTCTGAAGAATGTCCTTCAACAACACTAGTGCAAGGTGCGGAAGAAGCAGGAGTAGAGATGATGAGAAAGCCATTCTGAAGGCGGTGCGCACGACTCGGACTAGTCGTTTCTAGCACTCGAGTGTCCGAAAGGTGCAATACTGCCTTGGCACATATCTAAACTCGGAGGGTAATGCTTCGGCTCTGAAAGAGCAAGACCTGGGGCCTGATGAGGTCATGCTGCTGATTCGAGCTGCGCCTTGCTGCGCCATATCGTCTTGCTGATCCTTGACCTGTCTGCGTCGATTGCTGTACGACGGCGTCCATCATTGGGGTGGGCCTGATGTAAGCATGAACGGAGCCTTTGCACTGGCCCCAAGAAATTTGGAATCCAGCGTATTATATGGATGCACGCAACGGTTGTGCCACACAGGTAGGTAATGCTTTTGCACGCTGCAAGTGAGCCGTGGCATGCTCGGCAGCCCCCGGGTGCCCACACTTGCTTACGGTGCACTCTTGCTATTTCACACGTTCAAATCGACCACAAGCGTTACCCTGAGTGCTCAGTGATCTTTCCAGAATCATCTCTCTTGAGTGTCATACTCATATCCCAGCTATCACCATTGTTTTCTATCTCTAATGTTATCAAGATGGACGCTGCGGAACCTGGCCAGGACATGGACTACCCAGCACAGCAATCTATTGCCTACCAGGTGTATTCTACTGCGGGAGTATGCCTGACGCTGATAGTGGTGTTTTCCTTGACCAGGCTGCTGACGAAGGTATTTTTTGGACCGAGAACAATCAAGATGGATGAGAGTGAGAATCCCTCAACGTCGCTGCTTGACTTTACGAAAGCTGACATTACGGCCGTGAAGTCGTGTTCGTTGTCGGATTAGTATGGTGCCCGCAAGCAGTGTCTCCTGCGCGGCTTCTCAAAACGAAATGCTGACTTGGGCAGTTCCTCTGCTTCATGTTCTTTTCTATGACGATAGCTTGTGGGAACCCTCCAGGCCCCATCCCGGTTCCCTGTATCCGTCTGCTGACCCATCATAGGTGTCGCAGGAAGTGACGTCCCCCCCGGCGACGGCTCCTTTACCAAATCGCAAATTGTGGTAAGTGCCACACCCTGGCGGCATCGGAGACCTAACAAGCTGACAATCAAGCTCTCTCTCCTCGTCCAAATCTTCATGCCCTTGTCGATCTGTTTCGTAAAGATCTCGGTCCTTATCCTCTACTGGCAGGTCTTCTACGTTTTGAAGTGGATGCGCATTGCGTGCATCACGGGTATGACGTGCATCATAGCCTTCCAGTTTTCGTTGTCAGTCGCCTTCTCCGCCATGTGTGCGCCATCGACAGGCTCTTCACATATTGACTTCTTGACTGCCTTCATGTCCGACACGTGCATGCATACGCGGGCCCTCGTTGTACTTCAGGGCGTTGGCAGCGTTGTCACGGACATGTTCCTTGTTATTATTCCCCTCCCGGCCGTCTTGGGTCTTCAGATGCCCCTGAAGCGCAAGATTGCTGTCGCGTCCATGTTTCTGGTGGGCTTATCGTAAGCTTCACTGTCACATGATATTAGTTTTGGGGGTTATGTATCTGACAAAATACAGAGCCTGTGCAGCCAGCATTATTGGCCTCATCTATAGAGTACGGTTTTACACAGTGTCTAAGGACAACAGCCGCCATGCGATCGCGATATGGGCAACATCGTTCGTACACAGTCAGCATCTCTGTTTCGCATTGGCTAACGAACCTGCCCAGCATGGCCGAAGAAGCAGCCGCCGTCATGATCTGTTGTGCGCCTACCACGGCCACATTCTTCAAACTAGCGAAAGCCCCGGTGCGATCCTGGCTATCACGCGCGAGAGGAAGAGCCTTACGCCTCACCGGCTGGCACCGTTCCGACATGCCTGACTCCGGCAGTCAGTCTAAGCTCAAGGCCAGTCTAGAGAGTGGTCGGAATGCCGCCTACTCTCACTTGGAAGCCCGCGAAGACACCGCTGTTCGGGTTGATACGGAGTTCGATGCATATTCGCTGCGGCAAATGAACCAGACGCGGACATCTGCCAGTCGCGGTATCTGAAATAAGACTGGGGTCGCTTCTCGACATTTAATTGTGAATTTGGTAGTGGGGATATGGCAAGATGAAAGGCTGAAGTAGAATCATGTTATTGAGCTTTGAATCGGGCCAGCCATCTTGCGCTCGTTCATTTTACTTGAAGTACTTGGCCAGATGCGAAGGAATGGATAAACCTCCAGCTTGCTCATATGCATCATTGGAAAGATAATTAGTAGGCTCTGGTCTGCGGCATCAGGAGAGAAAGCGCTGCTAAGTCAATGATCACGACCCCTCTCCATCCAAACCATCTTCTGTCACCATGGCAAAGACCTCTGATTTTTCAAGTTTGATAGCCCACTTGACATCCTCGAAACCATGCCGAGTCTTGATCTCGACCTGGATGTCATTATCCGGCTCCACAATAACTGCGGCAACGTTGGTGTTGGCCGTGGTCGGAAATTTCCAATCTCCCCCAACGGGCCTCATGTCCAGCCTAGCGATGAAGACGGCGACGACGGCGAGGACCTCGTTTGTTGCGAAATGCCGGCCAGGGCACAGGGTCTTGCCTCCACCAAAAGCCCGGAAGCAGACATCGCGCGGACGGTTCTGCTTCTCCTCGGGGAGGAACCTGCGCGGGTTGAACTCAGCGACGTCGGCGCCCCAGAGGCTGGGATCCTGGTGGATGATACGGCTGGGCATCTGCAGCATAGCACCCTTCTTCAGTAGCCATCGGTCGAGGTAGGTGTCTTCCATGACCTCGCGTACAGATGTGCCCATGGAAGAGTAGCGAAGAACTTCCTGATACGCGGACAGCAGAAGAGGACAGGCTTCCTTGAGGGTGGTTATATCGATGGTCTTGACGGTTGATCCACCCTGTGTGGTTGTTACGGTGCAGGCATCGATCTCGCCGCGGATGTCTTCGAGGAGACCAGGATGGGAGTGGAGCAGGAGGAGAGTCCAGAAGGCTGACGGTGCCGTGTTCACTAGGATGGCGATTGAGCCTCCGACCTCGTAGCGAGCTATGTCTTCCAGGGAAAGGTCGCTATCGGCCTCCGATTGGTATCGCATCTGCGCGAGAGCCGACGCCTTCTGCACTCCTCCAGCCTTATAGTATGCCTCGAAGGCCTTGGCGACCTTGGCCCGCGCGGCAACAGGCTTCCTAGCGGTGATGGATGGGAGAGATCCAACCAGGATTGACATCAGACCGCTTTCAAATTCCCTGAGCAGGGAGAGACAGGGCTAGATTAGAAGCTTGCTCCATGCGATGACGTTTGGCCCCGAATTTCACTTACCAGAAAGAATCGGCGACCTCTTTATCATCATACGGGTTCAACGGACCGTAGACCGACCTCGTTGTCGCAGTTGTGATAGCGTCCCTCAGCCAGGAGTACATGCCGATCACCCGGGACTCTCCCCGGGCCGGCTCCAGCAGATCCAGCGACTTTGCGATTTCCCCCATCATGGCTCGGTTCATGTCGTCAAGCAGCGGGCCAGGCTTGAGTGCGGTCCGCATCGCAGCACAAGACTCCATCGACAGGCCAAAATCGCCCTCGTCGCCGTTGACGTTCTTGGCCAGGATATCCTGGGCCTCGCGGCTGGCCCCGCAGACCGTAGACGCGAACTTGGCCTCGATGGGTGGGAACGCGAGGACCCTGTGCTGCTTCTGCACCGTCTGGATGAGTTCCGGCCTCGTCACGACGTGCATCTTCTGGCCCGGGAGTGACATGGTGAAGACCGGGGAGCCCGTTTGCCGGCTGTGACAGGGGGGCTAAGTAAGAGCTCGTCACGGATTGGGGTGGTTGGGCATGGGGCTGTGAGCATACCTGAGATCGACGTAGTAGTTGAACTTTGAGCGAGAGCCCAACCGTGTGGCCGATTATTGGGATCGACTGGGGAGCCAGAGGGGGCTCGCGAGGGTCATGGCTGAATATCTTGCGAGCGGCGATTGTGACGAGAGTCACAACGCCAATAAAAAAGAGGAGGAGGGCGGAGGGCGGAATCGTTGGCAGAAAACACCATTTCGGTTACTGTGGGCCTGATCCCGAGGATGTGGGAAAACCGTTGATGAGACTTCATGGAGTGTTGAAAACAAAATAGCTTCCGATGTTCATATTGGGCGGCGCGGAGGGCGGCCTGTCCAGGGGGCGCTAGCCTGTGCACACCCTAATCTGTGTTGGAAGGATCGTGTTGGTTCAGACTTTCGTACCAACACGCAGCGTCAATCCACTTACACACGGGATTCCAACCCCAAGTGTCGCCTTGCCGAGCTGCGCCTTACGACATGATGTTACATTCGAGCGACTCTAGGAGAGATGCTATATGTTGTACGGTTGAGGCTGATCACCCTTGCGTTCGTATAAAATTCTTAGAGGCAATGTTCTTATACTAAGCGCATAGGTCCAAAAAAGGAGCGTCACTGTTACAGAGTTCATGGATCTTGCACTGCTTAATATGTTGAGGCTGTGTAGATATGTGCGACAATGAATATCTTAGCCTTATGCTTTTTCCGACTTTCCACCTGGAGTGCTCGTGCTACTGCCATCTGTCCCCCGAAAGCCCTTATTTGAAATGCTTGTTGACTGGTGATGTAGTTCAAGGTCATTGCGAGGCTCCTCCTTGAGCCAAAGCCTCTCCTCGTCGTCGTGGGTGATAAGCTCTTCTTGTTTTGCGTCCCCGGAGGTGCCATCACGGCCTTTCATTTCGTACACCTCAGCTCGGGCGGCCCGGCGTTTCTTGTTGATGGCGAGAGCGCTCGAGTGCGGCACACGGGGGGTGTCCTCGTCTGCCTGTGCCCCTGGGGTTCGACCTCGACTGCTCGTAAAGATCGGCCGCAGATACCGACTGGCCATGGGCCGGAGTGCTGGAACTGACGAGCATGCTATGCCTGCGCTCACCTCGATGTAGCACCAGTAGTAGGTTGGGATGATGTCCCAAGTGTAGTCGGCAGACTGCATAACTCCCGCAAACATTATCACGGTTCTAGTGATGGCCGCAGCACAGACTCTGTATATTTCAAATTAGAAGGCGAATCATGATCAATTTCGGTTTGGTTTTTTGTTTCGACTTACAGTCCACCGGTTGCAAAGAGAAGTATCAGGGATACCTTCTTCTCGACCCTCATCTGTAGAGGCACTATGACTGGGAGTGGCAGAATGAAGAGGGCTGCGTCCACCAGGATATTTGCAATACTCAAAACCAGCATCACGGTAACCTGCGAATAGCACTCCGCTCCGGTGATTGTCATATCCCAGGCGGCGGCCACAGGTCGACATCGGAAAACCATAACCAAGATATATGCCAGCGAGTACCCGCAAACGAAGACGATGAGGACCCAGACCGATATGGGGAACGATTTGACGGGTGACAACTGCAGGTACAGAACGAGCAGGCTTAATTTCGCAAAGGTGATTGCAAGGCAATAGAAGGATGTAGCGACGATTGTCCACTGGTTAACTTAGTCAGCCTCAGGCTTCTAAAGGGCCTTTCCTTCATTCTGAGAGATATGAGACCAGACGAGGACTTATCACTTACAGCTTGCAGTCTTTGAGTGAAATCATTGTACAGAACATTCCAAACTAAATGCGAGGTCAGTCAAAATGCCCGAGGAATTGTTGATTTCGCGGTTCAGAAAGGTCCTTACTGTGCAAACCAATTCCGACGTCTCGCTCTGTTCCACTGAAATTAGCTAAGGCAACACTGGTAGATGTGGAAAGACGTTAACATACGTATAGCGTTGCTTATTACCAAGAGAATTGAGGCGATTACTGCTGCCACTGCGAAATCTGGAATAAGACTTAGCCAACAGTTAAGACGGCAGTGACTCCAAGAGAACTCACAACTTGAATCGTCTACCCGCATAGGCATTTTCACAATATACTTCCTGGTCAGGATACGAAGTGCTACCACTGCAAAGGCTATCACCGTTGTCACAATACTGACAAGGCCCATTGCGGATTGACGTGTTGGACTGCCATCAAACCGGAGCCTACCAGCAGGTGGAGGAGCCATGTAGACGACGTCGTGATTGTTCGCCATATCGGGAGGATTGATGGACAATGGAGAGAAAACAGACAAAACAACAATGGAAAGCTGAGACGAAATCCAAATGGCATTGATCCGAACAGGAGAGGCGGCATCTCAGAAGTCTGAACAAATGATACAAAAATGCCGCCCGCAGCTTTTTGCCACAGTTTACGTTGGAATCTGCGACCCAAGAAGACAACGGTCTCTTCCTTCCTCTCAGGGGAATGCATCTCCTGAAAACTTTTGGTCACCGGTGTAGCAATGTAGTCATGGTCCGGATCCTTCATAACATGTGACGTCGGTTGCCAGACAGATTTGAAGAGTCTCCTCAGACAACTTTGTGCATGGTGCACAAGTTTCTCTCAATTCGTTGGTGCAGATCTCTCGGAGTAAAAGTCCGTACTCCAGAGCAAAAGATCCCAGCTATTCATGCCAATAGGAGAGCTCTGAATTCACTCTTGGCTCTCTGAGACTCCATACCGAGGTTTCGAACCCTTGGGACCGGTTGTGGCAGATTGATATGTGACAAGAGGCAACAGATAGGCGGATCTCCAACGCATTGCAACCAGTGAAAACAACTGATTCGCCACTTTGATTTGTCTGCACTGCAACTAGTCGTATTTGAGCATATATGGGATTTGCAGGCAAGCAAGGTTGTCTTTTTGTTGGCAAGTACGACCCTCGTCACTTGGAAGGCTACTTTAGTTATCCCCTCCGGGGCACGTAGCCTCTTAAAACTTAAACAAAACAATACCAATACATAATTGCTTCCTATATAATTATTATATATACAAAAGACCTATTAATACTAATTAATAATCATAAGTAATATAAATTAACAAAGTAAAAAAGGCAACCCTATAAGGATTTCCCTAATTTAAAAATTATATCCTCCTTATTAATAAGCGCTATATAGTAATAATTGCTTCTTTAAGCCTCCTTATATCATTAAACTCCCTAAATAAATATTGCAAAGATTAAATAAACTAAGTAGCATTCCCTATAATATCCATATATATATTTATTAATATTTAAGAAATATATATTCATTACATATAAGACTTTATTAAAAATAAACTTATTATAAACCCATCTTTAACTTTTCTTTAAAACTTAACAAAACCTAATAAAACTTTATTTTGCTAAATAAATAAAGCTTATAATTATTATAACTACTAAATAAATAAAGCTTGCAATTATTATAACTATTAAAGCTAATGCAACGCTATATTATAAATAAATATAAGTTATACATTATGCTTTTAATTAATATAAAAGGACTTAATAATAAAAAAAAGCTTTAGCTTTTAAGGCTTAAAAAAACTAATAACTTTTTCTTTTTAATAATTATAACTTACTTATTATTAAACTATTATTATTAACTTACTTTTAAAACATTACCTATTTCATTAACATTTCTTTATTTCATTAATTTTACTCCTTATAATATTTACTATGAAAATCTATAAGAATAGCTAATAATACTAAGGAGCTATTAGCTTTTATTAAAAGGTATATAATTAATAAAATGCTTATTTAAACTTTAATTAATTTAGCTTATTATAAATATATTAACCCAAAATTATAGTTTATAGCCCCTACATAAAAAGCATTAATAAAACATTTAATTACCTACTTAATAAATACTTTAACAAGCTATATATAATAAAACCTTTATAATAATAACCTTTTTATTGCTTATTATAAGAATTATATAATATAAACATAGGCAATATTTAAAGTATTATTAAATCCTTGCTAATAATATTTAAAAGTCTTCTTTTAAATATAAGGCATTTATATAAAATGCAATAATTAACTTATAGCATTATAATTAATTACTATAGCTTAAGCTAAGAAAAGATTAAAATAAATTAATAATAAGCTTTATAATACCCCATTAACCTTAAAATTAAGTATAAATAAATATTATACTTAACTTTAAAAATAACAATTATAAGCATAGCCTTTATAAGCATTATAAGCAGGCTTTAAATAATAATAATTGCTAAAAGGATAGTCCTTAGAATAACTTTTATTGCTGCCGCTAACTTTAAATGCATAATTATAAAATCCAAACTTAATAATGCAATTCATTAAAAACTAATATAGCTAGCAAGGTTTATTATTATTAGCAAAGAAATGAAAATAAAGCTTATATTAAAAATATATACTATATTTAACATAACCTTAGGCTATCTTAGGAATACCTTTGCTAAATAAAAAATATAACTTATATAAAACTCTTTCCTTATAATATATTCTTAATAAGCGCTTAAATTTAATAAAGTTAATATAATTTATAAAAACCTTTAATAATTTTTATAAGTATATTAAGAATCTATATAACTTACTAAATAATAAGATAAAAATATTTTTTAATATTTATTATTATACTAAAATTTAACTAAGTTAATTTTATATAGTTTTTCTTTAAATGCTTAAAGATTAAGCTAAGGCTTATTACCTTTATTTTATAAATTAAATTAATATATTTATAATAACATATCTTAAAATTAAAATGCATTTTAATATAAATCTTAATTATTAATATTATTATATAAATTAAATAATAATAATATTTATAAAAATAAAAGCATAAAACTTAAATAAAAACTTATATAAGGTTTTATATTTAATGCTTAATAAGCTATAACTTTGCTAATAAGCATTAAGCCAAGATTATATTAAAAAAGATAACTTAAGAATAATAATAATTAAAGCTTATAAAGGAGTTCCTAAGCTAAAAATAGCTCTTTTTAAGCCAGCTTAATTATATAAAGAGTTATTTTTAAACCTAAGATTTATAATAAAAACATAACTTAGCTATATAATTATAATTTACATTATAAATAAAATCTTAAATTAATATTATATTAATTGTAAATATAATGGCTAAAAGCTAAGGGGAGGATAATAATTGCAATTTTAAGCATTTTAAGGAAATTAAAGGTTTAGCTAACTAAACCTAAGCCGTTTAAGCTTTAAGCAGCCAAGATCTTATAATATTAATTATAAAACTTAAAATAATAACGCTTATAAAGGAAAAGAAGAAGAATAACCCTAAAAGAAAAGATATTATATTTATAAAAAGGAGGAATGCTAATTAATTAAACATTTAATTAATAAGCAATATTTAGCAAGAAAAAGCTACTTAATATAATATAAATATAAAGGTTATAATAATAACTTTAATACTTTTTTAAGTAAATTTAAAAGATATAAAATAAATAATAAAGATAAATTTTATAAATATAAAGATAAATAGAATTAAGATAATAATTATAATAACGATATTTATATTATAAAGGTAGGACTTAATAAGAAGGTTTATTATGCAAATATTAATTTCCTAGCTAATAAAGCATTTATGTATTAAATTACAAAAGATAATGTCTTTTAAATAAAAATAATTATCATAATTAGTTAATTCGTTTTAAAGAATAAATATAATTAAACTTATTTTTAAGGAATCCTGCTAAATATAAAAGCATTATTAATATTCATAGCTAAATATAAGTAATTTCTTATATTGCAATAAAAAGACCTAAAGTATTAAATTAATATAATTGCTATAAAAAAAGCTAAAGTTAAATTTAATAATAGGATAATTATTAATTTGCTTAGCATAATGGAAATTTCCACCTTAGTTAATTATATTAACTTTTATATTATTTAGGCATAAACCCTATTTTTATTTTACTTAGTAAATATAAATAGGCTTTAAGTATATTATAATAATATTATAAATAAAATGGTTTCCTTTAATGGTATAACTATTATATTAATACTTAGAAAATGGAGCTATTTATGGTTTTTCCTAAATTAAATTATTAATGCTATGTATTTCTTCTTAAAAATAAAAATAAGGAAACTTCATTATTACTTTAAATATCTATTAATAGATTAACTATGCTAAATGCTTAAAAAAGCTGGTAATTTAAATATCAATAAATAAGCAATAGCAAAGATTAAGAAGATATATTATTATTATTAAATAAACAAACTTGTATTTAAGCATTTTAAGTTTACGTTATATAATAATTATAAATTTAACTATAAAATTTTAATTAATATAATATATTTAAGCGGATATTTAATTCTTTATATTATGGATTAAGCTATTACTTTTTAAGGAGCGAAATTCTTAAAATCTATATTTACAAAGACTATATAGCAGATACTGCAAATGCTCTAAATCAATATATATTAAGAATTATTAAATATTATTAAATATAATGCAGGAATGAACTTTATATCCTTAGAATTTTATTTAAAGGCATGAATAATAGGAATTAAATATAAATAGGTTTCCATAAAGGCATATTAATTTATTAAGAAAGTTAAGAAATATCATTAAGCCCTTAAATAAGCATATAAAATCCTATATATTAAATTGTATAATAGCATAAATAATAATATTATTTTATAAATAGCTATAAAAGCTATTAATAATATTGCTAAATTAAATAAATTAATTTCTATGCTTTTAGTTTTTAATACCTACTTATAAGTATTATATAAATTATTATTATTATTATTAATATAAAAGTAAGCAAAAGCTATTTTAAAGGCTATAAAGATATTATAAAAAACCATAGCTAAACGGTAAATATAAAATGCATTAAATATTAAGGTTAAATTTATCTTTAATATAAAATATTCACTATAATGCAAAGTTTATATATAAAAAGAAAGAAAGAAATAAAAGGGTTTATATAAGGTTATTATTATAAATAGCTATAATATAACCTTAAATATATTAAATAAAGCTATAATATTTAAATTAATAATTATTTAATTATATTATTAAGATAATAATAAGGAAATGCAATCCTTATAAGTAAAAAATTTAGCTATAAAACCTTAAATGCAATTTATTATATAATTATTATTATTAAAAATAAAAGATTGCATTATTATATTATATATCTTAAAGAAAGAAAATAAAAATTATAACTTAGTAATTAAATTAAGATAAGATAAAATTATTATAATATTAAGCTTATTATTTAAAGAATTTAATAAAATAAAAATTAATAACTTTATTATTAAAAGTATTTTTTAAATTAAGAAATAATTAATAAAGTAATATAGTAAATATTATTTCTTTAAGTTTTGCATAATATAAAAAGTAAAAGGTAAAATTATAAAACCTTATAAAAAATCTTAATTTATTATTTAAGATTATAATAATAATAAAAAGAAATTAATTTTAATGCAAAGCCTAATTATTTAAAGAATAAGTTAATAAATAATCCTTATACTTACCTCCTTATTAATTTAAGAAAAAAGCATAATTCTTATACTTTAAGATATTACTTAAGCCTATCCCTAAGTAAAGTTAAAACTATATAAAATAATCTTTGCAAAGTTATTAAAGGAACTAAAGAATAAATACCCTTTAAGCATAATTATTTATATTATTTAATTCTTATATAATATAGCAAAATTTAGCATTTATTAATTTAATATATATTAAAAATATTATTAATAAAAGCTTAAAATAAATTACTTTATATATAATCTTTATTTAATAATTATAAAGCCTATATAACCCTTTAAAATAATAAATATATAAATAAATAATATATTAATTTTATTTATATTAAAATTTTAAAATAAAAAGGAAATTAAGATAAAAACTATAAAATTATAAGGAAAACTAAAATAAAAGCTAATGCCTAAAAACTTAATAAATTATAATAAGGCTTATATAATTATAAATACTATTAGCTTAATTACTATTTAATAAAAGGGATAGGTTAATAAACTTGCCCTTATTAATATAATAATTAAAGACACTCCCTAGAAATACCTTAAATAAAAAGCCTATAAAATATATATAACTTTAATTTATTAACTAAAAGCTTTATATAATCTTTTAATAGCTATATAAATATAAAACCTAAAGGCAGGAAATTATAAGAGCTTAAATATGCAATTATTATAATAAATAAATAATGCCATGTAAGGAATTAAATATATACTCCTTAATCTTAAAATAGCAAAACTTTTTATATTTATAAATAAATTATTTATAAATAACTAGAACTTAATATCTTAACTTAAATATATTATTATCCTTATAAATAAGACTTATAAAGAAACTAAAAGATTTATAATAATAAATAATATTCTTTATTAATTATTAATAAAGTATAAATATATTATTTAAAGCGTATTAATAAGCGAAATTTATAGCATAATAAATAAAGTAAATATTAAAATTTTCCTAGTTATAATAATTAAAATAATTATAAAATAATTCTTATTATTAAATATACTTTTAATTATTTATATAAACTTATATAACCTATATAAATACCTTATAAAGCTAAAAATAATAAAGAAAAAGCGCTTTATAATTAATATTATATTACTATAAGAATTATATAAAATAAAAGAAATTATTAAAATAAGATAAATAAATAAAAAAGATAACCTTATTAATATAATAATAAAACTAACTTTAAATACTATATTATAAAAGCTTATTAATAATAATAAGCTTTATATATAAGTAAATAGGTTAATTAAGAAACTTAAAGTAATCCCTTTTTGCTAAAAAAGGAATAACTTATTATTAATACTCTTTTCCTTTTAACCTTATTACTGCTAATTGCAAAACTTTATACCTTTTAAACTTAAACCCTTAATATAAACTTTAACCTTTTATATTTTAATTAAAACCTTTTTAATACCTTATTTTATATAAAAACAACCTTATAATTATTAATATTATTAATAATTATTATTTTAAAGTTAACTTTATTATTATTATTACCTTTTATTATTATTTATTAATAAGATATTAAAATTAACTTTTATTAAATTTATTTACAACTTATTAACTTTTCTTATAATTAAAAAATGAATTAATAATTATTATATAATAATTATAAAATTTTATATTATAAATATTTATTTTAATTGCTAAATTCTTATAAAATCTTTTTTCTTTTTATTATAATAAAGAATATTAATAATAACTTGCAAAAGTTATTTAATACTTTTATTAATATACCTTATAAGAATAATAATAATAAATAGAATTATTTAGCAAACATTATATTTACTTCCCATGCTAAGGATATACTTAATATAATTATTATTATGGCTATCGTTAATATAGCTAGCATTAAAAGTAGCTTTATTGCAACCCTTAACCAGAATTAGGATTCCCCTGTAAACATCACAACTATAACCTTAATTAATAAAATAAATATTACAACTATATTCCCATTAAGCAATAAGATAAAGATTAGAATTATTACTAAAGCTATAAAAAAAGCTAAAATTACCTTAACTAATAAGAATAAAGATAAGCTTATTAATCTTGCTAATTCCTATAGCAAGATTATTATTAATAATGCTTATTTAATAAATATTAATAAGAATATTAATAATAACAACTCTTATTTGCTTAATATTAATAATAATTTAATTATTACTAATAATAAAGATAACTAAAATTAAGCTAATAAGATATTAATAAAGATTGCAAAAACCACCTTTAACTTTACTCTTATGCTAAGCATTAAAAAAAATAAGCTGCTTATTAAGATTAATTCCTATAAAATTATTAAAATTAATAAGCTAAAGGTTATAACTATAGCTTAAGCTAAAATACTTTTCTTAAATAATGCCATTATAATAGCTATTATTTAAATTATTAATAACTTTTAATATTAAAATAAGTAAATATTTTTTAATAATATAATTAAAAAGCTATATATTTATATTAAAAGCATTAAAACTCTTAATATAAAATTGCATAGCATCCTTAATAATAAGAATTATTAAGGTAATTATTATTTTAAATGCTAAATTATTATAATCTTTATAATAAATAACTTAATAAAAGTTTTAATTTTAAATATCTTTTATATATATTAAATTAAAAAAATTTAATTATTAAAGAATTAAATTACTATATTAACTTAGCTTTAAAACTTTTTATATTAAATTATTAATAAGTATATATAAGGCCTATATATAAAAAGACTTATTAAGAAATATACATTATTATTTAAGCAACTTAAATAAAAAATAATTATTAAGAAAATTAAAAAAAATAATAAAAAGTAAGAAAAGAACTTAATAAATAATTAAGCTACTTATAATACTTAATTTTAAGAAAATAAGAAGTAATTAAAGGAAAATAATTTAAAGCAATATTAAGTATATTTTAATAATAAAAATAAAGATAAAAATAATAATATTTATATTATAAAGATATATAATAAAAATAAATATAAGTTAAAAAGTTTAGCATTAACTTTATAAGCATTAACTTTCCTTATAAAAAAAAAATTTAAGATTAAGGCCCTTATATAAAAATTAATAATCTTTATAAAAAAACAACCTTAAAAGCTAAGTATTAAAAATAATAAATATAATATTTAAGGAATAATATAATAATAAAAATTATAAGTTTAAAGGGTAATATAATAATAAGGATTGCTAAAACTTACTTTAAAACTTATAAGTTATAATTTTAAGCTTTTTTAATAATACTTTTTTATAATAAAAATTATATATACTTAATATATAATAAATTATAATTTTAAGATTAATTATAATAAGGATTATATATATTTATTAAAAGAAGAGAAAAACTATAAGTATTAATAAGTATAATCCTTATTATTTAAAAGGCTATTTTAATTATCCCCTCCGAAGTACATAGCCTCTTAGAACTTAAATAGAACAACACCAATATACGATTGCTTCCCATACGATTATCGTACGTACGAGAGACCTACCAACACTTTTGCCCTAGACTCTACATGGCAGCCGGTCACACCGACCCCTTGCAGTGCATCGCCAACAGGAAAACGTGCACATGTCACGGTGGACCTCGATATGTACGGCCCCTCTCCTATCCCCAGTTCTTGTGATGCATAATATTTCGGTTTCCAGTTGAAGGCTCGGCAGGACTGTACCTGACGAGTGACACCAATATTTTCTACCATTCAACACACACCCTCCTCGTGAAGCCCCTCGAAGAATAGTACGCTTTGCTGCGCCGTCTCGTTCGTGATTCCAACTCCATTGCCTGTGGTTACGCTGATGTAAGTGGACACTCGCTGCAGTCTAACATGTTTGGCTTCTCGATCTGGTGGACGCCTCTGCTGGCGTTGCTAGCCATTGTGCTGGTGAGTAGCACAGAACCTCTCGTGGTATACTCTAATAATATTCTTAGGCCCGCTACGCATACTTGATCTGGTTTCATCCATTGTCCAAGTATCCGGGACCTAAGCTTGCCGCCTGTACAGAAGTAAGCTACTGAGAGTCTGCGGGAGGACCACCGGCGGCCTGTCAACTGACTACAATGGCATAGCTTTGGTATGCGAAAAGCTGGACTGGCGGCAAATGGCATGTCAGGATCAACAAGGCGCATCGAAAATATGGTAAGTGGTACCTCACGACCTGAGTAGTTGGTGGATATGAGCCGAAGTTGTTGACTTCACAGGCGACGTCATACGGATCGCGCCTAACGAGCTGTCATTCGCATCCGTTCAGGCATTCAAAGACATCTACGGCCCACCTTCCAAGACGCGGAAGCTATTTACCAAGTCGAATCTGTTCTACGACACTGGCATTCAGAGCATAGTATTCGAGATGGACCCGGATGAGCATGCGAAACAGTACAAACTATTTGCCCCGTCCTTCCGGGCGTCTGCGGTGCGCTCCCAGGAACATGTGGTACAGGAGCATGTCGACCTCTTCGTCGCGCAGCTCAAGTCCCGTGGAGAGGCGGGAATCGACGCAACAGCATGGTTCGAGTGGCTCGCCTTCGACATTATCGGCAGGTCGCGCCCTACATCCCATTAAGCCAAGCCCCAGCTAACAGGATCCACTCAGGACAGCTATCATTCGGGGAGTCATTTGGCGCTGTGAACAACGCCGAACCACACTACTGGGTCTCTCTCCTCCACGGCGCGACGTACGGCAGCAGTGTTGGCCTCCTGGCGAAGCGGATCGCCATCCTAGGTCCGATACTGCGGTGGGCACCGCGCTTCTCCCAGGGGGCCGCGAATGCCATCAAGGCCATGGAGCAGCACGCAGCGCTCACGCTTGAGAAGACGCGGTCTAGGATCAGGATGGGCAACGAGCACGGCGTCGAAGACTTCCTCGCGCCGGCGATCGGAAAGCTCAGCGAGGAGCAGCTTGCCCACCAAGGGTTTATGTGGGTGCCCTGATGCACTGTACCGCTCACCACAATATGAACCCCGGCTTATATCTGAGCCGTCTGGTAGCTTCCTCACAGCCGGCGCCGAGACCAGCGCGACCGCCCTCGCCGCCGCGGTATGGTACCTCTCCCGGCCGGCCCACGCCCACTGCCTCGCACGGCTGCAGGACGAGGTGCGCATCGGGTTCGCGCGGTACGACGACATCACGGGCGACGCGGTCGCCCACCTGCCGTACCTCAACGCCGTGCTCGAGGAGACGATGCGCCTCATGCCCCCCTCGCCCGTCGGCCCGCCGCGCGTCAGCCCGGGTGAGACGGTCGACGGCGTCTACGTGCCCAGGGGCGTGTACGTCTCCGCCGATATCTGGTCGTTCACGCGGGACCCGCGCAACGTAGAGGGCCTTGCCGGGCCGGAGGTGTTTGAGCCGTCGCGCTGGGTCGACCCGGGGAGGGGAAGGCCTTATTCGGCGCCCTTTATTATTGGGCCGAGGATGTGTATTGGTGTTAACCTGGCCTGGTTGGAGATGCGGGTTACGCTTGCGAAGATGGTGTACGCGTTCGATTGGGAGTTGAAAGATGAGGCCGAGGGGGATGACTGGCTCGAGCGGTGCCAACTGTTGCAGCTGTGGAAGAAACCGAAGTTGATGGTCCGGGTCACTCCGAGGTCGAAGGTCACATAAGGAGGGACTCTGCCAGCCCAAGTCTGCTCGGGACGAACGAGTGTATACCTATGTGAACTCTGACCAGCCGTACGAATACTTGATCTTTGAAATTTCGCCATCGCCATCCCCGTCACTAGCCTTCCTAGTTGGTCTCGTTGCTACGGATTAGAGTCTCCCGAGCCTAATATTGAAAACCACCCGCGCTCTGCGTGCTGATTTAAGGCGCAGAATGGAGCCACGAGACAACGCCGAACGCAAAAGCCTCCCACTATAGCGGTAGCAGTTAACAAGCCAGAGGAGACAGGACGTGCAAGAGTTGCCATTTTGTATCGCACGGACCAGTGTAGACATAACAAGAATAGATACAAGGTTGAAATTGATGATTATAATTATGGGAACCACTGTTACAAGAAACAATATGTCTGGTGGGGGGTGGGGGGTGGGGGGTGGGGGGGGTCTTCAAAGCGGCAAAGTTAACGTTACGTCGAGAAGGATCTGAGCCGTAGACAAGCATCTTGCCAACCCATGATCGACACATGCAATCGGCAGCCGCGGCTTACAACCGGCTGTAGGATTCAGTACAGTACCGGAAAATCACAGTAACCAACAGACAGGCAGGGGCTAGGATCTTCCCGTTTGGGCGAATGATCGGTGATTCTGCCCAGAAGGTCAAGTCTGACTGTTGGCGCTTGTGCGAAGGATCCCCGCAACGCCTCGCGGCGCGGCCAACATCCAGTGACATTGATACTGGAGCAGGCCAGTACTCAAATCCTTCGTCACTCCGATGTGTTGTCATGGAATTATCAACTGTGTCGAACCATTCTCATTCATTCTCTCGTACCTAGCACCTCGCAAGTCTTTTATTCGACATCGTCGCATTAGAATCACAATTCAATTTGTGCACGATGACTTCGAAGCTTGGTACAGCTTACGGGCGGAGGCTTGTGCCTCAAGTCGTTGATGAACTTGCTGCTACAGCCCCGGACAGAGTCTACCACATGAGAAAACCTTCGAAGAAGCCAGGGACGATCCAATCGTTGTCCTCCAATCTTCGGGCTCAACTGGTAAAACAAGAAGATACCCAGAACCTGGTGAAATAAGGATAGCTGGCCACATACTTCGCAAGGCTTGCCCAAACCTATCACAGTCACTCATGGATCCATTGCTGCCCATGACAACGATCACAACATCCCTGCTCCGCCCGGACGTGAGAAGCAAGACACAACCGTCTTCACGCTACAAGGCGAGAATCGTCGCTTGTATCTCATCTTGCCGTTCTTCCATGTAAGTCCAACTAAGTGATAGTGAACATGGGTCCTTGAACTGAGTGTCGCGCGCAGCTCGGTGGTTTTGTTTTCTTCATGGGTACGTACACACCTCGATACGAGAGGCTCGGTTGACCTAATGGTTTACTAGATCATGCCATTCTAAACAACCTGACGCTTGTGTTGGGGCCTCCACAGAGGGCTCCAGATGCTGAGCTGTTGAACGAGGTGGCTCAACAGCAGGATTTGCGTGCTATAATGGTTGTACCTGCCACTCCGGAGCAGCTCTTACACGACCCAAAAGGCATCGACCTGCTCAAAGGCTTAGAATTTGTTGGCTGCGCCGGCGCTCCCTTGCCTGGCCCCATAGGGGACCGTATTTATGGCATTGTGAGGCTTCGTATCTTCATCGGATCGACAGAGACATTCCCTCTGCCCGAGCTCGCCAAGAGCCCCAAGGACTGGCAATACCGTTAGTGCCCCAGCAACTTGCGAATTGCCATGTTGAGCAGATTTTGCTCACGCGTCTTAGATGAGTTCACCCCGGCTCTCAAACATGAGATGCGGCCCTACGACGCCAAATAATGGCACTTTCGAGCTGGTCATTATTGCCGACGAATCCAAAACCGCGATGCAGCTCCTGTTTTCCATAACTTGCCCGGTGAGAATCCGTTCTACACCAAGGATCTCTTCACCCAGCACCCGACGAAACCGAACCTCTACAAGTACTACGGCCGTAAGGATGATATCTTGGTTCTGGCCAATGGCGAGAAGGTCAATCCCATTCCCCTGGAACAATTGGTCCAGGCCGATGCATCTTTGAAGGGCGTCCTCCTCACGGGCAACGGTCGAACCCAGACGGTGTTGATAATCGAGCCCAAAGATACCCTGGACGATGCGGGTGGCACTCAACTGCTAGTCAAGCTCTGGCCGCGGAGCGAGCAGGCTAACGGCCATGTGGCTGGTCCTGGACGTGTTTCTCGCGGCATGGTCATCTGTGCCACGCCTGAAAAGCCTTTTGCCAGCACCGGCAAGGGGACCATTATCCGCAAATTGACACAAGATGACTACCAAGAAGACATCGATCGTCTCTACGAGGGCTCAGCTGGGAAACAGCGTCTCGTCACTATCAGTCTGAAGGCCAAACAGAAGACAGTCTACGAGGATGCGGATGTCATCGCTTTCCTTCGACAAGTCCTGGCCATCTCTTTCCCACCAGCCCCGACAATAGCAGAGAATGAGGATTTCTTTGCTAGTGGTTTGGACTCCATTCAAACAATGGAAATCACAGCCACTTTGAAGCACAACCTTCAAAACCTCACGGCAAACTCCGTGGCTTGGATAGTTCCGCGAATTATCTACCAAAATCCCACACTGACTCGTCTATCCAAGGTCCTGGGCGTATTCCTGAACGATGGCATAGCTTCTGGAGAAGACTCACTGGAAACCCGTGCTAGAACGCTGGATGACACAGTCGCCCGCCACATCAGGGACTTGCCCACGAAATCAGCCAGTCAGCCTGCGGCAGTCTCCCACAGGCAGTCAGTTCAGAAAATCGCCGTAATTGGCTCGACTGGCTACATTGGCAGTCACCTCGTCACTACTTTGCTGGACAACCCAAATAATTCTCACATATACTGCCTCAACCGCGGCAGTGCCGAATCAGCCAGGGAGAAGGCACTCAGCAAGCTCGACGGGAGTTACGTCTATGAACCTCGAGAGGCTCATCTTCCTGCAGGTGGATCTCGGTGCCCCGCGACTGGGCCTGGCCGAAGAGAAATATCAATTGATCCTCAACGAGGTAGATGTGGTGCTTTACAACGCATGGCGACTGGACTTCGGACTTGCCCTTCACTCATTCGATCCATTCCTCCGTGAGACTCGGGATCTCATCGACCTGTCCCTGTCAAGCTCGAAAAGACCGCCCATAGTCTTCGTCAGCTCGACATCTTCGGTGGCAGGCTTGGTCGGTGCCGGTCTGGCTGTGAGCTCTCGGCCGCCATGAACACCGGCTACGGACAATCGAAGCTGGCGGCCGAGAGGATTCTGACAGCCGCTTCACGCCAGTGCGCGGTACCTGTCTCAGTCGCTTCGTGTTGGGCAGGTCGGTGGTCTCAGCCACGGCGGAGGTGTCTGGGCCGATCAGCCATGGGTCTCGGCCATCATTCGCTCCTCGAAGACACTGGGGTCTTTCCCCAGCCCTGTCATGCCCATTGACTGGGTCCCGGTGGACACAGTTGCGACCACTCTCGAGCGCATTGTCCTTCAGCCTGGTGAAGATACGCAGGTACTCCAACTCTACAACGTTGTATCTGAGGCACAGGCTTGGACAATGCTGCTTGACGCCCTTGCCGAGAGTGACCGGCAAGCAATGTCAAGGGTTGTGTCTCTGCCAGACTGGGTCAGCGAACTCCGCGGATTGGCTGAATCTGATAGGACAGACGTCTCAGCATTGCCTGCGGTGCGACTTGTTGACTTTTACACAACGTTGGGAAGTGGTATTGAGGCCGCAGTCTATGAAACGGCGCATAGTAAAGCCATCGCCAACCAGAACCTGGGACCCTTGGAGCGAGAGATTCTAGCATCTTGGCTGACGAAATGGGATCTGTAACAAAACAACAGGCTTGAAATTTCGATGGCAAAGTTAGATCACTCATGTTGCAGGTTGAAATATGGGGCGGGGGGTAGACATCAGGCGCAGGGGCTATGATATTGCGCAGTATATGCATGCTGCTGATGCCGCTGTATTTGAGCTGTCAATCGCACATGCCAGTCCGACCGTAATTGTGAGGTGAACAAAGTCTACGGACTTCCCACTGATATCTCTGGTCGATCAGCAACCTCTCCGCTCAGCTGCTCCAGCTTACTTCCAGGCCAATTCTCAAAGGCCACGCCAGCTGCTGTGTACACGCTCATGTATGCTGCATGATGACTGACAGTGTGCGTAGAGGTGAATACTAAATCCTTCAAATGAGTTTCACTTGGGCCAAGTCGACGCCGACCCTTTCTCGTGTCAACAAGTACTGTTATATTGCAATCACACGCATACGACCAGCGTTTGCCTTCGTCCGCACGTACTACAGGTCCAGAAGATGGGACCAGTATCGACAAGTACAGCATCAATATATACCTAAGAGAAGTTTCACGAGCCTGTAAGCCCAGCATAAAATCGACAGCTCTGGCAAGGAATGGTCGGCCTAGTGAGCTGGTCGATTCTGGCCGAGCTGTCGACATGTAATCAGCGGTACTCCGGAGACTGTACTTGTTAACCTGTTGGACCTATTAACGCCGGAGACATGCTGACTGCGGTGGCGGCAGTTCCGGCCTTACACGAATACGGTAAACGGTTTTCCTCTTACAGCTGCTTTGTAACAGTTCCAAATAGTAAATGACCCAGTTCTGGGGGTGGTTTAAACCTATAGAACGGTGCATGCATAGTTCCTTTCTGGAAACAGTTCATTTGGGAAAGGTGCAGAGTACACACTGCCCATAAAGCGCCTTCCTCTAGAAGAGAGAAAGGCACGCCAGCCAGCAGCTAGCTAAAAGGAAAGGGAAGGGAAGGGAAGGAAAGGGAAGGAAATAAAGGGGGGGATAGAGAAGAGGCTAAGAAAGAGCTTGTTTAGATTGGAATGTAGGTGAAATTCAGGCGAGCTTTGTGTACATGATATATAAAAGGATGAGGAAGCAATTCTGAGTGGGCTATTGAAATGCTGAACCTTTCCTGCACTCTGCACTCTTCCTGCACCTTTTCTGCACTCTTCCTACACCCTATACCCTCTATGCACAATTCATATTTTGAAATTCTCCTACAAATGAGCCTTTTACTACTTGGAACTATTATAAAGCAGCTCTAGTAGATGAGCTGTGTGTCCCAGAGGAGGTTGTCCCAGAGGAGGTTATCCCATAGGTCGTTATCCCATAGGAGGTTGTCCCATAAGGGGTTATCCCATAAGGGGTTATCCCATAGGAGCTTGTCTCAGGATGGTATTCTAGAGGGCGTCACAGTTGCCGTACCTCTTGGGAAGGTGCTTGCTGTAGTGGGTCTTGCAAGCCTTCACCGGTGAGATTGGCGAATCCCTAATCCGTATTCGTCGAGTCAACGATGGTCGCCACTCCTTCTTCACCTCAAACTCGCCGCGAAGGGTGCGACCGCAGCTCATCAAGATGCAGGTGAGCGCCTGCTACTTTTGAGTCACGCGATGCGATATTGTGGTCCCTTGCAAGCTGCTGTGCCGCGGTTCGACGCGTCGGTACGTATCGCAAACGCCCCGATAGGCGGGTACCGGAGCAGTGTGCAGGCGTGGGAGTGGTGACTGTTGGCCGCATTGTACCAGGCGCGCTGACCGTCAACGGCGTAAGCGGCGAGCAAAAATCAGCCTGTGGGATCTACAATTATCGCACGGGACGGCGTGCTCCCTTGAGCTGCGGGATGCGGTGTTGTGGTGGTAGCCTGGAGGCGGCAGTGACGCGATCTGACGCGTTTGCCCGTAGCAAATACCGCTAGTCATGAACCCAGTCGGCAGGTGTCGGCGCGGCAAGAGCGACACACAAGGCAGGACAGAGCCAATAACACACGGTCGCAGTCGCAGTCACTGAACCATCACGATGGCGGCGGCGGCGGCTGCTGCTGCTACTGTAGATGACGGTGGCGATGCGTTGATAGCTTCTTCATGATGTCACCCGCAAGCGGATGAGCCAAGATGAAAAAGAGGCATCAGACTGATGGGGATATCAAAAATTCCGCCCAGGTCGGCCCCGAAGGACAAACCAGACTGGTCAGCGCCACGATGTGCTATGCAGGCTTTCCAACCTAACTACAGTGATTCTTGATCCACCGCAGTTCAGACAAGGTAAGTATGAAGAGAGAGAGAGGGAGAAGAGGAGGAAGAAGGGCGGGAGGGCGCGAGGTTTAAGTATTCGGAGGCAGAGAGTTCTGCCGCCTGCGTGTCCGTGATTTGACCGCCTTCTCCGCTTTGGGCTTGGCGCCACCTGGCTGCCTGGCCGGCTGGCCGGCTGGTCCGGGCGTCTGTGGGTCCATGCAGCTGGCAGGCGACCGTCAGCTCGGCTACCGATCGCCTGCCAGCTCGGCTGCAGCTCACCTGGCAGATTGGTGACTGCGTGAGGCGAAGGGAAGTGTCGAGGAGCTTGAGAGTGCATCACACACCGCGTGGATACCATTGTGGTATTCAATACTGAGGCTCATCCCATGGGCCGACCGCTACAGGAGCTTGACAGCTCGAGCGGGACCTCAGAACGGCGTGCCTCCCCCAAAGGTTGATGTGTTGCTGTGCCTCGCGCCTTCTCTTCAGTGCTCGTCTGTCGCCTCAACTACACCTACACCGTGTAGACCTGACGGCTCACAACGAGACCTCCGTCGACTTTCCATCCATGCGAGCCCGAAACTACAACTTCCATTGCATGACATACCATCCCCACGACTCCATGGCACATCTCTAGATACCCATTAGCGCAGCATCAACACCCGTCACCATGGGCAGACACGGCCCCCTAACGTCCATGGCGCTCGGCCGCTCGCCCTACGACGACATCGTCATGGGTGAGGGCGAAGGCGACCCGCGAGCTCCCCTGCAGATGTACGACGAGCGCGGCCGGCCCGTCAACCCGGAGACGCGCCGCATCAACCGCGACGTGATCCGCTCGCACAACGAGGTCATGCTGGTCATCGGCGTCGTCGAGGCCGAGAACAGCATCGACGAGGTCCGCGCCGAGCGCGCCCGCCACATCGCCCACCTGCAGCACGACACCCGCCTCGCCCGCCGCTTCGAGTGGGCCTCGCGCGCCTGCGAGCTCGCCGGCGTCTGGGGCGTCGCCGGCCTGCGCCAGCGCATCCTGCTCTACCGCGAGTACGCGCACGTCCCTGTCACGCGGCTGGTCCAGCACGAGTGGCAGCGGAGGTCCTTGGGCAAGCTGTTGTGGGATGGGCTGCCTGCTTTCGTGGTGGCCAACGCCATGGAGCTGCCTTTCACCGCCGAGCGCATCATGAGGAGCACTGCTCTTAAATGGGGCTTCACGTACATCCAGACCATGCTCAAGGTGTGGATCTTCCTGTCAAGGACATCACTGTTACCGGCCTCGAGCTCATCTTGGTTTCCAAACTGGAAATACTTCATCCCGTTTACATCATCATCCATCATCCCACCATGCCCTCTACCTACCACGCTCACCTCCAGGTCTGTGGCCTCATGGCTCGTGAGTATCGCCCTTGGCCTAGCCCCTGTCTTGGGTTTGTGGTTCACGGAAGGCATGGTCGATTGGGCGAGGGAGTTCTTTTACGACATCATCTACGATCTTCTACCAAATCCGTCAGGTCCGGAGCTACCGCCGCTCTTATCCAATGTAATTGTCCAACGAGCCTCGACCAATCCAGACGACCCTGTCCAGTCCCAGACACAGTCAGGCCCAGTCCCGCTCGCAAATGCCGCAGAAGCTGTACCGATCCGCGTTGGGCCAGCCGACTCCGAGGGGACCACTCCAGGTGAAGGAAACGTATGGGAGGTTCCCCAGACGGCGGAAAACCCTGCTCCGTCAGCAGCGGACCCCGATGCTCCCCCACGAGAGCGCAGCCAGTCTCCTCCCGCGCGAAACAACGGCGCCGGCCGCCCCGACACCCGTCGCCGCCCTAGCCACCGGCCCCAAGCATCCCAGACTGCTGACACCGATGACTTCACCGACGACGACGAGGACGCCAATGAGATAGTGTCCGCCACTCTCATCAGCTTTGACGTCGAGAACAACCCCGAGAATCCGGACCCCAACGACGCCAACATGCCGCCGGGCGTCTGGTCCGCGGAGCTTAGGCCGAACCCGGGCAACGAGTCGCAGGGCGGCGGAGCGGGTGGCGGCGGCGGCGGTGGAGACCGCGACGGTGACGACCGGTCCCGGCGCCCGCCGAGGCTGTACCGTGACAACGCGCTGACGCGGCTGCCCGCGACGCTGGCGGCCGACATGCTCGCGCGCAGGGCCGCGTCGCTGCTGCTCGCGCCGATGGAGGCGTTGGTGCTCAGGAAGATCGCCGAAAGCTGGTGCCGGCCGAGGGGCCTGTCGACGGCGGGCTTGTGGGGCTTCTCGCGGGGCATGGTGCTGAACCTGCTGGCGGTTGAGATAGTTCACTTCCTCTTCGACGCGGACTCGTGGGCGGCCATCTCGATGGTGTCGAACGAGTTTGTCGTCTCGTCTGCGGAGTGGGAGAAGATGCAGAAGGAGGAGCAGGAGAGGGCGCAGCGAGAGCGGCAGCAGCAGTCAGGGGATGGTGCTGCCGAAGGCCTGGATGGGACCAGGGCGAGGAACGAGCCGGCGGGTTAGGGGCTCGAGTTTGTAAACATGCTGAGAAACGGTTGGGCTCGTTGCCTCACGGGCGTTGTGCCTGCCTTCTCCAACGGGTTCGATCAGGCGCTCGGCAGCCTTGGTTGGCGAAGCTCCCGAGATCAGCAGGAATGCCAAGATCAGCAGGAACGCCGAGATCAGCAGGAACGCCGAGATCAGCAGGAACGCCGACCTCGTCGAATTCTGCCGGATCCCAATTGGTTCTGGCATGCCATAGCTACATCTTCGACGGCTACTGCCGAGGGAACGACAGTTCCGGTCAATCATCTCGTGCCAGTGCTGAGAGATTGCTACCCTAAGCTGAGCAATCCCCACGCCTGGCATGATACCTTTCGACAGTGGTTCGAAGAGGAGCCTGATCCCTGGAGGCAGGCTGTCCTAGACTATGTATTCCAAGAGCTTTGGAAAAGGGGCACGTTCCACGGATTGGCTCCCGTCATTGAGGGGCCTAATGTCCTACACACGGTGCGGACGGAGGAATTGCAGCACGGAGCATACGTGCAGATGGGACTCCCAGTTGAGATTTGAGATTTACCCGTACTGGTGATGAGGATCCAGTTGAGCGGATCTTGTGCGAGAATATCCATCGCAAACCAGCCGCTGAGAGGGACAGAGAGAGAGATTGTTGTGTGAGTGAGTGAGGAACGGGAGTGATGATTGCTCAACTAAATATGTACTACTCTGGCTTTGATGCATACCTTAACACTGCGAATTGATTCAAGCTGCACATCTTCGACGATGGAAGGATGACCTTGCTAGTGTCACTGCTCTTGCTTCACTACTGAACACGGTCGCTATTACTGACCCATGAGGGATTGCCACATGTGCTTTGTGTTATCATTCTGGCTACCCGGGTGAGCAAGTTCTCCAGCGTTGTGTCATCGGAGGCAGTGACCGCCATTTTGAAGCAGGGCAATATCGCTGTCGGCCGCACGATGGACTACTTTGACGCTTGCGGTTGGCGATGTACACCCGGGCTCTCCGTCATGTACGATGCGAAAGAGTGTAGAGGAACATGGGAATAATGACTGATACAGCTACATGTAAGACCTATTCGGGGATCACCTTTTCCTTCTTCAGCGTATCAAAGATGCTGCTCATATTTTCCCAGGTGTCGCAGTAACCAGTCCAGCTCAACTTTCGAGCCTTGCTCATACTTAGCACAACGTTGTAATCACGGCCCCAGGCGCAGTCGGCAAATGCCCAAGACGCCTTCTCCAGCGCCGAAGAGTCAAGGCCCTCACGTTCGCTCAGCTTCTTCCATGCCGCCTGCACATCCTTGTCCTGCGACCACTTGACCAGGCTCACACGCGTGCGAATGGAGCTCTGCGGCGTACGATCCTTCAAGCCGATGGTATCAGCTTGGACGGACAGAGGGGGGTTCGGCACCAATGCCCTCTCGTCCGCCAGTGGTGTAGGGCGCAGGAACTGATCCGCCGGCACCGTGAGCCCGAAGTATTTGGCCACGCGCGGCCAGAGGTTCATCCAGGACTCGACGTCACCGTTTGTGACACTGAATGCCTCGTTGGCCGCCGCCCTGGGCTCAAGCACCGCCCAACGACAGAAGCGCGCGTGCAGACCGGCATCAGTGAAGACAGTGACGTTCTTGTAAAATTCTTCGGCGCCAGGGAACACCAGCTCGGTGCCCATCTCCTTGCAGACAGCGGCGTAAAGGGCAATGGCACTGGCAAAATTCATAAAGTTGCCTCTGGCGAAGCCGAGCACTTCGTTCGAGTAGGTTACGTTCCAGCCAATGCCGTGCTTTTTGGTAAAGTCGTGCAGAATGCGCTGTTGCGGATAATAAAAGTTAGGAGGGAATGGCGGCGCTGGCATCCTGATTTCGTTTTTAGCAAGCTGTCACATTACCCGCGAATGGTATCAAAAGTAGAAGCGCTGTAGCATGCCAGGGATCCTCCTCAATCATGGGAATCTTGGTGCGTCCAAGGGCAACGCCGTACTGTTTGGCTCCGCAGACAAGGACGAACCGCTTTATACGGGGTGCAAGACCGTTAATCTCGAGCGCGTTGCAGAATGCGGCCAGCATATCGCCTGGTATGATATCAGCACTCAAACCATCTCACAGCTCCTGTACCATGAAAAACAAACTCACCATTGACGCGAGTGCTGTCCTCCTCAGTGTCCATTTGCAAATACGCGGCGTAAAAAACATAATCCACCTTGAGATCTTTGAGGTCACGAGCCATGTTCTCCGCGGTCGCGTTCAGATCCATATGGATATGTTGGGCCCGAGGACCAAAATCCTCCTTTACCGAGATAAGGTGAAGACCTTGGACCATTCATCTGGCCGGGAGCAAAGCTCCTTGACAATTTCCCGGCCAAGGATACCTAGAGCCAAGTGCATCAGCCACCCTGAGCCATTTCAAGGGATACGTGGAAGAGCCAGCTATTAGTATCAAAAAATCTTACCCGTAGCTCCTGTAATAATGGCGGTCGACATATTGGAGGCGGTGTATTTGAGAGTGTCTTCTCGATCTGAGAATACTAGTATTGACAAGTCTGTCAATGTCCGGTGTAGATCAGACCGGTAGACATTAATACCGTGCCCACGGAAAGGCTGGACGAAGCTGCACCCATTCCTCTTAAAGTCAATCTCGATCAGAAGGATTTGGCGCAGCGGATCATGGTGATATCATTGTGCAGCCACTCTGAGTTACATTACTTATCCCTCAGCGAACGTCGTCTCTCGCGCAAACACCGGCTCTCCCTGGATACCCGCACGGAACGTCACACGAGATTGGATGTCATGAGCATTGACACAAACAGAGTATGGAGGCGGGGCGAACAAGGAAATGAAAACGGTCGCACGCAGGGTGAAGTCGTATGACAGTCGAGCCATATGAGTGCCCCAGCGAAATCGAGCACTTGCAAGAATCCTCCTTTAATTGTTCAAGCACGGTTTCGCCCTTTCCTTGAAATCCACACTATGGGTATATTCAATTCCAAATGCGATACAGAGACGACTTCAGCGGAATCGCGTTTACTTCCTATGCCCTAATCATCCCTTCCTGTCACAACACATGCATAGACCTAGTAATTCAGCACATCGATAGAAAGGTTGGTCGAGTTGCCAGTGAGATTCCAGGAAGAATGAGCTGAGTGATGTGGGCGAAACAATTTTGAATTCACCGAAATACCGATATCCCGAAAGCAAAGCCCGGACGCGGTGACTGCACTCTCCTTCGTCCGCATGCCTAGTCGATGGCATTGAGCGCTACCAAAAGCTGATCCCGATGTTGTGGAGCGACACTGCGGGATTTCCTTTTCTAGTGACCCACGTCAGACAGCTGTGTTAATTAATCATTGAGATTTGGTCTCCTTAAACATTTGTATCCGTAGACGCAGGAACAATTATAAATATGTAGGAGATATCCAAAGCACGACGCCATGGAATCAAGATCTCTCAGCAAAGTTGAACAACGTTTGCATAGCTACTCTAACTCATCGAAATGTCTACCAACAATTTGAGGCTGACTATGATGATGGAGCGCAAGCCTGAGGTTAGCGAGGAGGAGTTCCACAGATACTGGACAGAGAAGCACCCGGCTATTGTCAACGAGTGGCTTGCGAAGCACGGTGTCGTACAATATGTTCAGGTGAGTCAGCAGACATAACCTTATGAATGTCATTATTAAAGGTCGGATCGATATTAACACAAGAATTCTAGTATCACCTACCATCAGCATTCCGCGCGCAGAGTGAGAAGGTCTGGACCGAGCTCGGATCCGAGAACGTCAGCGAATACGACGGCCACGTGGAGCTCACAGTCCCCAACATCGAGGCGCTGGAGAATGCCTTGGCTGATCCCTACTACAAGTCTCATGTGCAGCCTGACGAGGCGAAGTTTATCGACGCAAACGGGTGTTACCGCACATTTGGGTATCAGCAGATATACATCAAGGACAACAAAGTAGTCTCCAGCTAAGAAGGAGAGGGGTTGAGTAATCTGTATTTGTGTGGCACCGTCATACCGACAGACATACTTACTCGTACATCTTCTCATAACAGGTACCAATCCAACCTATTTCTACAATCGAAGTATGCCAGGTCAATAACATGCGAAAAGCGGAAAACTTTCTGTATTTTCTTCTGACAGTTCCCCGTTAGAAACGTCAACTACCCCAGGGTAGCTTGTGCGAGTCCCGTTCTCAAGTCGTCTCACGAGTTCACGTGATCGCATGGACCGCATCTATCTTCTTCCTCCTCTTTTGTCATCTTCGTCTTCCTCATCTTCATCGTCACTGTCGTCATCCCCGTTATTCTGATAAAAGTCCAACCTGTTTTTATGCAAAAGCTCTTCCAGCAGACCCGCAACCTCTTCATTATCCATGTCAGCAAACGCACTATGCGTACTGCCCTTGAGCCCCGCATCGTCGCCAAGCTTCAAGACCTGCGCGTTGCCGCCGTAGAGGTTGATCAACTTGGCTTCTAGCCGTGCCTGCTTCACGTACATGTCCGTCTCCGGCTTGTGGTCGCCGAAGACGAACTGGATCGCCGGCACTTTCGCCAGCTTTTTAAAGCGTTCCAGCGGCACCACAAAAGGTCCAAATGCACCGCCTTGCGTGATGTTCGCATTATCGGGGAAGACGTACCCAACGCTCTCGTACATCACGATGCCCTTGATATTGGTCGTGTTCGACTTGGTGGCCGTCATCATGGCCCTCAGCCCAGCGGCCGAGTTCGTCAGGTAGACGATGCTCTTGCCGACCTTCCCGGAGTCGGCAGCCACGGCGGCGGTGTAGCTGTGCAGCTCCACGTTCTCGACGGTGTCGATCTCCACGTACCTCGCGCTGGTCGCCTCCTGCCAGTGCTCGTCGCGGTCCTCGGTCGGGAACTGCACGTCGGGCCACCACTCCGGGAACCGCGGCCCGAAGTTCCACGCCGCGAAGTTGCCCTGGTCGCGGTAATCCGGGATGTAGGTCATCGGGACGCACGCCCAGTTCGCCCGGCCGACCCTCGGGCCGTCCCAGAGGTAGACCGGGTAGTTGCGGCGCAGGAACATGTCCTTGAAGCCTTCTCCGCCGTCCCATCGGTTCTGCCATATCTGTGTGCTGGCACTATGCCACATGACGAGGGCAGTCTGGCGGGGGCGGCGCGGAATGAAGTATTCCATATATCCGTGGTCGCAAGAGAGCGTCATGTTGTAGTAGTATGGACTGTGAATGATTCTCCCACCAATTTGGAACCCGCCTGATCTATCAAGAACGATCGGCCGCTTGTAATGTCCCGGGTTGGGAAATCCATCGTCAGCATCAATGACGCTGGCAGAAAAGAGAAGCCAGCACAGAAGGAAAGCCGCAATGTATTTGTTGACCTCGGAAATCATCTTCAAAGATGACTTGACCTTTGGAGGAAGGATGATATAAGCCGGGCTATCTCAATAGATGCCAGCGAGACAAAATAATGATAGAAAGCCCAGAAACCCAAGCAATGAATTGGAATCTGGCGAAATCAGCCCTTTGAATAGTCCGACTCACTGCCGGACACCGGCGACAGCGCATGGATTCCATATTGTAGAAGAGAATGAGGGTAGTATTGGATGCAAATTGCCGTTGTATGGGTCGCTTTTTGTTTCCCTGATAGATTTAGCCTGTAGTAGATGTTCCCCTCTTCCGTGCAACAACAATCTGGATCATGCCCCTCACACATCGTATGTCAGTCGATCAAGTTAACGACATTGGCTCCTAATTCCACACTTGTCTAGGCTTGATACATCCGATCTTGATTGCTGAACTGGGGGTATAGCCAACCCACGACCACGAATAGAAAACGCATTAAGTTTGAATTTAAGTCTACGAATAAAGGAATGACTTTGCAGGAAAAGCGCCGATCAAGCCGCGTACGCCCCACTTCATTTCATATAAAAGGTGAGAATCGTATAGCATCAACTTTCAAGTGACGTGCAAGCGCACGCGCTGCACGATGCGGACTAAGAAGATCGAGGAATAACCTGGGCAAGTTGACAATATCTTTTTTACCGTCCAGTCTTTGCCCAAGTGCTTGCGACCACCGTCAAGCCTGTACTGGAAGTCGGGGAAATAAAACCCCAAACAATATCCAAGTCGCTTTGTGGTAGGTATACAATCGGTCTGAGCTCATCTCTGCCCTAAATCGACCCAAACGAGCGAATCAAAGAGCCTGAGAAGCCCCGCCAGCCTCCCACGCACGGCGTGGCTCCAGATCTCCAACCATGCCTGGGACTTGACACAACGAGCTCGCGTCCTGTGAGGCCAGACCCCTGCCACGCAGCTCGTGGGCCGCACCCCTCCACTCGACACCACAACGGAACATGGCGAACCCGTCGAGGACGGACGCCCAGCGGCGGCCGAAGACCGAGCCCGGGAACAGAAGCTGAGGCAAGACCGTCAGGAGCGTCCACAGGGCCAGCAGCGCCATGGCCAATTGGTACGGCAGCACGCCGGGGACGATGTCAGGCGATGTGATGTTGACAGGCCGGAGTCGAGTATAAGGGTTGACCAGCACGCAAGAGATGTTCACGAGCAAGCCCCAAGTATCACTGTGGACTCTCTTACCGACAGCGGGACCTGAGAAAAAATGTGATGTTGGGTCTTGACTGGCTGTTTCTCCGGGGATATAAGTAGATGTTTCGAGCTTCATCCTCAAGGAAAGCGCCGCTTGAGTTTCGAGTGCCTCCTGGGGCGTAAAGAATTGTCTCGCCTTGCGGTGTTGTAGGGATTCCTTGTCCCTAGCGGCCGTCCGCTTTTTGAGCAATACTCACGGATTGCTTCTGCAAGTGCTTAACATCCCGGCTCCGATGATGCCGTGAGACGGATTAATCACAATGTACTTCGTTCGACGTCAGAGGGGGTGATTCTAATGACTTGATTGCTCTTGCTTCTACTGCTGAGACCGGTCACTCTTACTGGCCATGATGATACCTACTCTCGATGGATTATCCGGGTTGGGTGGAAGGCAAAGCCTGCTGCCCGCCTGAAAAAAGGCCTTTGGCGGACCCTTGTTTTTGACCTGCACTACTGCACGTTGCAGTTTGTCATGCATTCCCGGGCCGTAGCGAGGCGCCAGTGATGGTCTAGCGTCACACTGCTGACGGTGGAGGGGGTGGGGCGGCGTGAAGTATTTCCATTCTAGGTAGTTCTCCCAACCATGTGGGAATTGGGGACTCAACGATGAATCCTAACTCGGCTCCGCAGCCGTCACACGACACACCCCGGCCAGATATATAAAATATTCTGAAGATTTGGGGGAGTGACAAATTCAGTTGCATGCTGTTTCTCGGGTATCGGTTTCCACCTCAATCCACTACTCAAGTACCTTATCTATTTCTCACGACGTCCAGGGCTGCACACGTCTAAATCGAGGCAGAGCCATACGAAAGCAAAGCATAGAGAGAAAAAGTCATGGCTGAGCCCGCAAACAAATACGGCCCCGAGGTTCAGAAGGTCTCGGCCGACACCCCAATTGAAGACATCATCTACCTCCTCAAACGGGACGGAGGTGTTTTTGTCAAGGGCCTTGTCCCCGTCGCCGATGTTGACAAGGCTTTTGAGGAGTGCCGTGCCAGGCTCGAGTCTGATGTCGAGTGGGACGGTAAATTCTTCCCGAGTATGTGCAAACGACCTCTTGCACAAGTTCTTGCTTTTCTGTCTTTTTTTTCCCTCGCATTTTCGACATCTAGCTGATATCACATGCTTTCTCTTCCTCGCTCCGCAGAAGAGACACAGCGCGCGCCGTCACTGCTCAAGCACAGCCCCACCTACGCGCGGACACAGATGATGAACCCGCTCTACCACCAGGTGCTCGACCACTTCCTCACGACCCGCAGCTGGTTCTGGTGGGGCAACGAGAAGAAGGAGTCGGTGTCGAGGCCGTACGTGCACTCGTGCACCGCCATGAGCATCGGGCCGGGGGGCAAGGCGCAGCCCCTGCACCGCGACGACTACATCAGCCACAACTACCACACCGAGATCGACGCCTGGGACGACGAGCGCGACAGGCAACGCGAGACGGCCGTGGGGCTGTTTGTTGCTGGCTGCAAGGTGACCAAGGAGAATGGGGGGACACAGTTCATTCCGCGATCCCATCTGTGGTGAGTTGTTCTTTGGCCCCCGGCTCCGTATTTCTGTCGATTCTCTCTCGAATCCTACTCACACCAACGACGCAGGGGCACCGACCGGCACATGCCCCCGCGCGTGGAGGAGTGCATCTTCGCCGAGATGGACAAGGGCGACGCGTTCATCATGCTGGCGTCGGCATACCACGGGGGCGGGACCAACAGCACCAAGGACCAGCGGCGGCTGATGTTCGCGACGTTTGCGATCCGGGGCTACCTGCGGCAGGAGGAGAATCAGTTCCTGGCGGTGCCGCACGAGGTCGCCAAGACGCTTGACCGGGACATCCAGGAGTTTATGGGCTACTCGATGAGCGACCCGGCGTGTGGCTTCGTGGAGGAGATGAATCCCATCTACGTGCTGCGGCCCGAGGAGGCCAAAGGCCCTACGGACTTTTGAAACATAGCAGAGGGTGTATACTGCAGAGCAATGCAGTTGTTTCCTCTGAATCTTTTCCCAGCCCTTTCTTCAGGCAGGATATGTGACAGTGTATATATGTATAACTCAAAAGACCAATTCATGGACGCGAGAAGCACGAATTGGTCAGGGCCGAGGACTTCCACTCTGCTAGACCCACACGAGCCTAGTCCAGTATGAACACTTTTTCAGCTGGAACCTTAACACACCTCGAGTCAAACCCCCGGTAATTTCTCCACGTTCCATCGTGGCGTATTCGCTGGATATATGGTATTTCAAACTTGATAATGGGGTCGTGAACCATGTGGGAGAGCTACGGGAGGAAGGTCACTGGCAGTGATGAAGGTGTTGGCATTACATGTAATAGATGTATGAAATCATGCTCATGTACTGATGCGGAACGAGGGAGTATTGGGTTCAGGCTAATAAAATCGGAAGAGCATGACCAGACTGCTTCTACGTGTGGCGTGTCACGGCTTGACTCCCGAGGTCTGATACCTGACTGGGTAAGTTCCTATTCGGGTAGTTTCGGTCCATTACCTGCTGTGTCTTACCAACCAGACCCCGCTGACATGACACGGGCTGGGAAACTTACCCTTTCAACTGCCCCGCTGTCCATAATCATACCCAGGTATCATTGGCATCAAACCTCAGCAGTAGCAACAGCAGCAGCAGCACAAGAAATATGTCTGCCAGGGTCAGAATGGCAAAAGGCTCAAAAGCCATCCGCAGAGGTCAGTCAGTCAAATACCCAAACGGGACAAAATCTGCGCCGTTATCCCCGCGCCGTTTCTCCGCGTGTCTTGTCTACAGGCATGATTACTTTCTCCGCATTTGGTTATACTTCCAACCGCCTCCCCTCAGGACTGTCCAGGAGTCCTGCGCAAGTAGCTGATCGTGACGCCTACCAGACCCGGCCTGTGGGACGTGCCGCAAGAAGTGCCGCAAGTGTGACCGCTCTCGTCCCTTCTGCAACCGATGCAAGACCAAGGGTCTCCGGTGTGAGGGCTATCCTCCCAGGTTCCAGTTCTGCGAACTCACCACGCCGGACGCCGCCGAGGATGTCGTCAGTGCAGCTGTGGCCCCGGTCCCGGCCCTGCTTCCGAACTCGAGTCCCGGTTCCATCCCCGGCGAGCAGGCCAGAGCCATTACCAGCCCGAACGAAACGCGCAAGTTGAGATTGAGCCCCCTGTCCAGCGTCGGTGCCGCCCCTTGCCAGAGCCAGCTGCCTCCTTCGCCTTGGGAAACAGACTCGTCTGCCTCGCCCCAGGATGTCCGTCGCGGAGAGACTCTGTCGCCAGCTTCTGATGCCCGCTTGCTCGATGGCATGCTGCTGAGCAGCGAAACGCAGAGGCTGCTCAGGTATTGTAAGCCTGTCCCCCTCTCCTTGACCCATCTGCTTGGATAAGCCTCTGGTGCTTTTGTTTCCTCTAATTCCACAATTCTTTCGCCTGACGACTGTCGTATTTCTGTTCTTGCTAACAAAACGGGCACGTGCCACAAGTCGATGAGGAACTGACCCCAGGCCTGACCATCGTGGTCGACGGCACCGAGAACCTGTTTCGGCGCTATCTCCTGCCACTCGCGTGCCAGCACACGGGCGTCTTGCACGCCGTACTCGGCCTGGTTGCCTGCCACCTGCGGTCCTCCCGACGAGATATGAGGAAGGCAACCGAGGCCGATGCACTGAGCCACCGGGTGGCTGCCCTCCGTATCCTAGGATCCCTGCTGATTCAAGAGGAGGTTCAGGGTCTCAAGGCAGCCGAGGAGGAGGCGGTTCTCGCCATGATCCTGCTGCTGATCTTTCATGACGTACGTCAATCACCTGACGCCCTATAGCCCCCTCTGCCGAGATTCCAACGCTGAAACAGGCAGGCTAGATCTGCGAGATGGGTCTGTCGACCCACGGAACCCACTTGAACGGGGTGACATTCCTGTGCGGGAAGATTGCATCTGGATCGAACTTGTCAAGTAGATCAGACTCGATTCAGTTCTTCTTGGCAGCACTGGCCTGGTGAGCACTGAGGAGACTTGGAACCTGGCGCGCCTCTGCTAGACTACCAGTCATCGGAACTAACCAAGCGTGTTCTTGTTGTCGCAGGCTCGACGTCCTCCGAGGTTTCAGCGGAGCAGAAAAGCTCACATACTCGGAGAGCGTGCGGAAATGCGTCCTCGAGAACGGGCGGGTCAGCCTACACACCCTGGTAGGCTGCCCGCCCAGCATCTTCCAGCGCATCGGGACCGTCCTCGAGGCCGCCAAGAGCTGGCTGGCCGGCACCACGGCCAACGCGGAGTTCCACGCCACGCTGCGGGACGCGGACACGTACCTCCGCGAGCTGGACCTGGACTCGGCCGAGTACCCGACGCGGCACCCGGAGTGGCGGCAGCTGGCCGAGGCGTACCGGCACGCGTGCCTGCTGCGGGTGATGCGGTGGCCCGACACGTTCTCCGTGCCCTGCGAGGACGCGGGTATCAGGGCGTCGGTGGGCGCGATCCTCGACGCGCGCGCCAACATCGCGGCCAGCTCGCCCTTCTCCAAGCGGATGCTGTTCCCGCTGTTCCTCGCGGCGGCGGACACGACGGTGCCGCACCAGCTGCACTACGCGGCCATCTCGATCAACGAGATCAGGAGGTCGACGGGGTTCGAGCACCCGGCCATGAAGACGGTGCTGGAGCACGTGTGGGAGGAGAGGAGGTCCAACACGCGCGGCTGGCGCAATGTGCCTTGGATGGAGTTTGTAAGCAGCAGCCATTCATTGGTTTCCAGCGATGACGATGGCTAACCTTGTGGCGTTTAGACGTGTTCCGAGAGCTTGCAGAAGCAACACGCGTATCTCTTCTTCTGATCGCGGTGAGATCGCTCGGTGATCTCGTGGCTCGTCACGCCCATGTAAGCCTTACAAGTGGCAAGCTGATGTTCATAATTTGAAGCGCATTGTAGCGGCTCGTCCGTCCAGGTCATGGGGGCTGTACATGTAGCCTAGTGCTGATCCGAGGTGACCCCTGCCTTGAGCTGAGGCGGTTGGGAGTACTTCCGAAAGAGGTAATCAGCTTCGCACCTTCCCATCGTCCCCACCGCCAAAGACGGTGCGAGCCGAATCCATGTCCAGGGATGGTATGTTCACACGTAATGCAGTCTACTGTATTTATTCAATTTTCTGCGTGCAACGACTGGCGGAGGGGTCAAACTTCCCTGTAAACTTCCATTTCCAGAAACCACAGAAGATCGTCGCCCTCGACCATGGCTGCCACAGAGAAGAACGCCCTTGAGCTCGAGAAGGCCTCGAAGCTCAGCAATGTTCCCAAAGGGGAGCAGTACGAGAGGATGATCTCGGGCATGCTGTGAGCAAAGCCGTGTCCCCGACCCCAAGAACACCTGCCCGTCCGCCCTCCACAACCCACTCCGCATCCACATGCACTATCGTCACCATCATTTCAACGTACTCATCGCGCTGACACTTGCTGGCACCCACCCGCACAGCTACGACTCATTCGTGCCGGAGCTGGCCTCGGCGCGGTTCGCCGCGCGCGCGTGGATGCACCAGTACAACAACTACTTCCCCTCAGACCCGGCCGCGGGGTTCGAGTCGCTGGAGAAGGAGCGGCACCAGATGCTCAGCAAGCGGCTGGGGCGGGTTGGCGGCGAGGTGTTCATCGAGCCGCCCTTCCAGGTCGACTACGGGTCCAACATCAGCCTGGGCAACCGCTTCTACGCCAACTTCAACCTGACCATCCTCGACTGCGCCCTCGTGACCATCGGGGACCGCGTCATGGTCGGCCCCAACGTGTCCATCCTCGCCGCGACGCACGAGGTCGAGGTCGAGAGCCGCCGCGCCAACATCGAGTTCGCCAGGCCGATTACTATCGGGAACGACTGCTGGATCGGCGGCCACTCCGTCATCCTGCCTGGTGTTACAATCGGCGACGGCGTCACCATCGCTGCCTGCTCCGTCGTCACGAGGGATATCCCGTCCTGGAGCGTCGCTATGGGCACCCCGGCCCGCGTTGTCAAGAAGGTGAAGGCGCTGGACGACCATCAACAGAAGTGATCGTAACCACAAACGCTGTACACCGTCTTTTGAATGTGGTGACGAAACGTGTCCATAGCAACAGCCAAAGACTGGGGAGGTTTAGGTCAAGGTAGAGGGAGAGATAGACGTGATAACCATAAGACAGATCAGAGCCGAGAGACACAAAAAAAAAAGGAAGAAAACATACACACTAGAGTCAGACCGCGTCAGCCGAGTCATCCTCATGTGATACAGTACACACGTGAGTAGAACAGCAAATCAACGCCCGGTATCGTTCAGAGCACAGCACGTCTCTGCTACCATGATACATGGCCCACATCCAGCTATTCTTGTCGACTTACACGCCAATAAGATATTTATACGAGATTGGAATGACTTTCAATTCGAAGTTCCAATTCGGTACAGTTGTACGGATGTCTACTATTTGCGAGCTCCTATCTAGCCATACCGGCTCCTGTCCGAGACTTGCTTAGTTGTACAGTCCACCGTTTGCCGAAAGAACCGACCCCGTAGTCCACCGCGCATCATCGGTACACAGGAAAGCTACGAGGGGGGCGATGTCGTCGACCTCTGCGATTCTTGCCGCTGCGGGCGTCGACTCGATGAGGGGCTGCATGTCATTCCGGAACTGCTCGTCGCTTTCGTTCCACTGGTCTATCCCCCCCCCAAAAAAAACATCAATTAGCACAACAATCCAATACAGACGCGGTGACACATGGATTGTGTATCTCCATGGGACTCACCAGTGGCGACAGGCCCGGGGTTAACGCAGTTGACAGTGATGCCGTGCGACTGCCCCAGCTCCTTCGCCCACACGCGCGCCAGCGACTCCTCGGCGGCCTTGGTGGCGGCGTACACGGTCTGCCCGGCGACGCCGAGGCGGGCGGCTGCCGACGAGACCAGGACGATCCGGCCGCCCCTCGCGATGTGCGGCACGACGGCCTTGGTCAGGAATATGGGCCCCTTGACGTTGGTGTCAAAGTGCGTCTGGTAGAGCTCCTCGGTGACCTCGTCGAGGTTGGCGTCGTGGCCGAGCGCGGCGCTGCGGGGAAGGGAAGTAGGCAATTTCATTTAGTCAAGCTCAAAATCCAGGAAAACAGGGCCGGAGGGGAAGATGATGATAGTGGTAAACAAATTCTGGAGTGGATGTATCGAGACTCACTTATGGACAAGGATTTCGATTTTGCCGGTCGTGCTCAGGTCAAGGGCGGCCCGGACGAGCTTGGGTATCTCGGAGACTTTGCTGATGTCTGCCTGGACGGCGACAGCCTTGACGCCATAGCCGTTGATAGTATTGACAAGATCATCGGAGCGCTGGCGACTGCGTGCCGTCATGTAGTTGACGACGACGTTTGCTCCTCGCTTAGCCAGCTGATTTGCAATAGCAGCACCGATTCCACTGCATGTCATAAGCAGACTCATTGTTAGCATTCATCCCCCCCCCCCTCTTTTTCTGTCTTTGTTCTTTCTTATTTGTTTTATTAGAGAGATGGAGAAGTGAGCAACCCTTACCGTGATGCGCCGGTAACAATGGCAGTCTTGCCAGATAAATCCAATCCCTTGAAATCAGGCATGTTGTCTATTTGATGTTCTATTTCCCGTTGATATGTGAGCTCGTCAGGCCGAAGGTAATAACTAGGCGTCAAAAGGACATCTGAGGTAGGCGAGAGAGGAGACAACACTAGTTGGACTGACAGGACAAAGAGTCTAGTATATTGGAGCTGACTATATGGTGGTCAGAATTATTATCTAGGTAAGGATGCCATTATATCACCAGTGTGCCGGCCAACACTCGCGAGCTGCTCTCTTCTCCATGTTCCAATTCTAAACCATGGCCCACTCTTCTCCAATTCCGCCCGCCTTGACCCTGCCTCGGCTCCGAGGCCAGTGGTAGCAGGGCGCAGGTTGATTGGAAGTATTTCCCGAAATGGACACAGAAGGCGACCGCTCCACCGGACGAGCTGCCTGGCTATACTGTGGTCAGGACCAGGACCGCCAGGACCACCCTTCGCTCGGCTACATGTACTGTAAATGAGCCGCACGCCAACTCGACAACGAATTCTGTCGGAATGAAATCGACTCTATATACGTCACAGATGATGATCTTCTTATCCAGTCCCAGTCCCAGTCCCAGTCCCAGTCCCAGCAAGTGGCGGGCGGACCGTACTGCTATGATACCACACCGAAGGTCGGATAACCTGGTTGGCTGGAAATGCTTCCCAAAACGGCTATCAAGCTCTGCGACGACCATATCGTGGACTACTGTGCCTCATGACCGCATGCCTTTGGGCCAATGGATCCAGGAAGCAACCGCGGGGTAATAAAACGTAAGGAATTGCTCAAGACGAGAGCGAGGACAAGAAAAACGAGAGCTCGTGGTCCATTTTGAGCCGTTCGCGCAATAAGGCGTGTCTCTGTAGATACTATTTCTTCCTCTCTTATCCCCATCGCACCGCCGGTCTATCCTGCTTGCCAATTATACTTGCTCAACCTCATCCTCCTCCCGATCATTACAGTCCACAGTACGTACGTATCCAGAGCCATCATGGTTACTGCCGCATCCCACCCTCTTGACCCTCTCTCCTCCGACGAGGTCCGCCAGGCCGCGCGGGCCCTCGTCAGCCACCTCCGCGTCGCGAAACCAGACATCCGTTTCAAAGTCATAGATCTCTATGAGCCCGCCAAGGACGAAGTCCTGGCTTACCTCCACCATGGCCGTCAACGGCCCGACCGTCGCGCCAGGGTCTACTATCAGCTCAGAAACACGTCAACGCTTGTAAGTGCTGTCGTCAACATAAATAGTGCCACCGTTGAGCGGACAGAGGGCCGCCCAGACTCCCAGGGCCCCGTCGACTGGGTCGAGTACGAGCAGGTTACCAATCTCTGCAATGAGCACCCGGAGGTACTCGCTGAGATCCAGAAGCTCAAGCTTCCTCCAGGGTGAGTTTTTTTTTTTTTTTTTTTTTTTTTTTTTTTTTTGGCAGGCCCCCAGATGTGCTGGCCACAGTGTATGAGACAAAGGCTGATTCTGAGCCCTACTCAACTTCCAGAACTCAAGTCTTGAACGATCCTTGGGCGTATGGCACGGACGACGCAAACGAGAGGAGACGCCTCTTCCAGTGTTATATGTACATTGCCTTGAACGATGACCCGGAAGCCAACCATTACTCGATTCCTTTGCCACTTGCTCCCATCTTCGACGTCCACACCCTGGAGCTGGTACGCCTCGAGAAACTTCCCATGGGTGTGGACGCCGACGTGGATGAGGAGACCCAGCCATGGACTCCGGTCAAGCCTGTCGAATACAGCGCAAAGTTACTCGGAGCCGACGGTCTCCGCAAGGATCTCAAGCCCTTACAGGTCGTCCAGCCAGAGGGTCCCTCATTCACCATCAACGAGCGCGCCGTCTCGTGGCAGAAGTGGACTTTCCAGCTCGGCTGGAGCCTGCGCGAGGGGCCCATCCTCCACGACGTCCGCTACGATGGCCGTCCGCTGTTCTACCGCGTGTCCATGAGCGAGATGACGGTCCCGTACGGTGACCCTCGCTCGCCCTACCACCGCAAGCAGGCCTTCGACCTGGGCGACTCGGGCTTCGGCCTGACCTCCAACAGCCTGGCCCTTGGCTGCGACTGCCTGGGCCTGATCGCCTATTTCGACGGCGTCCGTGTCGCTGCCGACGGCACGCCCGTGGTCATGCCCAACGTGGTGTGCATGCACGAGCAGGACGACGGAATCGGCTGGAAGCACACCAACTTCCGCAACCGCATGTCCTCTGTCGTGCGGGACCGTAAGTTGGTTATCCAGTGCACATCCACGGTGGCCAACTACGAGTACATCCTGGCCTTCGTGCTCGACCAGGCCGCGAACCTGCACATCGAGGTCCGCGCCACGGGCATCCTGTCCACCATGCCCATCCGGCCGGACCTGAAGCGCGTCCCATGGGGCACCGTCGTCGCCCCCGGCGTCCTGGCCGTGAACCACCAGCACCTCTTCTGCGTGCGAGTGGACCCCATCCTGGACGGCGACACCAAGAACACCATCGTCTACGACGACGCCGTCCCCGTGCGCGACGACCCAGACCTCGACCCCTTCGGCTGCGCGTTCCGCGTCCAGACGACACCCATCACGAGGCCCGGCGGCTACGACCTCGACCTGGCCAAAGGCAGGGTGTACAAGATCCTCAACACGTCCAGGACCAACGCCGTCTCGGGCAAGCCCCTGGGGTACAAGCTGCACGCGGAGCCCAGCCAGATGCCCATGATGGGGCCCGAGACTTTTAACTACCGGCGGGGGCTCTTCGCCAGCAGGCCGGTCTGGGTCACCCGCTACCGCGACCACGAGCTCTGGGCCGCGGGCGAGTTCACCAACCAGAGCAGGGAGGACACCGGCCTCGGCGAGTGGGCCTCGCGCGATGAGAACACCGAGGACGAAGATGTTGTTCTCTGGCATTCGTTTGGTCTCACGCACGTCACGCGACCTGAAGGTAAGCAGAAGTCTCCTTTTTGTTGCAGCATCAATGTCTAGAGGGTTTCCTCCGGGAGGCTAGATTTCCTCTCTCCTGCTCGTCTCATGAGAATCGATCCGAATAAGTTGAATACGTGGTCTTTCTGACAACACTTTGCTTCATTGCCAGATTTCCCTGTCATGCCGAACGAGAAGCTCTCGTGCACGCTCAAGCCAACAAGCTTCTTTGACCTGAACCCGTCCAACGACGTGCCGCGCTCCGATCAGAGGCGCAACAAGTCCCAGCTACACCAGCAGGCCGCGAGCTCTCCTGCCTCGTGCCACGACCCCAAGCCATCCCTATAGTAATTTCCCTCTGTTGGAGCGAAGAATCAAGGGGGCAAAAAAAAGGCTCACTAAGGGTTCTCGTTACAACCGTTTAGGCTTGATTTGAAAGGCTGTTGTCAAAAGGCGGAGAGCCTGAGGTTGATTGGGCATGCGGATTTAGTTTCTATATGTGTAACGACCCATAGCGCATTATTTTACCCATGATAAAGTCGACCTCCTCGAAGTTGTCCAGATTTTCCTCTTGGATCATGCATTTTGCTATTATAGGTTCATCTGAAGTCTGAATATCTGATACGACCGGGTGGGGGATCTCCTATCTCCTCCTTATCATGCTTTAGTGATGACCTCACCGTCTTTTGCCCGATCCAACCCTGTTTAGATGTTTAGAGAACCTTACATTTTCAAGAAAAGTGACCTGGCCACTCAAGCATCTCAATCAACTGCATTTCTGGAAACAGGCGCCCAAGGATTGGGTGAGGCAGAATTCTCGGCCTTTGCAGTATCCCCCTCACCCCAGCCATGGGTGAGAACATCCTGCCGCACAGCAGCATCCAAGAGAACTCACCACCCGGCTCAGCAACGACCACCAACTACGAAGATGCAGACACCGAATCCTGCCCACTCATCACCTCATCTCCTTCAACCACCCCAGCAACCCCCCAAAAGAAACCCCTCACCCTCCTCAACGGCCTCGCCCTCGTCATAGCCCTGCAGATCGGCAGCGGCATCTTCACCCTCCCAACCCAGGTAAGCCAGTCCGTCCCGTCGCCGGGCGCGGGCTTGCTGGTCTGGCTGCTCGCAGGCCTGCTGGTGTGGACCGGCGCGGCGAGCTTCATCGAGCTGGGGTGCAGGGCGCCGAGCAACGGGGGCATCCAGGAGTACGTGCGGGTCGCGTATGGTAGCGGTGGGGGCAGGAGGGGCTACGACGACGAAGATGAGGAGGAGGGCACCAATGGGGGTGAGCGGGATGAGGACGATGCAGCCCGGGGAGACCCGGATATGGCGGGGTGCTTGATTCCATCGGCGACGGCAGTGAGTGTGGACAATCACGACAAAGTAGGACCAAGGGGCGAGCTCGCCGGCTTCGTCTTCACCTGGACGTGGGTTCTCCTCGCCAAACCGGCCGCCAACGGCGCCATCAGCACCATCGCGGCGAACTACCTCGCCCGGCCGTTCCTCCCAGGCCCCTCGCCCTCCTCGGAGGGGGGAGGCCTCTCGCCCCTCGCCAGCAGGCTGACGGCGCTGGCATGCGTGGGCTCCCTCACGGTGGTCAACTGCCTGGGCGCCACGTCCGGCGCCAAGGCGGCCAACGTGTTCCTCATGCTCAAGCTGTCCGCCCTGGGGAGCATCATCCTCATGGGCTTCTTCGCCCTGGTCACGGGGTGGCATGCCGGTGGCGTCCCGGCGTCAGAGACCGGGTGGTTCGGGCGGTCTGAGGCGGACCGGGAGACGCCGGCATGGGAGCTCCTCGGGGAGTTCGTCACGGCTACATTTGGCGCCGTGTTCTGCTACGGCGGCTGGGAAACGGTACGAGAAAATCACCCTCACACTCGCCGAAAGGGAATTGGTCGAGGCCCCGGGGCCACGTTGAGCCGCTCACATCGGACAACGGTGGACGAGACGGGGGATGATGGTACCATTCTGACAACGTGACGCGTAACAGGTCGGCTTCGTGCTGGGCGACATGGCACAACCCGAGCGCGACCTCCCTCGCGTCATCACCGGCGCCATGATCACGGTGATGACAGGCTTCAGCCTGATGAACGCTGCTATATACATCTGCCTGCCCTTCGAGGTCATTCGGACGAGCAGCACAGTCGCGGTGGTACGTAGGACGCCCCTGCCCCTCCATTCACCATCATCCCGTAGTGATCCTGCGCCCACCCGTGCTCCATCCGCATCGGCCCACCTACACGAGCGGGCAGCGAGGCGGCTCGCCCGACTACTTGGGATGACGCAGGCTTCCTTGCCCGCGGGCGAGAGCTTGGCAATCACGAGTTACGGGACGCGGGCGAGCAGGCATGGGAGGGGGAGACATTTCTTACACATGGTCACCCCAACGATAGCAAGGCCACCTGCTAATGTGGCACTGCGGTGAACGTGCGTAGGAGTTTGCACAACGCACGCTAGACTCTGCGGCCGCTGGAGTCGTCTTCTCTGTCGTGGTGTCCGCCTCGGCCCAGGGTGCCCTCAACGCAAACGTGTTTGCTACGTCCAGGCTCTGTGTCGCAGCAGCTCACCGAGGGTATTTCCCGGCGGCCCTGGCGAACCTGCACTGCAGGTCTGAGGCGGACGAGGCCGACTACTTAGAGGAGGCGCTGGTTGGCCTGAAGCGCCCCGTGTTCTCTGTTCTGAAGATCGGTGTGACTTGGTTCGCCGAGGCAACCAGGGAGTTGCGCTGGAGGAGAGGTGTCCCGGTGTGAGTCTCTTCTCCTCTGCCCTGCCCCGACTTTTACTCGTTTCCTGGGAGAAATCGTGTGTAGAAAGCAAAAGAAATGAATTTAGGATTTGATACGGTTAGCCTTGGGCAAAGTTGACCCACGACATTCGCAGATATGCAATGCTGCTGAACGGCCTCCTGTCAGCCTTCTTCATCGTAGCAGGCAGCTTCAACGGCCTCGTGGTGCTCATAGGTATGTTTGAAGGGACAGATCCCGCCTGGCTGGCGTACTGGCATGGCTGACAGCTGGTGTTCAACCTTTGGACAGGGCTGGCGGAGTGCACGTGCTTTTTAGCTGCCGTGCTTGGGCTGCTCCTCATGCGCTCACGCGAGCACTACGACGCGAGCCGCTGCCAAAACGGCCTCAGCCGCAACAGTGGTTTGCCGAACCGTTCCAGGAGCAGCCGCCCAGCTCGCTACCGCACTTGGATCGGAAACCCTGTGGTTTTCAGCATGGTCAGCGCGTTCCTCATCCTGCGGGCCGTAGTGACCGACCCATTCCAGGGCCTTGCCATAGTGCTTGTGGTTGGCTCGGGGGTCGGCGCTTTCTCTATGAGGTCTGGCTGGCCGTGGGCTAATTAGAAGTTGAAAATGGGTGATGGCTTCGGATGTATCTAGCCTGCCGGGCGCAATTGTCTGTCCTTTTGTTGTTGAATCGTTCCTCGTGGCTTGAGCCGCAGCTTACGTCCGCGTCAGTGAGCGATGGTTTTGGTGGCAGCGTAAGCAGCTATGCCCGAAAGGGTGGCCCATCCCACGTACACATGCAGCATGTGGACGGCCTACACTGCGCGTTGACGTGAATCGGAACAAGCTGGGATATTAGCCCTCCTCAGACTTGCAGTTTTGATGTGTGGCCGCGCACTTCGTGGCCGCCGCGGTCCTCCGACTTTTTCTCGCAGTTGTTACCGCAGCGTCATGACGGTCTTTTTTTCGCGTCTCGGTGGACCCAACCGGGCTCTATGTAACCCCAAGAAAGCGAGACTGACTACATCTGTACAAATAATCATGAGTCGGTGGCTGAGAGCATAGCGAACGAACGAGCAGAGCGCCATGCGGCTGCCCCCAGCGCTTCTGCAAGGGAAACAAGGTACTTCCGAGCCCGGAGAAACGGTAAGACTGAGTTTTCAACGCCTGGCCACTCATTGGAGATGTTCAACAGCGCGGAATTGTCTTGCCGAAGATGGTAGAGTGCATTGTAGATCGCCGGGGGACAGTTCAACCGGCACCAGCATTGCATCTGCCTTTGGCCACATGCAATGTCGATTATCGCCAGATCCCTCGGGTGGTCCCGTCTTTTTCAGGCCACCAGCATTCGGCCACATCAACATCGCATGAAGTCTGAAAGTTTGAAAGGGGGACCCGCCCATTCGTGTAACATTGGGTAACGACGCAGGACTAAGCGAAGCAAGCCTGACAAGCAGACAAGGCAACAAAAATATGTGAGGCGACAAGATCCGACCGGCGATCTATGCAGATAATTCTCCGGAGGCAAAAACGCGTTTTCACATGGAAACGTGCCGTCGCACACGTTGGCACGTCGGACGTCTGAAACTGCCAGGCTGGGAAAGCGGAAGGGCAAGCCAGTATATTCTCACCTCCAGACTGATGTAGTCTCGACCAACAGGTTCTGTCTCGGGAACCGGCACTAAGGTCGTGTCGCTCGTGGGGTCCTACAGTTTGCACATTTGGGATGTATGGGCTGATGGCTGAGAGTCCACTCTTGCTGCAGCTCGATCTTCAGGGCCGTTCGAGGCCTGGCGATGTCTCCATACACTTCGGTGCCTAAGGCCCTCGTAATTGGAGTGGCGTGGAAGCAGAATTGCAAAGATGTCTGGATAGTAGAGTCGTGGCATTTGCCTCCCGCGTTAACCTGTGACGAGGAAGAGAATGCAGCATTGCACTGTACATAATGTGGGCCACCGCCTCTTCCGTCTTGCGTCAGATCATCGCCGAAAAGCCTGGTAGCGTACTTGGGAGGTCAATCTAAGCTGCACCTACGACTCTCGTCGAGCCTATGATGGAGGGTATGGGTGACTCGAGCCTGGTCGAACCGTTGTGTAAGTAACAGCGGGTTGAGTTGCAGGGGCATTGCGCTTGTCATGACCGGAGCGGTCCTTAAGAATCGGCCATGTGAGAATCAATCGAGATCCGATGTTCTGATGTCCTGACCGACATCATCGCACGCCAATTGAGCAAGCAACCGTCCGGAGTCGATGGGGTCCCCCGCTCGCTGTTTACCTATTGCGCAAGGCTTTGGCACCGGGGCTTATTGTTGTGATTGACCGGTAGTAGACGCGCTCTGCTGGCGCACCATCATATCAGAGGTTGTGTGCGAGTAGCTGTACGTCGTGGCAGCTTGTGTCCTCCGGACCACGCACAGGTGCGACGTCGGTCCAATGGCCTTTCCCTTGGCTTGTTGCCCGAGAGATATTGGGAGACCGTAAGGGATGTGCACTCCCTTATTCAGACCACTTATTGACGCCAGGAGCTCCCTTACCGAGGGTGCCAGAAGGCAAGGCCCGGAGCGAGATGGAGTTTGGGGCGTGGTCAGCAGGCAAGATGGCTGGGCAAGGGGATTGGTTGTCGCGGATCCGTGTGGCAGGTTAGAGACGTGATGGAGGGTGGGCTACATTGACGCCAGCGGTCGCGTGGGCACTGCATAGGAAAGTCGGTGTCGTCGTTGTCGCGTTGAGGCCATCGCCGCCGTCGGGTCCAAGTCGACAGTGCCAATGCCAGATTAGATTGCTGGCGTCCGGATGTGGTGGCGAGCACGGATCAGCTCCTCGATCCGGGAGCGACAGCCCCAGTCCCAGCCAGCGAGATCTTTTGGGGCCGCATCGTGAGACAGGGCGACAGGGTCGACTGATTGGTCTGAGGGCCGTCTGTTTCCAAAAAAGTTGGGCTGGGTGTCTCGAGCTCGCAGCTTAGGTGTCGATTTGGCCCCGCCATGCCCCTCTCCGAAGGTTCCCAAGGTTGCATTGGGGACAAGTTCCCCTGTCTGTCACCCCCTCCACCACGATGTGCCGAGCACTTTGACTTGACCCCTCTGGGCCCCTCTGGCCCTCTGCCCCTCCACCATCATCTTCGAGATCCTCATTGCTGTTCCATTTCGGTCCTCGGTTTGGGCACGGGTCAGGAACCGATGGATGCGGCGCTGCAGGTCTGATAGCCCAACTTGCAGGCCGATGAGGCGACTGTCCAAGCCAGCATCTGACTCGTCGTCTCGTCGTGACCGTTTTCGCACGAGGCCGACACGCGCCGCATGCCATCATCGTAAATTGTTATTACATATACATGGTGACCTGGCGGAGGGAGGCATTGCTGGGGACACCTGCGGCGTGTGGGGGGAAAAAAGCCAGGAGGGCAAATTGTGAGGTGAGACGAGACGAGACCACAGCCGGCTACAGGGGCAATCGGTCGAGATGCGTTTGCTCTGCAGTCAAGCAGGACAGGACAAGCTGAAGTCCAGGCCGTTTCGATGAATCGCACATTTGATCGGCTGAGCCTGCAGTGGCGGGATGCAAGCTGTTAGCTTTAAGTGGAGCATTTGATGTCACACCTAAATGGGAGAGTCGACGGAAGGCAGAGGGTGGTGGAGCGGAGGGCCAACCGGGGGAGAGGGAAGGAGAGGGAGGGAGAGAAAAGAGGAAGGAGCAGCACAGAAACGGCAGGACTCGTACCCATGAGAATATCCAGTGCGTACTTGTCCCTCCAAGGCGTTCCTACCGCATTCCGTTTCATCAGCCCATTTGATTAATCAACTATTGTTCGTCCTGTGTGCTCTCTCGTCCTGTTCGCTTGTGGCACCACACAAATGGTATTTACATCCGCATGTTGCTGCCCAAACGACTCTCTCTCTCCTCCCTCTCCTCTTCCCTTTATCTCGGCATTGGATTGCGTCGCATAGCATAGCCTCTTTCCGAGCTTGCTCGTTCTGCTTCAAAAACCCCAGGGAACCCCAGGGAACCCCACTGCAGATCGCCCTTGCCCCAGTCAATTGCCTTTCTTCAACGCTTACCCCGGAGATCCAACTGGCGGTGTTGTGCCCCTCTACTGGTCCTATCCTTGACACAGATCGCCAGCGCCTATCAAACCCAATACTCTGACGACCTCTTTGTCTTTCATCCCCACAACACAATACGACACAACGCCACACACTGACCCGCCGGGTTTCAAGACAGTTCAACAACATTCCATCTGCTGCCGCTTTGCTCTGAGCGAGAGCCTGTCCTGGACAAATCACTACAGTATTCCTTCCCCGAGCCGTGCAAGAGCAGCTTCCCAACTCGCCAAGCAATCCCATTCTTGGTGCCAGCCAGGCCGCCGTTACCCCTCCTCTTCTACGATGTTCTCCTGATTTGATATCCTCGCTTCCCTCAACACTCATCTCCCTCCATCGTTCAGCATGGTCGGAAGTACAGATGTCGAAAGATTGCTGTCTACAGGCACTTGGACCCAGAGAGCTAAAAATCCCGGATTGTAAGCGCACTTCTGTAGCCGTTGAGCTGTCGGCCGGGATCCTGGTTGCTACGAGTGCTAACAGTGGTTGCTTCTCCTCAGGTCTAACCCGGTCCGAGCGAACCAGTCGTCCAAGCTAGAGCCTCTGAACCCAAAGGGCCCAAGATCGTACAGGTCTTCCACCTTCTTGGCCCGGCGTGTTCCTTTCCCTCCGCCTCCCAGCGTCGAAGATGAGGCTGCGTCGATCGCCAAGGAACAGGGCAGTTCTGTTGTGGGCGTAATCGACGAGGAGCCCAAGTGCAGGGGCGATGTCGAGCAGAATCCCATCATCCTTCCCGTCCCTGAGTTCAACCCGGAGCGCCGATATGTGCTCGTCACACCGTCTGAGACAGACGATGCCTGTCTCTCCGACACTGCGGCTGAAGAGAGACCTGTCTCGACCCCACGCACGGAGTATTCTGCCAACACCAAGATTCCGCTTGACCGAAAGGCAGATGAAGCGGTGCGGCCAGAGATCCAGAGACGCAGATCAAGGGTTGAATTGCCTCGAATAGAGACCGACGTGCCGCCTCCGCGGTCCAAGACTCCATCCCACTTGCAAAGAGCCAGATCGGCAACCTGTGTTGACCAGAAACCCAGAGAGAGTCGGGACTATTTCAGCCCGCACCCAGAATCAGCACGGCCCGTTGTAAATGGCTTCTTGTCGCCCGTCATCAAGCACAGCACCAAGGGCCGTGACAGGGCGTACTGGGACTTCAACTCGGGTTCTGAAGGCACAAGTCCCCGAGGCTCAGCAAGTGGCTTGAAACCCAGTTCTGCTGATCGAAAGGGGCTCGAGGGCTATGCGAGATCACCTCTCTCGACCAGCGCGGCAGCGCAAAGACGTACCCACTCTGCTATGGATGTACCAAGGGAGTCGAGAAGGACGGCAGAGCGAAACAGCTCCTACAGGACCGAGCAGTCCGGCCGGGCGAGGAGGAGCGGCCCGCCATCCCCAACTCTGGACCAGCGTCAATTGCCACCAAGATCGACCCGCAGAGACCTTTCTCCGGCGAGATCGCATACGCCACAGCCAAAGCTGAGCCGACGGAAATCCAGTTACAACAACCGCCCGTCTGTGCCTCGGGAGGATGATCACGGGATTTCGAGTGACGAGGACCGAGATTATAGGAGGTCTTGCACTCACCACAACCGCAGGAAGTCTATACTGAACCCGGGAGATCGTCCGAGTCTGCTGAGTCCTGGACCAACCTCAATCTCTAAGACAAAGTCACGACCTCCTTCGCCCTTGCCATCCCCCAAGTCATCTCAGGCATACCTGCCCGACTACGACTACCAGGACAACCCCCGAAGCTCGACCGCGTCTTTCAGCACTGCTAGACCCCGGCACAGAAATGAAACCGACAGGCCCGTGTCCCCGTTGTCATCAGGAGACTCTTCACCTCGAGCGCATTCGCGGTTGACAGTCGGTGGCTCCGGTAATCGGCCCAGAGCCGCCTCCCGGACACCGAGTGTCAGGTCCAACACGAGTACCAGCAAACCAGGAAACACGCCGGCGTCCGTTCCTGCTCACATCTCCAATCCAGCGGCCATCATGATGGATGACCGGAAGAGACAAGCGATGCCGCCATCCCCAGCCTACTCTCGTCAGGGCTCCTTGGAGGCGATTCACGACGCGAAGGATTATTGGCAGCCAGAGCCATTTGACCCTGACCAGAATCGCGTTTCCCCTCGACACAGCGCGAATAATGTAGAACCACCGGTTGTGTCGTATCGTCGCTTCTCCGAGGACGTCAGCGCAGGCACCAACCCCGGCCTGCCGGATTGCCCCATGAAAAAACCGACTATCGGATATACAAACTGGCTCACGCTGCCAAGATGTGACAACTTCATTATCTGCCTCTCCTGCTATGAGCAGGTCTTCTACCACACTGAGTTCCGCGATATGTTTTTCCAGGCACCATACCGCTCCAGGGACAGAGAGGTTTCATGCGATCTTGGGACTTCGCCGTGGTACCGAATCGCCTGGCTGATGACACGCAAATACCGGCGAACTGACCTACGACTGATCCAGGGTGTTTCAGACGTGCTGTCCAAGGAGAAGGTCCCTTGCCATGGAAACGCACGAGTCACGCGCATGTGGTATTCGATCATTGACCCGGACACACGGCGCTGCATCACCGACTTCCGCGTGTGCACCCCCTGCGCCAAGGCGGTCGAGACGCTGTTCCCGAGCCTGATGGGCGTCTTCGTCTCCAAGGACCGGCAGGCGGAGCCGAAACCCGGCCGATGCAGCCTGCATTTCACGCCGAACCGGACCCGCTTTCTGACGTACTTTGACGTCTTCGAGAAGTGCCACGATGTCGCAGTGGAGACCAAGTCAGCCCCGGATGTCCAGCGCCTCGCGGACAACATTAATTTCTGGGCCAAGGTGGAGGAATGCCCCCGTGACGAGCCCCTACGCAACGCCAGGTGGTACACAATGGCCTCGGTCCCGGAGATGACGGTTTGCAAAGAGTGCTTCCTAGACGTCGTGTACCCGGAGCTGGTCGCCGATATCGACGCTAACACGGTCACTGGCTCTGAGCGGCGGTCGGTCGTCCGGAACTTTTACCAGCAGCCAGCGACCTTCGAGGAAACTACGGTGTGCCAGATGGCGAGCCCTGAGATGAAAGAGGTGTTCCGGCGGGCTTGTAGGAGGGACGATGGGATAGACTTCCTGGATGACCAGATCAGGAGAAGGTTGGATTATTATTAGTCAGTGGGTCGGGTCCTCTATATGAAGGAAATCTCGGGTGTGAAAATGAAAGTATGATGCCATTTGATGTCAAAAAAAGAATAGATGAAATGAGGCATGACGTGGAACGAATAACGACACGAGACAAAACCATAATGATACATGTAAGAGACTGTCTGATACCTTGGACTTGTTGAAGATGTTATTATTGCGTGATATATTGGTGTTGATGAACAATCCATGGCACAAACACTACCAAGCAGTGCATTGAGCAGGACAAGGCTAGAAATACAAACACATTAGCCTGAGACGGTAGCATAAGAACAGGTCTACAGACAATAGATCCACGTATCGTAAATGTACAGTCTCTGCAGCATAGCTCTGCATGTGGTCAATTCACAATCTGCAGAATACAGGTTCTGGGTGTGAAGAAAAGAAACTTGCCTTACAGCTGAGCACAAACACCCATGTGCCATTTGTCGTGTCCATGGTGGCATGCCAAGGTTTGGGTGGTGGCAGACCAGGAGCAAGCAGGCGACTAACGAACAGTGACAGGGCCAATAGCTTCTGGCGCTCCTCGAGGGATCGCACAGAGAGGCATGGCTGGCCCACGTAAGACTTGATCTCGATTGAGGCAGTCTCAACCACCCAGCCTGGTGTCCCGATCTGCCATTTCTCGGCGTCTTGGGGGAAGGAAATAGGTGCCCAGCCCAGCATGGGATGCCGTCGCCTCGGGAAGGGAGAGAGCATCAGGAGCAGGCACACCGGGCACGCAGGTACCTATGGCCGGCTGGACCATCTTTTTGTCAGCTGTCGTATCGCAATTGGCTTAAAGGCGCTTTTGTCATTGAAAGCACAGGTGGGCATGATGAGCTTGCCCGCCTCTGCTCCGCGGGGTCGTTTACATATACGGAAACGCGGCAGGTGCAGGGCATCCATCCTATAGGACCACCTGACGGGCCGATCACCAACCGCGAGGGCAAGTACCTATGGCCGGTTGGGGCAGGATTTCAAGGTAACACTCGAGATACGGTCGCATTTGCTTCATTGCACGATCTCGCAGCGGCTCTCACGCGCGTGTGTGGGTGGGTGCGAAGGTGAGTGTGTGCATTGCCTCTGTCTGTCTCAAACGAAGTGATGCCCCCCCCTGTCGTTTTGACTCACGCTCCCCCCTCTGCATAGGAAAAAAAAGCCAATCACGCGTGCGCCCACGTAACGTTAACGCATATTAAGCCCTCCTCCAACTAAGCATGCTTATATAATATTTTTATACCTTTTATATATTTTCTTTATATCTTTTTTATAAGTATTTATTTTATTATTAAGTATTAAAATAGCTTATAAAAGTAATTATAAAAGAGATAATTAAAAATTAAGAAAGGGGTGTATATGCTATATAAATATGCGCGGAGAGGGCTGTTTCTTTCTATGCAGAGGGGGGAGCGTGATTAAAACGACAAGGGGGGGGCATCACTTCGTTTAAGACAGACAGCTGCAGCCAGGCTGCCCTGCAAGGAGGCCGGCCTGTTGGTAGGAGTGCGATATGGCCAATCGTGACTGAGGCCTGGCTGCAAGTCGCTGAAAGTGGACGTGGACATCTGGAGGCGGCTGCGGCGATCCTGTCGATGCCACTGGCGTGCATGATAATGCATCACATACAAACATATGGAAGCTCTTAACAGTTACAGGGGATAGCAAGAAATCCCAACTGTCAAGAGTCTGTATGTTGCGATGAAATGATGCCGCAGCCGGTCTCGTGCAGGTATGCGCCGTAACTCTGACCCAGGTACGTCCGGGCCCTAGGCTCTGGGACAATCCAGTTGCCCCCATCGACTCAAGCTCAGCCACGCCGGGAGTGTCTACGACTCGCGGCTTGCCATTCTGATTGGGTGGCCAGGCACTCGCCCGCTGAATGTCCTTCTAACTCAGCACCCTACAGCGCTGGACCTTCTTGCATCGGCACTGTTCTCTCTCTGTCTGTCGCCCTGTGTCCCATGCTGCTCCCCGTTCATACATCAGTATATAACACAGAAGAAATCCCGCCCATTGAGTCTGTAGAACAGATCAAGAGAAAATGCCACTACTCTACTTGCTTGTCCCATCTAATTACATGCCACTTCCACCCTTAAAAAACTCATCAAGTCATCGTTGATACAACGCTCCACACGCTTGTCAACAACAACAACTACAACCACCACCACCACCGCGTGATCATGGCATCAGGCACAGATGGTCCGTGGTCCTTGGATCTGAGCACTTCGGTTTCAATATTGTTCGGCATCTTCGGCATGGGAGTTTCACTCCTCAACTTGTACTTTGCTTGGGAACAACTCGATCACGTGCGGGTGTGAGTCCAAGGGAAAGCCATGCTTCCACTTCACCCATAATGCTGACGCTGCACAGGATTCGTCGTCGACGAAGGAGAGGTATGCAAGAAGTATGGGGGAGAGGTTTGCTTGGGTACCAGCCTATTTCACGACAAACACTGGTGTTTTGGAACGACTCATGAGTAGTTTGAGGAATTATCGTATTTCAACAATGAAGTTCTGGCGTTTGGGCACTGGAGGCGGCACCTGGGAAGGCTTGCGGCGATGCATGGCGTGATAACGGGAAGCTTTCTTTTTTTATGTCCACTGCAATGAATATGGCTGACTATGTAAGCCTGCCTATTAAGCTCACTCAGTGTTTGCCACGGCATCTTTAAGACATCTACTTATATTGAAGACCGACCAGGCATGCAAAGTCGTTGAAGATGGACGGGCACCTTCCAGCGATCCATACCATGTCCAAACATCGAATGTATGTGGTTCTTGTGGTCATCGGACTGGAACGAATGCTTCCTTTCGGCCTGGTGAACGATTGCCTCGAATTTCTGCTGTGGCTGACGACTTCTTATGGTCTAGGTCCAAAATCCCCACCACTAATGCACCCACTTTAATGAAGCACTCGGGCCTGCCTTCCCGCCAACGCGCCGACCTCCGAAAAAAGAGCCCCGCATTTCCCGCACGTTGTCTCCGTTGGAGTCCGTTGGAGACCGTTGGAGACCGTTGGAGACCGTTGGAGACCGGAGCTTTTCCGGAGGTCTGCTACGTCCGGACTTTCACACCTCATTCAAACCTTAAATGTCTTCAATGCAAACTGGATGACTGTGAACCATGAATTCATGATTGAGAAGACCACCAAGGAACATATGGTACTACGGACTTCAAGTTGATATCATGGTCTTTACGTAGTGAAGATGCTGGGCTGGGTTGTGGTCACCCTGGTGCTAGCTAGGCCTGGGGTTTGCTCCGTTCTGGCTTTTCTCGGTCGATGGTCTTGACCTGCAAGGTGCACTAAGTAGCACCGGCTTCCTTGTTAGTTACAGCTGTCACATTATTGGTTGCTGTCTTCGCGGCCAACTCAGGCTTAAAAAGCGATAGAATCTCATCTACGCTCTCACCAAAAATATAGAGTTCAATCCCTTCAAGTGCTGGGGTTTCGCTCTTGGAGCTAGGTGCAGGCAGACACAGCTCCTCGTGATACCTTGGAACTTCAGCGTTGGACCGAACTGCGTGGCAGGCAATGTCCACCCGCTACGGACCAGTCCAACGGGCACATAGAGGTGAGATTTTAGACTGATATCAGCTATCGGTCTGATTACACTCCGAAGAGTAACAGTAACATGGGGATTTCGGATTCAGGGAGAACTTGATCCACGCCAGAAGAATGCAACTGTACTAGTAGTCTGGGCCGATGGTTGCTCACGACCGATTCGCCCTGCCAAAGACGAGATTGCCTGCCGCTGCGGATCACCTCCTGACCCAACATTGAACATTGAACAAGCGCGGGCACGCGAGATCCCAACTACGCCGTACCTAGTGATCCCCGATCCTTCGCCTGGACTGCATGGCATAGCCACACGCAGGCCCTGCTGATTCCGGGCAACATGGCTGCAGCACGGGCGATCGGTCTTGCTTGGCGACCCGGGGAGGGACACCAACTGCGAGGCACAGGTTGTCCAACCTGCAGCTGGCGCCAAGCTTTCTATCGTGCAGCGTTAACGCGTCCTCTGATTAGTGCACCTGGGACTAGGTGGGATGTTGGCAGCATCCTGAAGACTGGCCCTATGTTGTCACTGTCTGACCGACGTAGTCTCGGACCCCAGGCACTCTGCCGCCGGCATCAATGTCACAGCGATCACGTATGTCAGAGAGTCACGCTTGCTTGCAGTAGGCGGCTCAGTCTTTTCTATATCTGAAGAATCCGCTCTCCTAATCGTTGGACATTCCATCAAGACAAAATTTACCTTCAGTTTCAGTCCCAATCCCAGTCCTGTCGTTTTGCCTGCGCAAGTTCACGCTCAAGGCAAGGGCATTATTGCTGATCATACCTCCCGGCCTCCACTGCATAGACACGAGTAGAGCCACCAAAAGAATTTAAGGCGTCGTCGAACGAGCCCCAAGGCCACTGCAATCAGACTTCTAGACCGAAAGTCACCCACTAGTCATGTCGAATACCCAGGCCTCGACCTGATATTGCCACTAGAGTAATAACACAAGAGCCAAAGAATCCGACGGAGACAGGCGGAATCCTCAAGTGTGCTACAAAAATAGGATATCCGCCCATACCCACGCCAGTGTCACAATGGCAAGCAGCTTGGATGACTCGTGGTCCTTAAGTCTCGACACGCTCGTGGCCATCATCTTTGGACTGGTCGGTGCTCTCAGCTCTCTGGCAAACGTTTACTTTGCCTGGGGACAACTTACGGCCTGGGAAGCGTGAGTGGATACTGGGGGCCTCGGGTGCGGAATGTCGGAATTCCAACGTTGACTTGTCACCTCAGCAATCATCGAAGAGGGTATCGCCGACAAAATAGTGAATGGCTCGGGAATTTGTCTGGACAGGCACCAGTTGAGCCAGTTATGGTACATCCACATCACCATATGTTTGTGTAAGCTTGCGTTGAACTTTGGATTTATTCTGATATCGTGCTCATCACTGAGGGAATACAGGTAGAGGATATCTGGAACAGGAGTGGT